TGAATTAAGTTACTTATCTCTAGATGTGTACAAATATTCAAATTGGATTTTTGGCCTCACCTAGCTGTTTTGTAATGTTTTTGAAATTATGGTGGTCCTTCTTGGTGAAGAATCGGATTAGTTCAACGATATTTTCAATTACAGTCTCGAAGATAGCGTTTGGTTTAAAAATACTCGAAACAGAGAAAGTTGATGAAAGCATGGAAGATAAAATGCTGGAGCACCCTCTACCTTTAGTAGCAGAATGTTTCGTTTCCTTGAAGGACCGCACGCAGGGTTTATTCGGAGTTGCAAGTAAATTTGGAAATTGATCAGATTGATTTTCAAATGATCCTTTCGCATTTAGTAGAGTTTGAATGGGGTAAATAATATTGGGAATTGGGATTGAAAATTGTTTAATCCCGATTACGTGTTACTTTTGTATAAAAGGCAAAAATTCGAATCTTTTACGAACCTCAAATTGGCCCATCCGCGTATAGCGAATGATATAAGGTGTAGGTCAGTTACATACAGCCCTTTGAATTTTCTTTCCAAATTGGTTTCTAGTCTATAACTTTTGATTGAGAAGTCTGATCGAAAAAGTACGAATCGTTTTGGATTCTACGCACCAAAATTAATAAGATAAAGTGTTTTCCCGATAAATTTTGGTGCAGTCGATTTTTGGTAAAAAAGGAAGGTTATACACTGCCTTCTTTGAGGCCCGATAAAAAAATTGTCTCAGATCGACCCGGAAAAAAAATTTTCTTATAGAATGTGGCCTGTAGAATCCATAATTTCAAACAGTTCCAAGATTGGGCTACTAGTTCCAAAGTTACAGGCTAGGTGCAAAGAGAAAGTTGAAAATTGCAACTGATGAAAAAAGATGCCTATTTTATTATTGTATATTCTTACGTATTCGCCACAGTTTTTGAATCAAAAAATAGGTAATAGTCATCCGCGTAGGTACATAACAATTGCATGTAGGTATATGTACAAAAGAGAGTATACATAACTCAAAAATTTAAAGTTCCTAAAGTAGGTACGAGTACATAATCCAATTTATTTAGTGTTATCATTTTTCATTAATAAAATATGCGCTCATTTTGAATGTGCATCGGCCGCACACCTGTTGATGACGTGGCGCGCGTTATCTTTGAACACGTGGGGCAAGTTACAGTTCCTAATTTTGTAATTGTAATATTCTGAAGAAAGTATAATAACGCGCAAATCAATATGAAAGGCATTTGCTTATTTATAATTATCAAAAATTCTTTTTTTATTTCTACATCTTGTGTGTGCCCAAAATCTAGTTCAGGACGCATTACCGGCGAATAAGGTGCTATTTTAGGCACCATTAAAAAACTAAATTGGCTCAGAAATGATTTAGCAATTTTCGGTTACTGAGGATAAAAAACTTACCCTTATAGCCTTAATATTGATTCAGTTTCCCTTTGAAGAACCATTAGGTACCGATCTCCACTAAAAGAAGACGACGCGCACTTTCACTGCACTAACATAACAGGTGACGCAAAGAATCAGTGCCTTACTGGAATTCTTTGACCAGTTCCGCGCCGACGCGACGCGACGCTCTTATCGCTATTCGTCAATGTAAAGTTAAATTTATTCCCACAACTAGAAAACACCTGTTTTGAATTTAGTTACTTATCTCTAGATGTGTACAAATATTCAATTTGGATTTTTGGCCTCACCTAGCTGTTTTGTAATGTTTTTAAAATTATGGTGGTCCTTCTTGGTGAAGAATCGAGTTAGTTCAACGATATTTTCAATTACAGTCTCGAAGATAGCGTTTGGTTTAAAAATACTCGAAACAGAGAAAGTTGATGAAAGCATGGAAGATAAAATGCTGGAGCACCCTCTACCTTTACAGTCATTTAAGTAGCAGAATATTTCCTTCCCTTGAAGGACCGCACGCAGGTTTATTCGGAGTTGCAAGCAAATTTGGAAATCGATCAGATTGATTTTCAATTGATCTTCCTTTCGCATTTAGTAGAGTTTGAATGGGGTATAATAATAATATTGGAAATTGGGATTGAAAGAGGCTTGTTTAATCCCGATTAGGTACGTGTTACTTTTGTATAAAAGGCAAAAAAGAAGGAAACTTAAAATTTCGAATCTTTTACAAACCTCAAATTGGCCCATCCGCGTATAGCGAATGATGTATATAGGTATATAAGGTGTAGGTCAGTTACATACAGCCCTTTGAATTTTCTTTCAAAATTGGTTTCTAGTCTATAACTTTTTATTGAGAAGTCTGATAAAAAGTACAAATTGTTTTGGATTCTACGCACCAAAATTAATAAGAAAAAGTGTTTCCCTAGAAATTTTGGTGCAGTCGATTTTTGGTAAAAAAGGAAGGTTACACACTGCCTTTATTTGAATCCCGAAAAAAAAATTGTCTCAGATCGACCCGGAAAAAAATTTTCTTATAGAATGTGGCCTGTAGAATCCATAATTTCAAACCGTTCCAAGATTGGGCTACTAGTTCCAAAGTTACAGGCTAGGTGCAAAGAGAAAGTTGAAAATTGCAACTGATGAAAAAAGATGCCTATTTTATGATTGTATATTCTTGCGTATTCGCCACAGTTTTTGAATCAAAAAATAGGTAATAGTCATCCGCGTAGGTACATAACAAATGCATGTAGGTATACAGGGTGATTCCTATAGTACCTGCCACCGTTTGGGAGCGTGTACATAACAAATGCATGTAGGTATTAATACAGGGTGATTCCTATAGTACCTGCCACCGTTTGGGAGCGTGTAGGTGGTGCGTAGGGGAGTATTTTGATATAGGACACTTGGGGTCGGAAATCTAAAATAAGGGTGCCAGAGCCAAATTACCTTCTGGAATTTCGCGCCTGTAGGTAGGGCAACCCAACCGGCCGGCGNCCAAAGTTACAGGCTAACTGATGAAAAAAGATGCCTATTTTATGATTGTATATTCTTGCGTATTCGCCACAGTTTTTGAATCAAAAAATAGGTAATAGTCATCCGCGTAGGTACATAACAAATGCATGTAGGTATACATATGTACAAAAGAGAGTGCGTACATAACTCAAAAATTTAAAGTTCCTAAAGTAGGTACGAGTACATAATCCAATTTATTTAGTGTTATCATTTTTCATTAATAAAATATGCGGTCATTTTGAATGTGCATCGGCCGCACACCTGTTGATGACGTGGCGCGTTATCTTTGAACACGTGTGGCAAGTTACAGTTCCTAATTTTGTAAATGTAATATTCTGAAGAAAGTATAATAACGCAAATCAATATGAAAGGCATTTGCTTATTTATATTTATCAAAAATTCTTTTTTTATTTCTACAACATCTTGTGTGTGCCCAAAATCTAGTTCGGGACGCATTACCGGCGAATAAGGTGCTATTTTAGGCACCATTAAAAAACTAAATTGGCTCAAAAATGATTTGTAAACACATTTTGGAATTTTCGGTTGCTGAGAATAAAAAAAACTCACCCTTTTAGCTTTGATATTGATTCAGTTTCCCTTTGACGAACCATTAGTACCGATCTCCACTAAAAGAAGACGACGCGCACTTTCACTGCACTAACATAACAGGTGACGAAAAGAATCAGTGCCTTACTGGAATTCTTTGACCAGTTCCGCGCCGACGCGACGCGACGCTCTTATCGCTATTCGTCAATGTAAAGTGAAATTTATGCCCACAACTAAAAACACCTGTTAAATACGCATTTTTGAATTTAGATTTAGATGTGAACAAATATTCAATTTGGATTTTTGGCCTCACCTAGCTGTTTTGTACTGTTTTTAAAATTATTTCCTTTTCGGATTTGTCTTACAATTTGAAAATTCAGAAACTTTGAAACATATATGGTACCTATACCTACTCTTGCTTTTTTAAGCAAAATTTGCCATTATGTACCTATAAGTACCTATACCTTGTCTTAGAAAATTCAAAGATCTGCTAAATTTGAATTACCCAACCTTCTAGTTGAATCTGATTTGATATTCATCTGGCACGTTTTCAACAAATAAAAAGTACAAAAACGAAATTACTTCCTGCCTATTAAAAGGGATAGAAAATTGTAAAACCCCATTTGCAATACTTACGTTTTAGGAAAGTGCTTGAAAAATTCTTTCATGGAAATCATTTTTTATGGAAATAGGTACAAATCTTGATGATGTCGATCGATCTGTCTGGCTGTCTGTCCGTACTTTCATTTCCGGTTAAACAGCTGAACAGATTTAAAGCAAATTTCATACACATTAGACATAAAAGGAATAGCTGGGGAGAATCGCGCTTGCGCAAGTGTATGAAACTCTCATTACCGGCTAAATGGCTGAACATAAAAGATCAGAATCGCCCATGCGCAGGTGTGAGGATGCTATCTGTCCTATAGCCACAGCAAATATTTTTCTTTTTCTGGATTTCACATGTTCATATAATCTGTTGTTTTAGGAATCTACAAGGTTTCTGGAGATAAATTCTTTTACAATATTTCGGCAGGTCCCTCAAACTCTGATCATACTCAAGATTTTTGAAATTCATTTGCACTGCAAATTTTCCTGTTTAGTTCACACCCCCACAGGCTTATAGCTCTGACACGGCAAAAAAAAAACGCGTTGGGCAGTGTGAAAATCAAACCCGCTCCTGTGCGGAGACGGCAATACTAACTTTCTTATTTATTGAAGCAACAAGTTTTAGCACTTTTAGTAAAAGTAAACATATTGCATATACTGAAAATCAAATGTGCGGCCTGCACAATTTCAAATTTTCTTACTTATCATTTTTTAGCGCATTTTCCAATAACCAAATGCTTCAATTCCTCTATGTCCGGGGCATTAAATGCTCCCGTTTTGAAAGAGCTTTAATTGAATCTTTTAAATCTTCTCACTTGAGATTCTTTCAATCCTACTCATTTTCTCGATATATCCTTCCTATTTTTTCTTTAGATAGCAGAGGTGCAAGGTTAAAAAAAAAACTTCCACATTACCTATACTAGTTTATGTATTTAACTTAACTGAAAACAGTTTTAACAAAAACTTGGCTTGCACATACGAATAAATCGGCAAAACAATAAACTTCATTTACACAAATAAATTACTTATGGAGACAACACATACATTGGTATTTTTCTTGCAAATACATTTAAAACGAACCTTTTGTTGAAGAATAAACAAATTTAACGGAGCGTAGACTAGGCCAAGCTTTTTTTTGCCAAACGAGATAAATAAAAAAATAAAGGCACAAGTATGCTGAAAGTTCCATTACAGTTTTGTAACATATTTGAGTACACTAGAGAACAGAAAATCCACTTCCAATGGAACTCTCAGCATCGATCTCATCTAATTAAATTCTTTTAATCAAATTAACTATTTACACAAGCAGTCTAACTCCTTTTTTAAAAGTTACGGCAACACAATTATTTAACGTACCATGTAAAATTATCTTACCCTTATCGTAATTGGTTTAAAAAATAAAAAACTAAAGGTGGTAAATAATGTGTTGCGAAAATATCACTTTCATTATCGTTATATAAAAATATCTACAGTTTCCAATCAACAAAATAGATTACTCGCAGGAACATAAGGAGTGAGCCTACTTTATTTGACACAGACAAAATTATTCGGCAACAATAATAAACATATCGCACCTTCGGTAGAAAATAAGTGCATTATTATTTGATACATTTGTCTGTGTTTTATCATATAATGAATATGTGCGGGGCCTGACCCATGAGAATATCACAGAAAGTATAGCCAATATGGCAATCATATAAATATTATATTTCAATATTTATACATCGAAGTATTTTTTCAATGATTTTCATTAAACCACAAGAGACGAATTATTCATCTTTAAATATCAGTAAAAAATTCTAAATTCTATGGATCAGACCATGTAATAAACCTACACTATAATACACGTACAATGTAGGAATATATAATTATTACTTAACAGTTGTTCTCGTTCAAGCTTAAGACCCAACTGTGAACATCGTACAATACGCATGACAATTTTCTTTTAATAATAAATTCTAAAACGTTTCAACATTATATTACAAGTACCGAAAGGGCTCAACGCGCATTTCGGATATTCACAGCCAATCCAAAACTTTCGTAGTTAAAGTATACCAGGTCTGAAAAGCATCATTCAGTGTTACACAACTTGATTTTTAACGTCTCATTGAATGCATATATTTTTTTTACAAAATATACCTTAAAATTAAGGCTAACTGTCACAGGACATTAATTGCTATAATATATTTACATGCGACGGCGCGTTCGCAATAACACTATCGAGGATTTCGTCTTACTGCTTTTAGTCTCCTTCGCTGCGTTACCGGCGAATTTTCGGGCGTCGCGCTGAAATACGAAACGTAAGTTGTTGCACGACGAGGCGCGTGAGGTACTTACGAAAATCCAGTCACCATATTTCCAGCGGTGAAGTTGAAGTTTGGTTTGATGTTCGCGTTAAATGACGGGGGCGCTTGTGCCGGTGCTGTCTGACCGAAATTGAAGCCGCTTGCCGTCGCCGCCTGGAATAGTCTATTATTAATAAATGGGCGATTATAATAATGACTTTATTAGACAGGGATAGCATCCGTGTCTGCTCTTCCACTCAACCCAATTCGAACAAGTGATAATAGTTACTAAAAACAAATGATTCTATAAACTAATTATTTGTCACTGATTATCAAACAATCAATTATTATATGCCCAAACAAACCTTTTTCCAATTCGGACCAATCTCAATGGACATCTTTATTTTACTGCTTTCAAACGAAGATCAATAAATATGTGGCCTAAGAAGAGTGATAGTTTGCACTGCTCAGCAGGCGGAAACACAAGATCACTTGTGATTTGCACAAAAAATTAATTTTATACCAGATTGAAATTTTCTATGACAAATCAAAGGAGTGAAATTATGACACAATGTATAGCTAGGGCTAGAGCGTCATTTTAGAATTGAAGGCCACATCGAGACATGGCATTATTGACAATAATAAAGAAATTGCCATCTGCGGCGAACAGTTACCACTTTTAGACATAAACTCTCAAAACATTTTCTTTAATGACAAGCTTGAAGCCCAAGAAACTCATACAACACCGTAAGATGATGACAGTATCCCCTTTCTAAAGTAACATTCTGTAAAATAAAAACAAAAAACTGAAGGGTCTATGACCTACTTACCGACTACCAGTCATACTAGTCGCTTGGCATCTTTGATAGTAATAACTTGCAGCTTTCAACCGTTCAACATATGTTGCGGAAGTAATCGCTAAAAGTGTACCGCCTCTAATGTTCTACTGCAGAACAAGTAGCATTCGCCTTGTTTCTGTGGCTCCATTGTGAAAAAAGAAAATTTAGTAAACGTCCAAAAATCAACTTCAAGATTTGTAGGATTTCAATGTGCAGAAAAGTGGTTTCCTTCCTGATATCTCCCTGTGTGACGGAAAAACGAAGATGGTAAGAGAAGTCTATTAATCTGAATTAAATTGACACATAACCTCACAGAAGTGTTTTAACTAGTTTTGTCAAAAATGTTCTTAGAAAAGGTCAAAACTCGAAAATATGTACACAATTATAGGCAAAAATTCAGTCTACTATGGCCAGCCAGCTGGCGATATGGAAGATATGTCGGAATTGTGTATGAAGTTTGTGAAATATCTGATTGCTAAAATTCCTTTAATGTTCTAATTGTGGAAAATTTGAACATTACCCTGAAACATGTAAATATTGCAAAAAATCTGGAAATGTTTTAAAATTAAAATGTAAGTTGGTACACAGTATGCAGACAGGAGCACCATTGGATTAGAGATGTGCACATGCGAAGAAGAACATCCTCTTAATGGGAAAATCCTGTGGTTTTGTACGAGGTTTTAGTGCAGTAAAATCCAAAATATGCATATGTTAAAATAAACACTTTTCAGAATACAATGTAAAAAGAATCATTTTTGTTCCAATTTGGCCCAGGTCATGGCGATGATTCATTTTGCTTTTCATAGTATTAATTAACAATTAAGCTATCAGCGAAATGGCGAAAATAAAGCGAAATTAAAAGAACATCAAAAATCACAGTTAATTCAAAAAATTAGAACGGGCTCTGCACATCACACTATAGTCAGTAAAATGAGTAAGTTCGCACATCGGATTAGCGCTTATATTCACAGCGCGCATGAGGTTATACATCTTTCCTTATTTAAAACATGACATTTGAGGTAGAGGGCAAGTGCGTATCTAGTTTTACGAACCGCGGGCGGTGAACTAAGAATTACACTGGACGTTACAGACGTTTAAAATGGAGGTTGTTGCAGCAAAAAGAGAAAGCAATAGTTAAGGTATGTTAGTCTCGGAATGGGAAACACCCACTTAAAAGCGTCAAGCCAGTGACGCTAATCCGATATGCGAACTTACTCATTTTACTGACTACTCCCCATTCTCAATATTAATTATTCTGATTCTTTTAGAGGAAGACAATTCATCGAGTAATGGCGTGAGAAAACGTCCGATAGGCTCCCCAAACATGTACACTTTTGCAAAAAAGTATAAGTTAGCCCCTTCTAACCCTCCCAGTCCTACGCCATCGCATGTATCTGTGGTTAGCGATAGAATTTTACACATGCAATCCCTGGATTCGATAATAGAAACAGGGAAAGTGAAGAAGTTATCTGTTAAAGTTTACGAACTTAGGAAAAAATTAAAGGCAAAACAACTTCAATTGAAGAAAAAAGCATCAGTCTCGTTTCGTTTGATAGAAAAGCTGTTAAAAAACAAAAGTATGCTGTTAAGACTTTTACAAAAATGCAAATATTTCACCACCAGCGAAGGCCCTGGACCAAAGCAGAGAAAGATCTAGCATTACCGTTTTATTACAAATCGCCATCTCTATATAAGTTTATGCTTAAGAATTTACGATTTACTTTTCCTTCCTATCGAACTATACAAAAATGGAATAGTGTTTTTAAATTAAAAATTGGGTAAGAACTTAAAGATTGAGTAAAGGAACTTAATTACTTCATTGCCTCAATTGGTTTGTTCAATAGTTTATCGGTTTTACAAAATAAAATATTATTTTGTATTTTATTGGTAACTCTACGAGTTATGTCTATTTTGTTTATTGCACGCGCTCACTTACTGCCAACACGCATTGAGTAATTAATAGTATATTTCATTAGGAGTCCGGAAAGCAGGCTTTTTCCGTGCGCGCGTGGCAAATTCCCGTGTGAGGCGTAGGCGAAGTCATGCAAGCACGGAAAAAGCATTTCTGGACGTGTAATGAACAATATTTTTTATTATACTTCTTTTAAATCGATAACATAAAAAACAACAAACTCGCTAACATTTTTATTTTGTAACAGTTATAGAACATGCGTTTTCATCGAGGTTTTCATGGTTACTCTCAAATCATTTCAAAGGCGATTTGTTTAATTAGTTTATTTCAGATAAGGTTGACGAAACGTCAAAAAATGTCACAAATTCTCAAAGAAGTTTATCTAAATATTCAAACATCTACGAATTAAAACGCAAAATACTTACATATGAAACATTACAACGCATATAGATTTTTTGAAAATTAGTTTACTTCCCTGTAAATTTGTATTTTAAAGCAATATTTTGGGTATTTATATTCAGCACACGGAAAGAATCAAAGGGATCGGGAAAAGTTTTTATTTGTTACTCAGTTGTAAACGTTGATTAACAAGACAAAACGCAAACGGGTAAACGTCATGTTTAAACGCTACTGACTTGTAAAACTGACAGCAGACCTGTAAAACTGACAGCAGACCTGTAAAAATTTTACAAGTTAGTAATCTAGTAATTTCATTGGCCAGAATTAATGCGAAGTCTCTGTTACATGGATCACATGATATTTTAGACATTTCTTCAAGATCAATTTAAGAACTAATTATTTACGTTTACTATTGTTTACAAATGAGTAACAAATAAAATATTGTACATTATACGCCAGGTAATAGTTTTTACTGGCTCTAGGAGATGACAGGCTCGCCAGTCAATTTCTCCTATCGCCAGTAAAAACTCACTTACCTGGCTAATAATGTAAAATACTATTATTTGTTACTCAGTTGTAAACGTTGATTAACAAGACAAAACGCAAACGGGTAAACGCCATGTTTAAAGGCTACTGACTTGTAAAACTGACAGCTGACCTGTAAAAATTTTACAAGTTAGTAATCTAGTAATTTCATTGGCCAGAATTAATGTGAAGTCTCTGTTACATGGATAACATGATATTTTAGACATTTGTTCGAGATCAATTTAAGAACTAATTATTTACGTTTACTATTGTTTACAAATGAGTAACAAATAAAATATTGTACATTATACGCCAGGTAATAGTTTTTACTGGCTCTAGGAGATGACAGGTAAAAACTCACTTACCTGGCTAATAATGTAAAATACTATTCCGTGCGCTAGCCTGGAAAAGGCCAGATACCATTATTTCTGATACAGGTGTAAATAAGCTGATTTCAATGAAGTATAATAAAAATATTATTCCCGCACTCTATGCGGTATTTGTACATTTCCATTTAGCATTTTTTTTAATAGGATGAAGAATGAACTAATTAAGAAATTAAAATTAAGGGCCAATATAATGACTGAACGAGAAAAAGTGTGTGTGGTGGCATTTGACGAAATATCTTTAAAACAACATTTGGATTTTGACGAAGGTTATGATGTAATTGAGGGATATGAAGACTTGGGGTGTTTGGGAAGAAATTCAAAAATAGCAAATACTGCGCTTGTATTTTTAATTCGTGGACTTTTGCACAATTGGACAATTCCGCTTGGATACTTCATTTCAGCTGGATCCGTTAAAGGCATAGAATTAAAGAGCATAATTGAAAATGTAGTGAAGACGTTGAGGCAAATCTCTTTAAAGCCTGTATTATTAGTTTGTGACCAGGGCGCTAATAATCGATCAGCATTCAATTTACTTGGGGCCTCTGCGGAATCTCCAGAAATAATTATTGATGATGAGACTCTATTAAAATTGATTCAAAAAGTAAAACGACTCGAACTATGTACAAAAATAAGCAAGAACACCTCAACCCCAACAGCTTTCAGAAAATGCGAGTGAAATTTGCTGTGCAAATTTTTCCTCACACTGTAGCTGCAGCTATAAAATCGGCACAAGAAATAGGTCAACTGAGAAGTACGACATCTTTCGCTACAGCAACATTTATCGAAAATATAAACAACATTTTCGATGCATTAAATAGCCGCGTCTTAAGAGACACAAATCCTTATAAACGCCCCTAGTCCATTTATAATTCTAAAACTGAAGATGTTCTTGAAGCCGGTTTAGTGTTATTTTGAAAACATAGAAGTGTATGAAAATAATCGACAAAGAAAAAACATTTACTGTCTGAAAGGTTTTTTCAATGGACAATAAAAGCCATTCTGCTACTGTGGAATAAATTGAAAAAGGAGCAAGTGAAGTATTTACTAACCAACTTCACTAATCAAGACCCTCTTGAAACTTTTTTTCCGTCGTGAGGAATCACTCTGGCTACAATCCAAATCCCACAATCCGTCAATTTAGAATAAGTATGGAAAGGAATATTTCAATAAGATTGTAATCAAATTTGGGTAATTCCAATAAGTGAAATTGATGATTCGGAACACTTGGACTTAGATGTAGATATACCAGGGGCAAATAACGAATCAAATAGTGAGATGTCTGGAAATATCAGCTTTTTAAGGAAAGTTTCTGAGTTGAATAAAAATTCAAACATTGAAAATAGCGAGAAAGTAATACAAAACAAGGAAAATATTGAACCCATTCCCGAAAAGCCAACCTTTGAATTGTCCTCTAACATTTATGTAACGGGATATTTAGCCCATACGCTTTTAAAACATCATGATTGTGAAATTTGTAAACCAATTAATTTAAAATCAGACAGTGCTATTATTAATAAAAGTGAAATATTTTTGCTTCAAAAGGACTACAGTGGTGACAAATCTATTCATTTCTTAAAAAGACCTACAGACGAATTTACGAAGCTAATTCAAGATATTTTGCATTATTTTCCACAGCCTTTGAAAAACAAAAACGTTTATTTGGTGTGCGAAAATATATAAAAACTTATTGTGAGGAAGGTTTAAGACACAGATTGGGCATGTGCGCGAATCATTTTGAGTACGTGTTGAATAATGCCATCAAAATGCTTATTCACCACAATATCCGTAAAGAAACGGCTGGTTACAAATCTTCCCACCAAAAAAGAAGAAAAGTGTCAATTTTAACGAACAAATGAATTTACCTTATTAGTGATTTAAATAAAAAATTTAGCTTTCGGCTAATTGTTACATGTGTGAATTTAAATTTTATTTTTTCTCTAATGTTTCTATTCTTAAAATTAAATTTAGCTTCTGGTCAGTAAACAATTTATAATTTTGACTTATTCGTATCAGCGCGAATACTATCTAAAATCGTTGCTAAAATTAAATCCGCACTCCCAAATATTAATTACTTGATGTGCAGCCTGCACAGTTATAATGGACAAAGACATTTAAAAGCATCAAATATCAGTCAACTCTATTGCTCTGCCCCATTATATCTGCCTTTGATTTGAATTTAAAGATTTAAACGTTAATTGAGGAAGTTCCCAAAAAATGGACAAAAGAAATTGATTTTCAATTATCAAGTCCTAGGTAAATACGCATTCTCTTGCGGTGTCACATACATGCAATATTATTACGGTAAGTTCGGTAGGTTGATATAAACAGGAATTAAATGAATGAAGTCTCTAAAATGCTAAGGAAGTGCACAATGAACACACAATATCTATTTTTAATTTTATCAGATACAAAATAATGTGTAGTTACGGACGGCGTATTGCGTGGCAGCACTCACTCATTCCGTTTATACGGTTGCGCCTCTTCCCTAATCTTTCACTCAACGATAATACTGAAAATAGAATTGAAAAATTCGAAACTGTTCACAAGTTTTCATGTACACAGACGGATGGAGAAACAATCCAAAATCATGAACTCGCTTAGGAGCTCGTTAAGAAGCTTACAAAAGAATTACCAAGCAAATATGGTTGGTGAAAAATACCAATTTTGTTGAGAAAAGTGACAATCATACTTACAGGATTTGCATTTGTGTTGTTTGTCATTCCCCAAAATCCCGTGGTGGCGCTAGGCGCAGCGTTCGGTGCAGGTGCGGCGGCGGGTGTGAACTGATTAGTGGCGCCAAAATTGAAGCCGGTTTTATTGCCCGTGCTGGCGTTAGCGGGCGTTCCGAAATTAAAGCCGCCGTTCTGTAGCGGTTGCGCCTGCTGCTGCTGCGGCTGCACGGGCGCGGCGTTGAAGATATTGCCGGCGCTCGGTGCGCTTTGGAATGGTAGCGCGTTCTCAATTTTGGGAGCGCTAAAGTTGAAGGTCGTCGGCGTGACGGTCGAGTTAAAGTTAAAACCGCCGGCGGCCGGCGTCGAAGCTGGCGTCGCGGCGCCGAAAAACGACTTGTTCGGCTCGGGCGGCTTGGCGCCGAACGCAAATTGTGACTTCGCCGCAGTGTCGTTGGAAGGCGGACCGAACGTGAAGGGTTTATTATCGGCGGCTCCGAAGGTTGCGGGTTTCTGATCGGTTCCGAATATCGACGGCGGCTTCTGATCGCTGCCGGTTCCAAAAATGGGCGCCTTCTGTTCGGTTCCTGATCCAAACGGTGTCGATTTCGGGTCGGCGCCGAAAAGGGGTGCGGATGGTTCGGTTCCAAATGTAGATGGCGCTTTCGGCTCGGTCGCCCCAAAAAGAGACGGTTTGGGCTCCATTCCGAATAGAGATTGCGATTTTGGCGAATCAGCGAATGATGTCATCAAAGGTTTCGGCTCAGATCCGAAGACCGTCGACGCCACTGACCCGAATGGTTGCGTCGATGGCGGTACGTCGAAGGCCGATTTTGCGGAGCCAAACAGAGAATTCGACGATGGTGACCCGAACATTGGCAAGGCCGGTTGTTTTTCTGTGGTCCCGCCGAAAGTGGGCTGAGTCGGCGCCGGCTTTTCCGAATGCGAAAAATTGAAAACTGGAGACTGTGTGGTGGTGACCGTATTTCCAAATAGCGAAGAAGCCGTCGTTTTCGTCGGGCCAAAGGTGAACAAGTTTGTTGATGCCGTAGTGGTGGGATGAGATTGTGTGGGTGTTGGTGTAAACATGAAGCTGGATGAGGTTGTTGTGGGCTGAGAAACTGCAGGTTTCGGGGTAATGGGGGAATTAATTGCGGGAGGTTGGAAGGTGATTGCGGATGATGGTTTTTTGTTTTCAACTGCGGCTGAATCGGAATCAGCGGCACTGCGTTTTAATGATGGAGTGATTGCGGTGGAACTTTTACCAAATGTAAATGCCGAAGGTGACGTGGATAACACTGTTGGTTTGGTAGCTTCTGATTGAATCAGATCTGATACTGTTGCGCTTACTTTTGGAGGAACGCTAAATACGAATATACCGCTTGAAACTGGAGCCTTTGAAGCGTCGTTGACAGGTTTTGATGCCATAGTGCTGGGTTCACTCACTTTAGCTATGGGCAACAATGGTTCAATGACTTTCTTGCTCTCAGTCACGGGCGTTGCTGGAACTACAGGCGTTGGTGGAATTACGGACGTTGCTGGAATTCCAAATGTAAATGTGGGAATGGTCGAAGTTGATGTAACTACACTTGTACTTGGTAACGAAAAGCTGGGAGTCTGTACGGTTTCAGTTCCCGTTGTCTTTGTAAGGGATGCAGTCGTAGGAAAAATTCCAAAATTGAAAGTGGCAACGTTAACAGTCTTTGCCGGTTTCTCATCGACTTTCGTGCCAGGTTTTGGAGTTTCGCAAGCTTGACAAACCGTCTTGTCCTCATTGTTCCGTATCATACACACCGAACACTCCCACTCGTTTCCCTTCTTTTTAAAGGCATCCCCAAACCCAAAGCCCGAGGGAGCTGCGCTTTTCGATCCCGGTTTGACAGTCTCACAAGCGACACACTTTTCAACCTCGTCCTTATTTCTGATTAAACAAGTGGGACACTCCCACGTCGAGCTGGGTGGTTTAAATTGGTCTCCAAAAGATGGCGCGGTTTTCGCAGCACCATCACTCTTAACTGCCTCGGTCCCTGGTTTCGCGGCCTCGCACGCGGCGCACTTCAGCTTGTCGGGCGTATTTCGGATTAAACACACGTTACACTCCCACAAAGCAGCTGCCGGTTTAAATTTGTCCAACGATTCCGCTACGGGTGTATTAAACACGTCCTCGACACTTCCTTTAGATAACTTGGGGATAACAGGGGGAACACCTTGATTTTTTCTTTTCAAAGTGAAATTCTCAGACGTAGACACTTTGAAATTTACACCAACGTCCTGAGCACTTTTGTCTCTTTGTTTAAATACGGGATCACTGAATTTAAAATCGTTAATCGCGATTATCGACTTTAAATTGTCGGCGAGTATCAGAGGATTGGAAAACTCAAATTGGGCAACTTGGTCTTTTACATCAACTGCATCAGCTTTCTTTTTAATAACGGATGAGCTTGTCGGAGTAGTACTTTTCGGGGGTTCATTACATGCAACCGTCACAAGAGGTTGCTTTGCACTAGATGGAGGTGGCGGAAGTGAAAAGTCAAACTTCGGCAGAGTAGTTATCGGTAAAGTGACCGCCGGTAGCTTAACCTCCTCAATTTGTTGATTATCATTCTTCTGGCGTGTTGCTGTGAGCTTGTTCTTCATCTTGTTACTATGTTTCGGCACGTCATCTTCTTTGCTACGTATTTTGTAATCATCTCTATTAAGTACAGATTTTGAAGTCGTCGCGATTTGCCGTACAGCCACCGTACTGTCCTGGAGTCGTTCCTTCAATTTCATTTTGAGCAAATCTGGCACAGTCGGTACATGCAGCTCCTTGTTCAAAGCGAAGGGAATCTTACGCTCCCGAGTCACATAAGGATTTGCACCTGCGTACTTCGATAAAATACCTTCGGGCCGCACTCTCTGCTTGGGATACGGTATTTTCTTCGCATCCGTAACGGGATTAAACTCCTCCAACGCGTTCAATATCCTTCTAGCCGTTTTGCTTAGGCTCACGTCGTTACCGACCGAATTATTTACGGGTTTCACTTGTATTTGACTTTTCGGCCGGTCGGGCGCGCTCTTTTGACGAGCGCTGTACGCCGACGCGCCCCCATAAACCGTGCGTCCACTGTAAAACGGCGAGCTTAAAATTTGTTTGGTCGACAACGTCCTATCGACGAAGTTCGGCGAACCGAAAGTAGAGGCGTTAAACGAAGGGCGTTTTGAGCTTAGAGACGTGTTTAACTGCGAATTGTAGGGCCGATCGGTGAACAGTGAGCGACTGTGTGTACTTGGCGCTGCAAATAAAAAAATAAGAAATGCATTTAGGAGGTATAACAGTACAGTTGTGCCACGATGTTCATAATTACAAGTTATTTTTATCTATACAGGGTGTCCCAGATAAAAGTAACTACATGGGACTTTCGGGAACAGTAAGCAAGAACCAAACTTCTCAAGCAATAACTTGTCCTAAAGATTAACCGCGCACTAAGCTGCTGGATTTTGAAGAATTTAGTATTTTTTCATAATAAAAGTTTTCCCAATTTTTGTTAAACAAAGAAAACTAATCTCTAAGAAATATTTTTAAAAAAAAGTTGTATGATGTCCCAGCGCTAAAAACTCAAATAAAAAAAAAAGTTTTTGACTTTATGGTTAATGCACAGGTGATTCAAATTCGTGGCTCACCATTGGGAGCTCCGCAACGATGAGAGATACCTCGAGAGATACAGTGTAGGTTAAATGGGGGCAAAGTTGTCCCTTTTTGTGACTAAGAAAACGTTTTTGAAATTTTTGAAAAATCATTGAATAACTGAGATTACTGAAAAGCTGAAAATGTCAAATGTCGTTTTCATTTTCGCTAGCTTAAACAGACGAAAATGAGGTTCCCGTTAGCACCTGCTATGAACATGTCTTTCCGACAATCTGAATGTGTTATCAGAATTTCCATAACATGCTAGATGTAGAAGCTACAGACTACTACATGCATATTTCTTATGGACGCCATATTGAATTTATACGTTATGAGACAGAGGACCAACAAAGAAATTCATTTCAATGCATCACCATCATAGCCGCATGTTGATATCCTCAATCTCATTCCATAAAAATCCAAGCTGGCGCCCATTAAAAAAATAAGATAGTAGTAGTCTGTAGCTCATAACAGGTTCAGATTCTCTGAAAAAATGCCCATAGAAGGTGTTAAGGGAAACCGAATTTGGACCACCCTATCCATTTTAACGAAATCAAAATAACCATTTGGGCGACAAAAATATTTTAGTTTTTTAGCTTTAAAAATTTTTTCTGTTTTTTTTGTAATACAGGTTGTATACAGAAAAATAAGGTTTTTAGAATAATTTAAGTTATTTTTTGAAAAAGAGACATTTTTACATAGAATCCAGTGACATAGTCAAAAAATTGTTTTTGGACCACCACTTCTGAGATTCGACCCAAAGTTGGTATATGTAAAGGGAACACCTTGCATCTCTTACTCTCGCTCTTACATTAATAAAATTTGATTGTATTGACGTCTGCTGGACAATTAAATGACGATAACGAATTTTTTCCACACCTTGTACATATCGAAAATAGGAATGAAAAGGAAAAAAAGAAAAATAATGACGTGCCACGTGTCATTATATTTTTACAATAAATTTACAAGAAAAACTTCAAAATCAAATACACAGTTAATAAACTCTCCCACGCGTGGTAATCGTTGTTTAGATCATGTATATCTTAGGTCTAGGGATAATTTTGTTGCAAACGCATATGTTGTATTATCTGGTCGGAGTGATCATGATGATAGTGTATCGGTTGCCTTTAACTTGTTTTTATGCATACTAAACGATGCTGTTAATAATTCGAAATTTCTACAAAATAAAATAAGCAAACTTAGATTGATTAAACCATGGATGACTTTTGCTTTATGTAGAAGGCAGCAGCATAGAAATATCTTATATAAAAAGGTTAAAAAAAAAATCCCAGTAATTTGAAATTAAAACGTTATTTTGATTCCTTTTCCTTGCGACTCAAGAGCGCCATTATAGAACAAAAGAATACATATTATAAAAAATTGTTCAATAGAAACCAGAATAATCCTAAAAAACAGTGGGCTACTATAAACAACATCTTGGGTGGGAATAGTAAAATAAAAAACATTGACAGTATAAGGAGTGTCGCTCAGCCTGATGTTACAATAAGGGATTCTCTTGGTATAGCCAATGAGTTTAATTCATATTTTACTTCAGTTGTTGAGAAGCTAATGGGCACTTTAGACTCGGCTGATGGTTGTAGCGGTAACGATTACAGAGACATTTTTCCAAACACATATACCACGAATTCCTTCTTCTTTATGCCTACTTGTAATGAAGAAGTGCATAATATCATAGGGAAGCTAAACCCAATAAGTCGCCAGGTTACGATGGCATCTCTGCTCATGTCATTAAAAAATTAGTGTTTCTATTAGTCCTGTCTTAGCCTACATAATTAATTTGAGTTTTGAAACTGGTGAATTTCCTGACTATTTAAAAAAAGCTGTAGTAGTTCCTCTGTTTAAGAAAGGGAATGTGACCAACCTTATCGACTAAAGACCAATATCCTTCCTTTCGGTTTTCTCTAAAATAATAGAAAAAAATTGTAAAAATTAGAGTAGTGAAGTTTTTAAACATAAATAATTTCTTAAGTAAAAAGCAGTACCTATGGTTTTGTCGAAAACAGATCTGCAGAGGACGCACTATTGTCCTTTTGCTCTGAAATTTTTAATGGCATTAATTCTAATTTGACGGTAGCCGGACTTTTTATAGATATAAACGAAAGCCTTTGACTCTGTTAATCACAGTTTACTTCTGTCACGTTTGCAGGAAGCGGGATTCAGGGGCATTGCATTAAGTTGGTTTGGTAGTTATTTGTCGGGTAGAAGTCAGTGTGTTCGGATCAAGCAATCCTATAGTTCCTTGTTGCCAATAACGTGTGGTGTACCCCAAGGTTCTGTTTTAGGACCAATTCTGTTTATTATTTTTATCAATAAATTATGTTCGGGTAACTTCAATGGTGATCTTACTTGCTTTGCTTGCTTTACACTGCCTTATGTTATAAAATGAGTGATGAAAAACTACTTAATAATTTAATTCAATTCTTTTCCCCATTTTCAGTCTCTTGGAATTCTCCCCATCAGACATCTCTACATATTTAGTGTTACGTATATTTTATCTGAGGGGTAGTCAAAAAGTAGGTAATTCTCTAGTCTACTCATCTAGGCTAAAATCTTTGAATAGAGTAGCCTTACCAAGACCCTCGTGTGAGGCTTTTAAGCGGTTTTATGTATACAATTGTGTAAAATTCTACAATAAACTTCCATATTCTATCACTAGTTTAAATAGAGTGACAATTTTTTAAAAGGGTTAAAAACGTGGCTGTTTACTTTTAGCCACAAAACTGTTGAATGTTTTTTCTAGTATTATGTTTATTATAGTTTCCTTATATTATATAAATATTTTTTTTTAAGTTTGAGCATATCTAATAATGCTTGTAAAATTAGCACTAGTATAATGTAGGTATAGTGCGATGAAGCAGTCTTACATTCTGCCATTTAACTAATGAATTAATCATTAATTATTCCAGTATTAATTTTTATTTAAATTTTGTATATAGTATGTTGGTATTGCTGCTGGGGAGCAGCCACCTTGGTCATTTTCTTATTTTCAATAATGAAGGCAACCTCAACACAGCTAATGCTCATGAGGTGCCTAGCTGTAACCAATAAAATTAGTGTCTATTGACTGTAAATTTGGTTGTGAAATTTTCTTGTTTACAGTAATAAATTATTTCTATTTCTATTTCAAATGTTTTATATTCAACAAGACATCTACAACTTTCTGAATCAACACGGCTTTGGCCCATTTGCCAGCCTCATCACAATCATATATCAAATTTAAAAGTATGAAATGTCATTATTTTTCTTTTTTTTTCCTCTCATTCCGTAACAATTCAATATGGCGTCCATAAGAAGTCCATACCTACATCTAGTGTGTTATGGAAATTCGGATTACCCGAAAAAAAAAAAAAAAGGTGGCCATAGAAGGTCCTAACGGCAGTGATATCTCAGTTATTTTCAAAGATTTTTCAACTTTGCCCCCATTTAACCGACAGTGTATCTCTCTCCGTTACAGAGATCCCAATGGTGAGTCACAAATTGGAACCACCCTCTACGTACATTTAGAGGAAAAAATTTTATTCTTAAAATGATCTAAAACGTCAACATTTGATGAAATGTTGACATGTCTAGAAACCTGTGATCGCAATAGCCATATCTCAAGCTAGGTAGGTAATAGTTTAACTTAGCTGGCTGTGAAACAAATGCCATAATCGTGTTTGCTTTTGTGGTGTAATTATTCTCATTGATTTTTCAGCAAAGATAACGGTGCACTTTCATTTCGGGAATGACACAATATGACCACCAGAAAAAAATGACATTTGGGAAAGTTGTAATGCTTATTAGAAAGGTTCATTTGACAACAACATTCTAAAATGTTATTACATTTAAATAGTACTTAGTTGAACACTAACCGAGACACTAACACATCAGATTTGTAGCAAATGTTCTAGAAATTCAGAGAGTTCACGAGGGGTGCCACCAGTCGCCATCAAATCCACGGGCGATAAAAAATGAAGGCGAATGTGACGCGTTTGTTCCAGAAAATGTGGTTTATTCAAGAATTCTCGAAAATATCGATAATCGATTTTTCTAGAAACTTTCCATTTGCTATATAAGGAAATTGAAGCGTGTTTAATAGAGTTCCAACATCAATTTCAAAATTCACACTTGTATGTGATAAATTTACATATTATAAATTGTGTACAAGTGATTAATAATAATTAATTAAGTGTAAATAAATAAATCATGTACGTTACAAAATCAATCCAATCAAATATGTCGAACAGTCGCTGTCTTATCAAGCCTCAAAGATTTTGAGCTTCCAGTAATTTGTTTTCAATCCCTGGAGAGAGCCCTTTTAAGGAGTACAGCCATTGTTGAAAAAATCTATCCAGTGTTTGGAAGTGGATCATCCTCATGGTTTTGTAGTAACATAACTCAGAAGATCTAGCCTATAGTACCGTTTGACCGATAAAGTAACTGGTGCTCATTATCAGTTTTATTTCAATTATTTCAAAAATGACAATAGAAAATTATTTACTATTTACCATTTCTTCTGTTCTGCTGCTACTTTTTACCGACTACATACAAGAACAGTATAACGTATACAAAAGAACTAAAGAGTGTTTTGATCACAAAATTGAGTATTATATACAGCTATATAAATGACAAGTACAAATCACAGAAAAAGAATTTTTTAAATTATATAATCAAGATGAAGGCACCTTGCTTACCATTAGTAAAGATATAGGTAATTAAATGTCAGCTTCAATTTTAGATTTTCATAAAAGACGACTGTGCAGACATGACCATTCCAAAAAACGCTGAAGAAATTAGAGGAAGTAAAAGATCAAATGTGCTCAGACATGAAATGCAACATACTAAGTAATCTTGTAAATTTGAAACTCTTCGTGGTGTTATTATCGCTACGAATACTGAGCAATCAACGTTAAATTGCCATGATTTTTTGCACTGGGTAGAAAACCGTACTGCAACTTCAACTAGTGCAAATTCTTGGTAGACTGCTACTACTAAAATATATACCCCCATATAAAGGACAACAATAATATGCATTCCGCGGCACTACTGTAAACTTTTCAGCACATTGGCACAGCTACTTACGTGTGTGAAAATTAATCCTAGTTTCTGTTGTATTTCTTAATCTCGATACCGAAGACGCATCTGACTCGCCACTCTCGGACTCTTTATCCCCATTAAATAACCTAATCGTTGCAGATCTATCTTTCTGCTGTAATCCCGACGGTCCGGCGACACTGTCAAAGATATTTCCACGAGTTTGTGTTTCAATGCGACTCGAAATTGGACTAAAATTGTTAAACTCGCTACTTAACGAATTTGTGTAAGGTTTCGACTCCGGAGTGGGTATTTTGACTCTCTTCGAGGGAGGTTGAATTTCGTAGTTGTCGTCGTCCTCATCGTACACTCTATGCCGTATATTAGTATCGCCGCTGAACCATTTCCCAAATGAAGTCGACAGTAATTCCGACACATGGGATTTGACTTTCTTCACGAAGGACTACAAAAGAAATGTGTTAAAAATGAAGAGCACAAACAATTATTAAGGAAATTGAGGCACAAAATTCGGTAAAAACACGGCTTGGAGTGGGTTTTCTATTTTTGGACATTGCTAACGCGCGAATTGTTACATACACGCGTAGTTACCTTATTCGAGTTAGTTTCTTCCTGTAGAGACGTATTGTTGTCCAAGTTATTATTTTGACCATCCATAACTGCACGTGGAATTTATATAAATAAAAACGTACGATTTTCACGTGAACATTTCAATCTCTTAATAAATTTATTGCATGAGGAACGAAAATATGGCGGATAAGTAAAGGTTAGTTCATAAAACGGTGACATTTAAAGATCCCTAGATTTTTCATTGTTACCAACATAAATGAACTTTTTACTATACAAGGTGTTACATCAAGCTGTGGAGCACACAGAATTGAATTGCATCGTCTTCAGGTAGATTCGCGCTCAACGAAAAGTCGTTCCTGCTGGGATACTTGCTCCAAAGAGCAAAGGAAAATTCAAGTTGAGGAAGTAGGTACGCCAAAGGGGAATGTCCCTAATCCGCTTTTATTTATGACACAATTTTCATTCAAAATTCTTATTACGCCCCCCTACCCCCCAATAATGTCTTGGTTTAAGGAGCCTATAGAGGACGTTCTTTCGCAGAACTTCCAAGCACACGGGCGGGGATGATGGTCTCGTGCGTTTCTTACGAAAACAAATACTCTGGCCGAAACAGGGGAACCCAGTGTCGTTTGCGCCGAAGGGAGCTCAATCTCTTTATCGACCTCGATGAGGCGTCGGGATTACTATCGGCGCCCTTGCAGAGATCAAGAAAGATGGGCAAGAATTGATTGCACCGGCGAATTTTTTAACTTGCTTTTCTAGGGAGTGAGCATTTTGGTGGAAGGGCCAAATTTACTACACAGCCTAAGCAATTTAAACAGATAAGAGACAGTATGCTTTATATGAAAGTTACATTGTTCGCTCTTATTATTACCTTGTCATAAGGTGCAACTTCAATCAAATCTAATTAAGTGAAGGATGTGTCACCGTTGTTACCACAGGCGATGTTACAGGAAGGAGGTACACCACAAACTGAATTCTAGATTAGTCATCCGACTATTCCGGAATGTATTTAATTCCTTGCATGGAATTTTCTAACAACCACTGAAAGGTATTGGGTAAACACACCATTAGATAGCAAGCAAATTATAACTTCTTAATCTTTAATTTATTTACTCCATTACAATATAGAAAAAGCAAGTTAATTTAAAAAGTTTTAATGTTAATTGTTGGAACATTTGAAATATATAACAGTGACACGCACGCAAAATACATGAAAGACAACTATAAAAAAATTACTTCAGCCAGTTATTTTGTGCTTATGCATAAAAGATAACTGTACGTTTGTTCAATCTTTCCATAAAAGGAACTCAAATTAGCAAGACGATTGCAGAAATCAAGGGATAGGGTATAACAACAATTAAAATCAGAATTTAACAAAATTGTACCTTTAACACATTAGATAAATAAAAATAATTATACCACAAAATATAAACAACACTGAATAGAATACGGGTTATATTACCAAACTACCTTTGTTTGCGGTACTCCTCGAGGTTGGCATTCGTTAATAATTGTTTTAAATAAAATTAGAAGAGACATGCAAAAAAAAGATAGTTTGGTTTAACAAAAAAAAAAAGGTTTAGACAAGAACCACCAACTATGGCCGACCAGTGTGCCTTTCAAACAACAATTGCTCCATGCCCACATGTACATTGCCGTTTGACGAATTAGAAAATTACAAAAAAATAAATAAACATGTATTTGCTAGTATTGGGAAATGCATAAAATGAGGTAGGCCATTAGCGTAGCTTAGGGATAAGTAGTGGTAGAACCGTCCTGTTCGGTTAATAAAAAAAAGTACAAAAAGAAGTTAATGATCGTTTATAAATATTAAACAACTACAATAAGCAGAAGTAAATTTAAAACAAGTTCTACAAATACTTATGTACATCAAATGAAAAAAAACTACTTAAAAAATACAGTAATAAAATAAAACCTTCACATTTTATTTAAATATTCAGCAGACGAAAATGTACATCTAGGTGTTTACGAAAAGGACTACGCTAAGTATATTATTTCTCTAAAGCTAAAAGATAAAACCATTATAATACAAATAGAAACTCACATATTCAGTAATTTACCTATAGTCTTTAATTCTTCTAAATTATTAAATAAAAGTGCCAGATGAACCTTCGCAGGCCCTCGAACCGACAGAAACATAGTAGAAAACTAATAAATATACACCGGTTTTTAATTTAATAAAAGTAACGTTATGCATACTTTTCACTTAAATAAAACTGTTTAGCATTAACACTAATCTGCTGACGTACTTGACCACTACGATTCATCTGACATGAACGAATTTTGCGATTTCATCTCCTCCAGTGTTTTGATTTGGTGACGTAAAAATAATATTCTTAAACAGAGAGACGCAAACTGTTAATCGCACATCGTGCGCCGACTATACTAAGCTCACCTTTGCTCCTGCAGTGTCGCTTGAATTTCGGTTAAACGAACTATCGATCTAGCGGATTTTAATTCGGCCGATACCTTCGCACATTGTATGCTTCCCATTATGTGTGCTTCTTGAGCTAGTTTTTCTGCCTAAAATTCGGTGGCAGTGTTAGACGCGATTTTTTTTAAGTGTCGTTACCTGTTTCTCTAAAATATCGGCAGGCCAACCTCTAACGTGATTTACTAGATCATCCCTATAATGATTCGCTAGTGATGGCGTGATTGACGGACCTTGAGGTCTAAGTGCTTGCAGCGAACTGGACACTCCTTGCAAGGATGAAAGGGTGCCACTTCCCGGCGGACTTCCGACTGGTACTGTTACTTTAAGCAAATAAAAATAAGATGAGCACTTATTGAAAAACATAACAACCCTGAACAGTGTGGGCCAAAGCAGCCCCCTTTGGATTGAAACAATGTTTCTAGTTCCTATAAAGACGGAACAATATTGATCATTTCTCTGACCTTATGAGTTTTGGACACTAGAGCATTTCTGGGTTGCTTTGACAAAGTGTACCTTTGTTTTAATATTAAATATTCACATTCATTGAGTTTACTTAACTATGTTATAAGAGGAACACATTATGTTGGCATCTATTCATGCTAATCTCAAAGCGAAAGACATATTTGACGGTGGCAAAGCATCCCGAGAAGCTTCCTTATATGAATTGCTGCAAGAAATCAGTTTTTAATTCGGTGGGAGATGCAGAAATTGCTTTGGGTATAAATATTAAGTTGCACCATACAATCCTAAAAAACTACCATTACCATTTTCTTTCCATAATGTGCATTGGATGCAACCAGAGGACCTCCCAAGACGAATTGAGTTTTGCGAATGCCTAATGTTAAGGGACCTTGATGATAATTTTTTGGAGAACATTATTGGGCAGACGTCCCAACAATGGTGCACTTTCAAGGTGCTGGATATGTTGTGTTGGTTAAAAAATACAAGATTTTGTGTTTCCATGTGTATCAAGAAAGTTTGGATGCAGAAAGTTATACCGAAATTTTACATAATAATGTTGTTCTTGCAACAGAAGATCTGCCTCTGCAGGAATATGTTGCCAACAAGATAGTGCCAGACAGGCAGGCAGGCCATATATTTGGCCTGCTTGTTCCCTGGACCTTACAAAGCTTCATGTTTATATGAACCCTTTAAAAACTGCCTGAGCAAGTTAGAACAATACTAAAAAAACAATAGATCATGTATGTCACTGTGGTAAAACCGAGGGTATAACAGTGTCATGGACGATCAAGATGTAATGACCTAGAAGTGATCCTCACATTAAGGACAAAATTACAAATGATAACATTTAAATTCTTCTCAAAACTACCACAGCTCCTGCTAGAACTTCAAATAGGACCTCCGCTCCCCTCAAATTCTGCACACTTTAGAAAGACGGATTCCGATCGGCGCAAAATTCAGATAAATATTACCAACCCATCTGCATTCTATACCTACACAAATATAAAACTGAAGCTAAAATTAGTTTAAGGCCTTGATCAGTAGATGTTGCGCTATCCTAACGAAATACAAAATAATAATAATAAATAAACAGTCGTTTTCTGTTCAATGCAGCACAATACTTTAATAGTTTAGCGAGTATCCCAGACATCAGGGCGCCATCAACTCGATAAAAGATTAGCCACCAGCGAATCTGCTGATAGGGAATTAAAGGGGACTTCTTGAAATATAAATTTACCTGCTATAAATTTATGTACAAGAGTCTTTTTTTTATCCCGTTACGACATAAAAATGTATAGGACAAATACCACTACACACCTAAATAAAAAACGTAATTCAATTTACGAAACAATAGATTGACCAGTGGACAATTATTATTCAACGTCGTGTCGGAACATAGGTTTATAGAAACACTTTGTTTCATGTTTTTAAAAAATGGTCGAACGATCAATTAAAAGTACTTTTACTAACCTTCCGAGTTATTTAACAAGAAATCCAAAATCTTTTGCATGGCAACTATAAATTCTATTTTACATGCAAATATGTGAATAATTTCACGCTATTGAGCTCATCAACAAAAAATTATATTTTAGAATCATAATTAAGTAAACAAATATAAGGGGTATTCAATGAATGCTCGGGTAATAGTGGCTGTAGTTTTTTCCTAGCATGAATGTAGGGCCAGTTCGATGTTTGCTGTCAACTGTCAATAAATGTTCAAAAACAAAAAACATTTGAAAAACAGATACTCAATAGTATGCATCAAATTAAAAAGTAGTAGATGTCATGTAATAATATTGGGCAATTACCTTTAGCACAGTCGGGAGTTTCCGAGTGAGTGGGCGTAGGTGGTCCTTCTCCCATTGGCCCATTGTGATTGGTATCAACCGTAAGGGGATGTATATGCGCACTTTCACCTGACGTCTGTCGCGTCATCACAAGCACGTTATGTACAGTTTGTAGCGTCTTGACTTCGTTAGCGTCGGGGGTGGTAGGTACTTGAGATAAATTTCGAGGCAACGTCGTCAAGGAGACGGGCGGGCCGGGTGCATTCGACGTAGTCACACTGGAAGGCGGCGGTACCATGACCGGTGTTGAAACGCTCGCTAACGGCGACGCTTCGGGCCTACTAGTCTGCGTCGGCGTCGATGGAACTTGCAACGGATGTGAAACTAAACGAGGCAAAGCGTTCGCCAGCAGTACAGGCCCCACGGATCCCTGTTCCAAATTCAAGGGCTGACTGGAGAGATTTTGGTGGGCGTAAGAGACTTCAGACGTCGGCGTGCTGTCGCCCGGCGAAATATCCATATCCTGCATACACTGCATGTTATCGTCCGAGTACTTGCGGGACGAACGAGAGTCTCTGTTCGTAACATCGCCGTCCTCTCTACTGCTACCGCTACTCCAGTGGCGACTACCTGTAGCGCTTTCTCTAGCTCCATCTTTACTGATACTGACACTTCGTGAATTGGAATGTTTTTCGTGCCCTGTAAACGGATACCCTCATTAGTACCAAATGTGTACAAAATTTGGTTTAGTTTGGTGTTTTTTGAAGTTGAAGGCAGTTGATTCTGAACTGAGAACATGTGTACGCAATGTCCCAGTGACATGTTGAAAAGAAAATGCCAGGGGTAGTAGCCATAGTAGACACTATACTTCATTCATTATAAGAAGGTAGCAGATGGCGCTGGGGTTGAAGATAAGCACACACAGGAAAAATATAAAACGGCACCAAATTACTGTAAAGTAGAAATATCTAGCACTGCAAACACAAATCAATCTTTGACATTAACAGTTAATGACACTTCAATAGTTTATAGTTTAGATGCCAACAGAAACTACCAGCTTGCAAAATTCGCCACTCGTTTTATGTTTCAGCGTAATACTGACTTGTGTTTTAACCAATCACACTGAAGGTCAAATTTTCCCTGTTTTTTACCGCTACCTTCTTAAAATGAATACAGTATATGTAACTTATATCTTAACCATTCGCAGGAAGGTGGCTTTGGAATGCAAATACGATTTTGTTATTGGCTTGTACGATGGGTACGGGAGTTTTTGATTGTTTTATGTGGGGGCGTAACATCTTTGTTGAATTTGTTTGCAATGGTATTTTACCGCTATCTTATTTTGCACAAATGCCATATGATACTTTTTCATAACTCCTGAATATTTTTAATGTTTGGATATTGTTATGTAATAGGTTTCCTATTTTGTATGCGAATATTATATCCCTACAATTTGTATAATGGTCTTTGATCGCATATGTTCTAAGAAGCCAACAAGGACGCAGTGTTTTGTTTCGATCGCTAGCGTACAATCCAGGATTTATGGTAACTTGATGTGTGTCTGCATTGATTTCATTTCGTACTGCTCGTCTTTTGTTATCGATCAAAGATCCACTATACAAACTGTAATGAGACAGGTTATGCCGTAGCCAAAGGGGGACACCTGAACCCAAACCACAAACATACCCCTATATTGTTATGGTGAGACAGATCATGTCCTACTACAGGCGCCTGAGCTCTTAACCATGAATAAAAATGATATATTATGTTTATTCTTCGTACCGTGAGCCCTTGATGTGAATGTCAGGCTCCATCACATAAGTCTTGGTAACTACATTCATTTCCACAAAAGATGGCGGCACAATATTTTAAATATTTGTCTAAAGTCAGGATTATGGGCGACATAAATTTTCCAGACGTTGTAGTACAGGTTGAAAACTGATTTTTATTTGTTTTTAAATTTATTTTGAACTTTATTTTTAAGTGGGCGAGGTTTCAGCAAAGGCTGTTCTACCAACCCAACCTACTATACATTTACAAAAATATTCATGCCCGAACCCGGATTCGAACCAGGGACCCTTACTACCGCAGTCGAGATTCAACTCAACTGCGCCACACAGGCACTATTATGATGAAATTGTAAAATACCAACTACCGCCCTTCTTTCTGACCCCTTATCAAAAGAGGGGGCTGGGGGCGTGGCACTGGTTTTATCCTCCATGGTACTATAATGAAAGGTCTCAACAAAAGGAATTAATTTCTACCAACCACAGTCCTCCTCCTCGACCCCATATCGTGATTGGATATAATTCCCTATATCTAAGCACAGATTGTCCAGACGCAACATATCTATTGGTGAAATCGAAGCGAATATTTTGGAAATGAGGTATCAGAAGAGAGTACTCCTGGGCAAGTGGAACGTCATGATGAGGGTACTTTCAAAGGGCGGAAAGATCTTCTACACGAGGCACATCTACTGGGATACAAAAGCTTAATTGTAAATATCTCGAAAATGTTGAAGGAAGGTTCCTACAAAGGGAAAATGTAATATTTCGGGTAATTTCTCTAAGGGCTTGATTCTTCTTGCATTATATAGCGTAGATTTTTAATGTATGCCAGGCGGTCTTTAAATGTTTATGCGTAAAGAGCCCCCTCAATCATCTACCAAGAGTAAACATCGATAAATATAGCATTCTACCACCTTCTAACACAAAAACAGTTGGCACTAAATGAATGTTTGACATTTCTAAGGTACCTTGATGAACTACCTACACAATATCGTTTTGAGCATTTTAATTTAACAATTAATTTGCTAATAATTTAAAATTTAGGGAAGAATTGAAATATCGAATATTATAGAGGGTGTTCCATTAAAAAGATGCAATTTTTGTGTGCCCCAGCTTTATGACCAACCCTGTGTAATTAAAATTATTGCTGTCTAGTAGACATTGAAGAACCACAAAACTTATTCGACACCTTGTATGTTTCCCGCGATAATCGATGTTTCTAGACTGATCAGTGACCCTGTATAAGAGCAAACATTGAACATTTTGAGGTGCACACAACTGTCAGATCCGTAATAAAGCAAGCCTAAACCTCCCTTTTGCAAGGCTGGACAGGACTACATTTTCTTGCAATTATTATTACTACAACGTACTCTCTTCTCAAATTAAACGTCTGGAGTTATTCCAATTTAAAAAAAGCCTTAAACACTACTTCAATGCAAAAGCCTTTACAGCATCAAGGAATGTCTATTAAACGATTTTTCTGACATTGGTAACACAGTACACAATGATGTATACTAGGTTGAGTGGTAGAGCAACAGTTGAACGTCTACGTAAGGTCAACATGTTGAACTCTTATTATTTTTCCTTTACTTTTAAACAATGTGTCTAAATAGAGACATTCGGCCCTATGCTGTATCACTATCGTTAAGAATAACGATATCGTTATGCGGCGTTACCATAATTTTTTAAAAATCGGTATGCTGTATCACTCATAAAAAGAGTGGGATAACGACTATCGTAATTCTCTATCGTTATTTTGCAAACATAACCAGAGAAACTTAACGGCAGGGTGCATGCTATCCGTTTGGCGCGTAACGGTCCTGTCATCGATTCGTTCGGAGTTTAAGGGGATGTTAAAGAGAAAGAAAATGAATAATTGCAAGGATTTTTGCAAGTAGCTTTGTTCGGGCAATTGGAAAATGTAATAGGGAGGTAAGTTCTGTGCCTTTTAATACTCGTAGATTATGTTTTTATTGAGACATGAGGAAAACATCCAACGAAGAATTTTACGAGACAACAGTGATCAGTTTCAGCTGGGTGAAATTGATTTTCAAAAAGATTTTCGTTTATCAAGAAAATCTGTTTGAATGTGCAAATGGTAAGGACTAACAGCAGCATGTTTCAATGAAAATTTGTTTAACATGCAGATTTGTGATGCGAACATAAAAATCCTGAATTGTAATGCACGGTTTCCAGGATCTACTCACGACTCTGCAATATGGGATATGAGTGCGGTGAAAAGGCACCTGGAAGAAAAGTATTTAACCAATGAGTTACATTCATCTTGGTTAATTGGTGAGTGTGGCTGTTGTGACCTAACAATTTTGCCCTTTTACAAACTTGTATAGGTGATTCAGGATATGCACTGCAGCCATGGTTGTTAACGCCAATAGAAAATGCAGAGGCAGACCCACTTTCACCACAGGGAAGATACACTACACAACACATTTTAGCCAAGAATGTAATAGAACGCTGTTTTGGAGTGTTGAAGCAAAGGTTTAGATGCCTCTTGAAGTACAGAGTTCTTCATTACTCCCCTGACAGATTTGCGAAAATTGTGTGGTGCTGTGCATTGTGCAATACTCCATAATATTGCGATACAGGAGAACTTACCACCACTCGAGGATAATGAAGGTGATGTAGATATACCTCCACAGAATATGAGAGAAAATGAAGGTATTTGTACCTAATCCTCTAAAAAAAAACAAACTGTTGTATGGCCTCTTATTATTCTCTTCGACATTCGCCATGTCGTGAAAAACCAACTAGGTAGGTACATTTACAATTAATAATAATAATTTTAAAGAAACGTCTGCATTTCCAAATCTGGCGGGTATTTGTTTTAAGATTAAGCGCCCTCTTATATTTGATCGCTGTGATATTTCACTCTTACACGCACTGCCGTTGCGCAGCGTTCCTTGTTTTCTAGAATGCGACACTTTTTTCCGAAATAGCCACTGCGAGATACCGGACAACGTAACGATACCGTTAAAATATTGATACAGCATATCGCGTTTATCGATAGTCGTTGTGGTCATCATAACCTTTGATCGTTAAACTGCGATAACGATTGATCGTATAGAATAACGAGAGTGATACAGCATAGGGTTGATTATTTAGTTTTTTCTCGCTTTAAGCGGTTATGGATGCCATTTCCAGAAGGACACTTTTTGTATCTTTGAGTATAGGCATGGGCGAATGTCGAGTTTATTATTAGTATTATTATTATATTAGGTAGTTGTAAACTGTGTGTATGCTTTATATATTTTTTGCGCGATCGGTCATTTCTGACTATTTACCAGAGACTTGCTATAACTAGACGGCGCTTAACGTATCTAAGGTGTTTTCGACACAGTATGCAACACACAATGCACCGCGGGGCAAAAATCGCTGAGATGATATGCAATATAATGAAATAAGCTGTTATTTTAGATGTTCCGTTCATTAATCATTCTCGTGATTAGCTCGAATTAGTGAACAGATAAATTTCTGTTGAGAATAAACCAATAAACTTAGGTTAACTTGTGCCTATCAACATGTACTCTGTCAATAAATTTTTAAATAATATGCTGATTTTCAACGGATAAAAGTTTAAAGGGCCAATGGATCAGAGCCATTCGAAGAGAAAAATTTACTCCCACCATAGTGCATTTTCGGGGAATGAAGCCGATTTTAGAAAGGTACCTACGAAGGTGTTAAACTATAATGCAATACCGAGCGTTTTCGACTTTCCCATTCACTTAAAATAACGTAGAACTATTATTCGACATCCTTTACCAGCAAGACAACGACAAAAAATCGTGGAGGATTGTTGCACGTATCAAGCGATGCATTAAAAATTTGCCAAATTGCTGAAAATGTGTTCAGGTTATTCATTCAATCCACACCACACCGCGTTGTAAACAAAATGGTTATCAGCAGTCTAAGAAAAATAAATAACAGTTACAGCCCATTTGGGTTTCTGGATAGGCATATTGAATCAAAATCCGCTAAATAATCATATCTTACTACTTACATCTTTAGTTTTAAGAGTATATTTTCCCATACGTGTTCACCACCAAAATACACATATAAATCAAATCAGGACTAGAGTAAGGCAGTTATATACCAATTTAGTTCAAATAAAATACCAATAAATTCGATTAAAACAGTTAACAGTTATATGTTATCTTTTTTTGCTACTAAAATTTAGAATAAACATGGCTAAAGCAAGCTGCAGAACGTACGTCTGCCCCGCGATGAACAGTTGGTTGCCTATCCTATCTTGACAACAGGCGTTTATAGTAAAATCTACGTTACGCGCGGTCTAGTTATAACAAGTCTCTGCTATTTACCATGTGTGTTTCCATGACAGTAAGTGGAATTTACCAGTTGCTATGATTACGACGACGCCAAAATTACTTACCGATCTGAAAACAGAACAGCAAAAATACTTACCGACGCCTTTTTAAAAACAATCAGTTCAATATGTTAACAGTCTTACATTACATTTAATCTTTAATTTAATCTTCGACATACCATTCGGCCACCGGCAAATACCTGGTTCATAAAGTCATAAAGGAAGTGCAAAGCTAGCAAACTACATCAGACACATGCACAATTTTATGAAATTATTAATTTCAATTTTGACAAATAAACTGGTTACCTAGTGATGTACACCATACCACTTCGATCATTTCGATTTATTCTGCTCGTTAATTTCTTAGTGCATATTTATATTGGTTGAATAATTTTAATTTCGATCGCGCAAAAAATGTTATAAGCACGTCGAACGTTAAGGGTTACCGTTCTCAGACAATAATTGGAGTCGTCGCTCCGCTCCTCCTCCAAACAATTGTCTTCGAACGGTAAAAATCTTTTTTGCTGTTAGCGAGTGTTATTATTAACGCTTGAAAATCATGCAAATATAAAAAACAATAAAATGGCATAACAGAAATCAAGGTTCTTTTATTTACTTAATAAAATGGTTGTTTCCATTAAAAGAAGGGTGTATTTTTATTTTGAAAGTGTACAAAAACTTTAATCTGTCTATAACTCAAAAACAAAGTTGACCAATAAAACTTTGATTATGGTATCATAGTTTTACAAAAAGATTTGCAAAAAATTGTCTTTACCTTTGATAATAAATCTGAAACTGAGTTTCCATGGAAATTTGAACACCCTGTGTAATTAAACAGCGCATAAACGATAAGATACGAAAACGGGTTAGGCAAAAGTAAGGAAACATATCTTTTTAATATGTGTAATTACAAAAATGGGACAACAAACATTGTTTTAATGGCGCTGCATATTTTTCTTTAAAATTTTGAATCCAGCATGTTTTCCCACATTCCTGTGATTATTTATTACATTTTTTCTATTGTGTACCTGACATTTTTGACAGTAACACGACTCGCGCATGCGCAGAATAATCTTTTTAGTGAATTTTCCAGGGAAAATACAACTTAAACCTGTGTGAATTCCATCCGTCCGTCTGAGGGATTGAGATCTCATCACTCAGACCTCGTACAAGGCTGCGTTTTTTTAAAAATTTAATAGGTTTCAACACATAGGGTGGGCAAAAAGAAAAAGGTATATTGAATAAGTTTCCATTCCATTCCAACTACGGATACTTCTCATTAAAATGAATCTAATGTCTGGTGTAATGAGGATGTTTCCTTGTTTGATTTTACCTCCAAGTCGTCCTTTAAATGCGCAGAGGGAGCAAGACCATGTCCTAAGTAGGGGTGAACCCCGCCTGGCCGCTGAGGGGAAAAAAAAGCCAGTAAAAAATAAGAGGTGAAGAAGCCAACTAAAATGCATGATGAATATGTGTTGGTCGTGCTAGTCTGTACAGCAAAAAGAAGAAAGTATTGCCAGAAACAAAAATAAAGATCACACCTCGTATTTGAAAAATGCCCTCCCACCTTCCTTTTAATCAAAATTGTGTTTTAACAAATCTGTTTGCTTGTGTACCCGTACTTACTTGCACTCGAACGACTGGAGCTACTATAATTACGATCAGCGTCCCGATCTCGCTCCCTATTCCTAAAACGGTCCCTCTCGCGTTCCCGTTCGATCCATTCACGCGGCTTCTCCCACTGCGACACCTCCGTTTTACAATTATAATAATACTTCTTACCGGACGAGCTGATATGCTCCGACCAATCGCCGACTCGAGTTATCCTCTCGCGTTCTTCCCTCTATAACACAATCGTTTATAATTTAATCATACTCTACAAATGACAAACGTTAGCACCTTATCGACACAATTATTGTGTATCGGCTTACGGTCGCGCAACGTGGAATTTTGCGTCTTTACGCCCGACTCGCTCCTGTCGTGATTCGTTCTATACTCCAAATCCCTACGTTTCTCCTTCGGCGATCTGGCACAATCTGGAACGGGCGACGAGTTAATGAACTTGTTTCGCGCGAAGAGTTGTATACCTGAATATTTATCTCTCGTAGGCTTGTAGTCTCTGTTTTCTCTCTCCTTTTCACGTATTTTCTGTATATAGGAGCCTTTAGATTGGTAGATTCTGTCCCGGTCACGCGGAGATTGTGAGTCCGGACTATCCGATCGGTAAGTTCCATTGGGTGAGTCTCTAATACGTTCGTACCTATCACCGCTCGAGCTGTAGCTCTTTGAGTTATACTTTGAATTCTACATTGAGAAAAACATGACAAAGGTTAGATTAATTCTTTGACAGGTAGCCATATTTATTAATTATCTTTATTTTTGCTACAATTTTGCAAGTAAAGGGGGTAGAACGAGAATGATATAATAATTTGAGTGATGGTGGTCGAGAATTTGGGATAAATTGAGAAAATTCAGTATAATCGGACCATAAGACCGTCGATTTGGGGTTTGTTTATACATTACCTGGTAGGGATGGGTCTGATGCTTTTCGAAGTACCTGTGAACAGAAAATGGAAGGTTACATTGTATAATCAAGATTAAAGCATTGGGTTTATCCCGAAAAATCGGAATTGTAATAAAATGCTTCCGCGAATCCCTACCCATCGTTCATCCGTTGCGTTTTCCTTGCATGCATTACCATCAATGCAAGTGTCTAGAAATGATTTCTGGCTTCTACAAAAAGCCGCTTCGTCATATATGCATATAAACAGTAATAACGGTTTTGCCCGCTTAACGTCTAACTTTCCTCTCGGACGCCATGTCACATAAAAGGGGAACAAATTCACAGCTGAAGGTAAATGCTCTCAATTTCTTCCGATGGCTCATTGGTTGACGTAGGGACATTCGCGTACTGCCAACCTCGCGCAAACAAAACACACCAGAACCATTCCTGTTTTACGCCCAAATAAATAATACTAACCGAAACGGCCTTTACTTCTTGCCTTCGATGATAAAAAACCGCCACCCGCACCGCCACCAATTACAATTACACCCAAGAACTCCCTCGGGAATTTTCCCGCATTACCACATATCACCAACGACAGTTGCCAACCTGAAATTGCCCCTAAAGAAAACCCAGGATGCTCCAACATGTACTAATACATAAAATAATACACATTTATTTATCGTGACTGCAGTAATTTTTTTAAAAAAGTGCGAAATTCGTTCTTCTAATTATAGTGCCGACACGCGATCTATTTAAATGCAGTGCAGCTAGCAATGTAAGTATTTTAATTGCCCACGACCCTTTTAACTTTAAAAGGAAAAATGGGGGCTAAACCTCTGCCCTCAAACACAACCCATATCCTTTCGAATTGGTAAAAGAGAATGTCCACCTTTTAAATCCTTTTTACAGTTAGATGCGTGACCTTTTTGTGCATAGGCGGTGTGCTCGATTATTTGGAGGAAAAATCCTAATGACTCACTTGATTGCATTTTCGCGTTTTAATTACTGGTGTAATTGCAAATAGATTGGAATTTTCGGTGTAATTAGCATTACATAATGTAGTGGTGCACAGTTTTTTGCTTTTCGAGGAAACCTTATTTGGAAAGGTAAGTGGTAGTGGTGAGATTAGCAATTGGGGGGATCATTTTTTCTGCAGCACCCAAAGGTAAATACAAACTTAACCTAACTTTTTCTGCAACTCTAAAGGGCGATGTAAACAATTGAATTTGCCAACCCTTCAGCTATTGACAACATTGTAGACAGACCGACTTCGTTTGTCGTTCATGCTTGAGTAACAAATGACGTGTAATTTGTTGGCATAGCTTACTAAAACATTTATGTTTGATTTACGGATTCATTGTAAATGTGCTCGATTGGCAGCACAGAGAAGTGCCCATTTTTCTCTATGAATGAGCTTTCTCTTATTCACGGAGGCATATCGTAAACGTCTCGTAGGACTTCTTTTTAGTTTATGAAGTCACTTTTTATTACAATAACTTTTGTACTAGACCTAAAAAATGCAGTTTTGTAATAACAATAAACAGGGGCGGCTTGTCTAGTAGTATTTTGTTAAATAATTTCTTTCTGGGTATGATAAATAATTTCTAGAAAGTCATCTTCCAACTGCAGCTGAGAGTAGCTCCGTAACATAATGAAATCAAACACAAAGTAAATCGGGCATAGCCGAAGTGAACGTGAAGATGAGCCGCAACTTGAAGTAGGACTTCAGTTGTTTTCTATCAATGGTATTCTATGAAGGTTCAATTTTCCATCTGAACTAACTTTTATTTATTTTAGTTGATGTTGGCACTATTACCGTGTATATCAATTTATAAAGTGTATTTTTTTTCACATCAAATCAAGTAACTGAGAATAAAGTGCGAATATTTAATTAAACTTATTTGACAGGCCCAGATTTATTCATCTGCTATTTAACTGCATTACTTACTGCTAGCAGCACATGAGAAGGCTATGTGCAGATTCTGCAGGAAGAGCCAACTGGATCCGTGGCGTACCAGTAGGTGCAATTAATAGAAAATGAATAGTAGGGATGCGTCATCTTATGCCTTCTTACGTGCCGGTACCATTACCTATTTCTACTGATTATTACAATAAAGTAATGAATTGATTTTTTAAGTGAATATACAGAGGAAGTGTTCAATTTTAAGAAGCACTCACTGGTTTTTATCGGGTTAATCTTGGGGGTTAATATTATCATATTAAACTGGTGGTGGTTCGAGCACACCACCCAACTTGAAATGTCACGAGCCGCCAATGATTACATGATTACTTAAACCTCGAATTAAACTAATAAAATAATGACATTATAATAGGTGAGTGAGTACAATATGTAAACAATTAAAGAGATATGTTTACTTTTGGATAAATAATTATTTATTTACTTTTTTTAATTTTTATTTTTGAGTGGACTGTTCTATCTCGTGCTCTACCAACCCAACCCACTATACATTTACAAATATCCAAGTACCTAATGTGTTCGGAATAGCAATGATTTCATTAATGTTGTCTTGTATGTTATACCACGATCGAGGCCACCACTTATCTGGAGGTTTTAGCTACTTCCAATGTGTTTTAGTAGGACTTATTGCCCAAAGTTGGTTTATTCTATTTGAATTTGTTTTCTCAGTATCTATTTCTCCTTTTAGAATTGTGTCAAATACGTGTTAGTCGCTTCTGTCTGTTTGACTGATACTGACTGCTCCTTTGTTGGGGGGGAAGGGGAAGAAGAAGAATCAAAAACCAACAAATATTTTGCCACTTTTTCCCACAGAAAACAGTTACTCCACTGTAGTAATCTTCTTGGAAATCAAATCCTCTGGAATCTTCTCCTTTGAAATCATGCCAGGAATTATTTCTGGAAGTTTCTTAAAATCCCGTGCTCGTAAAACTTCTTTGATCTTACAAATTTTTTTTTCATTTACACTAATGTTCGAGAGTCTTTTATACACAAAGAGTGTTCTACGAACTGAGTCTTTTATAAGAGGCTTCAGTATCATGAATCTCAAAAAGTCTCTTAAGAGCTTTTGAGAGTCTTTCAGAGTCTTGTAGATTGTTTTTGAGCCTTTAAAGTCTTTATTGGTCCCTAAAAGCTGTGCCTTTAATAATAATAATAGTAATTTATTGTGAAAAACAAAGATAAATGTTCACAAATGGATCAGAGTTGGCGATCTTCCACTCTTCTAGTAAAAACTGTTTCATAATATACACAAATCAGCAGTCTCTTTTCCTCGCGGGTATTTTCCTGGTTTCCCGCTGTCCAGTCTGGAATGTGAAACTGAATTTTAGAAAACTTTAAAAAAATGTTGTTAAGAGGTCTTCCTAGAAATCTTCTTGTATAACTTAAGAATTTTCCTAGGGACTAGACAGAGCGGTTTTGCCCAGCTTTGTAAAATATACTTCACATTAACAGGAATTATACAGGATGATCATCGTGAAGTACCTACTCTGTTGAGTGTTTCTCTGCATTTCAATCATTTTTTAAATTCGTGGATTATTTCTACTGACAAATGTGTAATAATAATATTTTATCTGAATCTGAATGTTGTATTCTTGCTTTCAGTACAATGGCGCATCGCCAAGACTATAGCGGGACGTTTCCAGGGAACTCCTACAATGACTTGTGCAATTCGTTTGACAAAGTACAACTGCGAAATGCATCGAAAGGTGAGTTCCATTTAGCTTTCGTAGTCACCTGATCGTTTCAATTTCAGATTGCCTACTCACGGATTATTGCGACATTCGAAGTCGGCTGCTTTTGTTGCAAAACGATGAAATGGATCTTTCGGTTCCATCAAAACTGGGTGACATAGTACAATTATTACGAAGGTAACATATTTGACAATCATTACGTTTCATTGTGCTTTGCAATATGGCGAATTAATATCACGCGATTTATTTACAGGAACCAGTATCTTTGAAAGCAATTTTATTCAATCAATCTTTTATTATTTTTCAATAATTCAGATTAATAACAACTACTTTTAATTATTTTTTTGATATTGATGATTCATTCAGATTTTCTTTCTCAATTTATCACTAATTTCATTCAGTAATGAGATCAGCAATCGAAGAAAGAAGAAGGAATCTGCGAAGAATGCAACAGACGAAGAAAGATTTATTTTAAAATTTGCACGGTACTCTTTGAACAATTCACTTCACTCAAGTTTATTTCAATAGATAATTAATTTGAATTTTTTGAATTTTTTTGAAATGATTTAGAGAGCCATAAATTACAGGTTTATCCAGGAGGCCCCTCGACATGTACGGAAGAACAAGGAACACCTGGAAGATGTTTACAAAATGCTAATTTTTCTACACAACTATATTTCTAGGCACATTAAGGTATTGACATTAATTCTCACTCAAAAAGTTTATTACAATATTTTGGATTTTTGAAAACGTTTGCATGCAGTCTGAAATTTATGAAAACTACATTTTATAACCAATGCCAGTTCAAGGGTTTGTATACATATATCATTATCCCTGGTTGTTGAGTTTGCACCTCCAAAAAAGACAGAACTTTTATCTTAATTATACTATCTTTGTGATTGATACGAAACTTTTTCACTCGTCTATAATTCATGGAGGAAAAAGCAGTTTATCTGTATATATGGTTTATTTATTTCATCGCAAATAATCTCGTCTGACAATAATTTTTCATCTTCAGTATCGCTTGTTTTCTGTACTTTATGTTTTGTCTTATATTTTGTGATCAATAAATAGTTACTATAATGCCATCTTTCGTGCTTAGTTGTTGTGTTCTTATTTTTGTGTGTAACTAACCAATGCTATCTATTTTTATATTTTGCTTCTATTGCTTGCCATCACTGCACTTGCATGCTGTTTCACGTATCGCTTACCTGCATTTGTATTAAGTTCCTTACTTTGGATATTAAAATTTTTTTTTAAAATCAGACCATGGGTTAAAATGTGTCATTTGATTCGTTTTATGACTCAAAAATTTGCGTTTTTTTAAATTACCTACTTTATCTAGGTGTTTCAGTAACCCCTTTCAGATTCTGGATAAAAGTTCGCTGCCACAAAATGGTGCAGTAATAAATTTGGGAGGGGGGCCACAAAAATTATCACAATTTCTTGAAATTTGCCGGGTATATTTTTTTCCAAATTATCAGTTGTGCACGCAAGACATTTTCCAACCTGAGAAAAAAATGCGAAAGAAAAAACGCAAAATTTGGGAGTTTTGGGAACTTGATACGCCAGAGCCAACCTTAGGTATAGCAGTTGTAGATCTTTTTAAGACTAATATTTGTCTAGTTGACTAATTATTGAGTTTGGAAAACATTTTTGCTTGCAGTATTTGATGGAACTTTTTTTCTTCTTTTTTTTTGACATTGAAATGTTCTATGGTGATTTCTTTCGCGGTTAGAACAGTTGAATTATTGTATATCCCCATTGCTATCATTCTGTTGCTATATACAGGCTGTTTCACCCAAACGGTTACTTAAATGTATTTAGGATAGTTTTTCATGATCTACGAAAACATTATCATGATTACTTCATTTCAAAATGTGGGTAACAACTTTCTTATTTTGAATAGAACACGCTATATTTATCGGATTTTCGAAATCTACATGAAAATCGACGTTGTTTGATACCACATTTCCCTATATCCCCACATAAGGTATAACAATAGTATAATAACTAAGGTACTGAAAAAAAATCGTTACTTCACTAATTAGCTCTTAGATTTCTGAATTGGTTTTTTGATGCTTATCTTTAATAGTTTAATAGTAATTGTGCTATCGATTGCAATTAAAGCGCGTTTCTTTTAAAAACTTATTGAGAGGGCAATGACAAAGAATTAATGTATTCTAAAATGGATTCCGAAGGTATTACAATTTCTATTGTATACTGATTGCATATATATTTAATCATTAGCTTTTAATTTGATTTTTGGGCTCGTGTAATTATAGTTATTTATTATCGTTTTATCGTCATGAATAATACAACAGTTTTTTTAATAGCAGTTGCCATAAATCATTCTTCTGACAATTCTGACTTTAGTTTAGACGTCAACAAGACTAACATTATGTTCTGCCGTCGCGGTCGTTCCAATAGAAACAGCATTGTAATATGTTCTGAATTTCATTTTATTTCGAGCTCCGCGTCCCATTTGAAATAAGAATGACAGATGTCATTTGAATGCATAATCATCTGTTTGTCTTTATCTACGCTTGCGGTTAAAGTGATCACTTCATCTATTTTGTTTTTATAGCATTTGAACAGGCACAAAACAAATTTAAAAAAAGACTCTCATTTCCACTTTTAATACAAGGTTTCGTTTCAGAGAAATCATCAACTGTTGGTTTCATATACTTTTTGCATTAATTTATTACACATTTTGGGTCATGGGTCATTCACTACATCTTACTAGGCTTTCTGATAGTTGCTGTACCTATTTAGAACATTTACCCTGTGCCGAAGAAGGCTTATATTGTTTTGCATTTTGTTCATGTATTCTTTGTATTCTGTATCCTCTCGTTGTTGGATCTGTCAATCTGTATATTCCGTAATGAATATTTTTTAAGGGGACTAACATATCACTCTTTCTTCTATTGTATTATTTAGCAAATTTTATTGTAATTTTCATTCCTTCCAGTGCTTATTCTCTTGTCTTTTTATTTGTTAGAGTTCTAGATTTTTCTAAATATACTTTTTTTCCTTGAAAGTTTTAACCTTTTATAGTATCTGATGCCTATTGTGCTATGTCATACTAGACTACCTTGGGGTACCTACCTACTTTGAGTACATCTGCCTTGTTTAGAGACTCGTATCGGTTTAGGGGATCCAAGGGTAAACTCGTTGATACGGTTAGAAGTCAAATTCCAAGCTGGAACGGGCCCCCAGTGCTAGTATACAGTACGTTCGAGATAAGAGGGTTATTTCAACATCCTTTATTTGGCGAGATACAACAAATTTTATATGTGACACTATGATCTATCTAATCTAAATTGTAGGTATCGCGCATTCAATTTTGTAGGTCTCACTTCTGGACAGAAGTGTTGATCTATGAATAGTTCCTCACGCCTCCGTCTTTGTTCCTTTGCTAATTTCGCATTTCCACAGGAAGTTTTCACTTAGTGAATGGTATAGTATGGTAGCACTCCATTGTCCCTTTTTTAATTTAATTATCAGTTTTAAAGTATCGTCCATAATTATGTTAAGTAATTGTAGAATTAGCACCAGTGGCGTACGTAGAAATTTATTCTGGGGGGGATTAAACAAGTTCGTGGCACATACAGTCACCCAGTGCGTACTAGAAGGGGGGGGGGGGGAAGAAATAGAAATTGGGTTGCACAGGCGAAAAAGATTAGATTAGAACGGTATTTTATTTCTTACTGCTGACAGGCCCCTTTATTGCTTTTGCTTTAATTAGTCAACGAAAACTTTGAATAATAGGTATATTTATGGGCAAAAAACCAATTTCGACAAAAAATTCAAAGGGCTGTAACTTTTGATCTAGTAGTCCGATCTTGGAACTGTTTGAAATTATGGATTCTACAGGCCACATTCTATAAGAAAATATTTTTTTCCGGTCGATCTGAGACAATTTTTTTTTCTGGGCAAAAAAAAGGCAGTTATTACCTTCCTTTTTTACCAAAAATCGACTGCACCAAAATTTCTCGGGAAAAAACTTTTTCTTATTAATTTGGGTGCGTAGAATCCAAAACGATTCGTACTTTTTCGATTAGACGTCTCCATCAAAAGTTATGGGCAAAAAAATTCCTGTTTTTAAAATTTAAAATTCTTATTTTCGTCATTTCGTGAAAGGCAGGACGCAGGTATCTCACCTCAGTAGCAGTACTAAGTACCTGATACCTATTTGTTATTTTGGGCATCAATGTAGCGAATTGCCGATCGTTGCCGAATAGCCAAATCGTTGACTGCCAACACTGATCACTCACTGAATAGTGAATACTACAGAATATTTAGATTTTAGTGACTTTAGACTTTAACCAAAACCAAAATTGCTCTCTATATATACCTATATATTATTGCCTTTATTTTAAAGTGGGCGGAGCGGATAGCGGAGTATTACTTAAATACCTAATAGCTATGATGCTATGATGATTTGAAGGGACAATTAGCTTTAAATGGAAAGTGAAAATTATACGCTTTTTTTTTTAAATATTTAGTGGCAGTTTGTAACCTTTCCGGTTATACCGGAAGTAGTCACCAACTTCTTTATTTTAAATGGCAACTCCTCTTTTTTATTCCACATTTAGATTTACTTTGAATATTAAGGTCAGTTTATTAAACAATATCTGTGACCCACATTGACTGTTTTGGAGATATTTGTATTTTAAATATTAAAAAATTCTGGTTATTTGAATAGGTAATCATAATTTTTCATATTAATCTATGGAGTCTTCACAAGTTAGAACAAAATTTTGTTTCAATTTTTTCAAACAAATTCGGATTGGCATTGTCTTATACCTACAATAGCTTTCAAATTATTTACAGTTTTTTTAGCGCTTAGTTTAGTCAAGTTGAGGTTGCACCATTTCTTTCAGCTTTCTTTTTAGGTCTGATTCATATATCTGAAAAAATGCTTGAAAAAGGATATATCTCTGTAGTCAGAACAGTGTGGTCTCCCCCTGTTTCTGGATTGCCTTATTCCAAGCTTTAGTGAGGCTTTTAGTTAACATTTCTATTTCTTCTGCTTCTAAATTTTTTGCTCTCTCCTGCGTTATTCTATCGCGCTTTGCTGATATTACATTCTTTTCTCTGTATCTTTTTTATTGGATCTACTTTAAGTATTCTTTCTTCGCAAGCTACTTAAATTTATTCAAATTATTCATTTGACGTACTTTATTCCTGAGGTTCTTCAGTACCTACGTTGTTTTGATTACTGGGCCTATTTAATTGTAGTCTAATTTCAAATTCCTTCCATGCCTTTTGTTTTGCTTGCATTATCACTATCATATCATTTTTCTGTCTTTTTCTTTAACTTCTCTTTTAATATTGTGGTTTCACCATCTAGTTTGATTTTATATATATATATATATATTTCAACTGCTGTCGATAATACTATTTCTTTAAATTTTTTGTCACATTTGTTCAATATTCATTTTCTTCCATTTTTGCATAGATAGTAGCATCCCTTATCTTAATTCTATTTTTTACAAGTATACATTTGCTGTTTCCTTATGTATTTGTTAGCCTATATAATTTTATTGTTTCATTTGTCCTTTGTTTGTCTTTAGTTTTTGTTTCTCTGCATTTTTTGTTTCTATTTAGTAGGATGTAATCTATATATAGATTTTTCTTTTGTACTTTTTACTTCCCTTGTATATTTATAAATGTATATATTTTTTTGAATGTGTTAGTTAATAGTTAACTTATATGCTCTTCATACATGTGGACCGATGAGGTCTGGAATCCCCACGTTCCATTTTCGCATGGTTAGCTCCGGTGTATTATTAAATTGTTTATTTTTTATCCAAAACACATGAACAAATATTATAATACGCTTTAAGGCCGCGTCATGGTACACCCTTATGAAAACAATTGAAATTTGTTGACGACTGCTTGACTATATGGCACTGAGGATACTTTGTTCAAATGGTGATAGTGGCGCCTACAATCTTTTACTATTGTTGAGGGTACTAAAGTCTTGTGTATAGTTTTCTTTGGTGCTTAGTCCTCATTCTGCTTTTATTTATCCATGCTTTTCGGCATATGTTGGTTTTATTTTTGATAATGCAATGTAATAGCAAACAAGGATAAAAATGGTAATTAACACAATTCGGCATAGTTAAAAACCTGACAGTACAGATACAGTTTTGAAGAGGTGGAGCAAGCTCGTGACTGGGGATGATGATATGTGTTCACGTTATGGTATTACTAAAATATCACTGTTACAGGTTTATAAAAAATTTCCGTTAACTCAAGAACTTCTATCCGTACTTATTAGTTATGTTGAATTGGAGTACGAGGTTTTATATTGTCCGAAAAACTACAGCTCTCAATATCAGGATCAAGTGGAGAGCCGAATTTTAACGTTCCTTTTAACAATATTACACGACCCGTCGACTGTCAAACGAGAATGCTTTGTAAAACCGAGTCCTGTTGACTACTGTGCAATTAAGGCTTTATACGTTGTAAAAAGTGTAAAATCTGAATATAAGCGAAATCGTAGTTTAATAGAGAATTTAATGAGGTAATAATAATCGCGTGCGCGCGCAGGTTTTGTCTTCAATTGGGTTTGTTACAGTAAGCTGTTGCAAAAGTTGAATGTCTGGGATAAGATGAACGAGATTAGAGAGCAGACCGATGCGTTTAATTTAGGGAATTTGATGCGGGTGCCGAAATTGCAGCAAATTTCGCGGTATCTACAGAAATGCAATGTTCTCAAGGACGACGCGGCGACGTCCGAAGAGGAAGAGGTTGTAGAGGTAGGTAGACAACTTCTAAATGCGATTCATTAATCAACTCGTTTCCCAGATCACTTCACCGCTTAGAGGTGCATATGAAGACATAGTTGCAATTGATCTCGTAGATAAAGCTAGGCTTTCGAGAAAGTCTCTTATACCTGAACAAATAAATGTACAAAGTAGGCGAAATAGTAACAGTAGACTTAATCTTCATTCAACTACCTCACGAAGGGAACGAGTCATTTGTGTTAGTGACGATGACAGCGATGTTGAATTTGTGCCGGATGTGGCTTCTGGTACAGTAATTAATGTGGATGACTATGATCCTTTAGTGCCGAATGAAAGGATCAAATCGGACTGTGCCATTGAAGCTTGTGAGTCAACCTTTGCTGAAAGAGAAGAAGCTGTAAAGTGCCTTGAGCCTCCTATCGATACCACCAACTCTCAGGCCAATGTCACCAATTTGTTAGACAAGGAAGAAAACGCTCAAGGAGTATCTCAGATCCTCACAAGATGTGAACCTTCTGCCGTGGATGATGGGACCATCACCACAACTGAAGATGTCACCACTCATGCGACGACTGAAGCTAACCAACACACAATGTTTGATGAAAATTTGGAACATAATGAAAATGAAGAACAGAGTTCAATTCCCAAAGAAAATACAAGGGACAATGATCTTCAAATTGTGAATAACAGTGCTCTTAATACAGTATACAAAGAGCACGATGATCCTCAAATCAATCTACCAGAAGAGAGTTCACAGACTGAAATAATGATATGCGACAGTCCTGAAAACGAGCACAAAGTTCCTGAAAGTGAGCCTCTCTTGCCTGATCTCTGTGACATTGATCTTATTTCAACTGATTCATCTTTATCAACTGTGTCGGCTACAGTTAGTGACCCCATTCCGACTTGTGATTATCGTATCGAGTACACTTTGAAAAATAACGAAATTACAAACAATATTATTGCCGAGTTAGACAGAGCGATTGATGAACATAGCTCGAGTACGGCTTCTGAAGTTAGCAGCGACATTGTCGCAGATCAACAGCCCTCAAGTGTCCCGTTTGAGGTCGACAAAGAACACGACCTTATATTGCCCAATGTTAATGAGGTGGAAGATTTACGAATGGACGTTTCGCCTGATACAGAAGAAGCTTCGAATTTGGAGAATCAATGTCCGAGTCGTGCCGAAGAGAGCGCAAGTGTCGAAATGCCGCACGTAATAATTGAAAGTCAAGAAGATTCTTTAGATCAAGACTGTAGTCACACCGCATCCCCTGATGGGGTTAAAGACACGGAAGAAAGCAACTATTGTAGTAATGTGGAAGAACATGTCAGTGAAATAACTGATGAAAGTATTGAGGAAGAAGAAAAAGTTGAAGGCAGCTGCAGTACTGACACCAATGAAGAAGATCGCACTACGAATGGTATCCAGGAAAATGAAAATGGAGGTGATCTTCAAATTGTGGATAATACTGCCCTTGGTCCAGTGATCAAAGAGCATGTGTCAGATGATCTACCAAAAGAGAGTTCACAGACTGAAAATGTGCTTGAAGCTAATGATAGTGACAGTCTGCCAGAGAGCCAAGAAGAAAGCAGTGAGAATTGCGACGCCAAGAAAGACAATATTGAACACAATGAAAAAGAGCCCAAGGAAAATGATACTGCAGATTGTAATACTCTGGAAGATATTGGCGATAATCTTGTTAGTGAACCATGCGATTTTACTAAGTTTGACGATTGCAAAGTCTTGGACAATGAAGAATGTGCCACAACTGTAATCGATGACTATGAGCCAAGGCCGAAAGACGCAGAAGACACTGTTCTCCAACTAGTCGAAGGCAAGGTGGAACCAGAAGATTTAAGCAGCAATGACATTGTGGACCGTTCATTTGCAGTTCATCACGAGTGCAGCGATTCCGAATCTGTTGATGTGACGGTTCGAGAAGAAAATTTGAGCATTGACTCGAGCCTGCTAATATCTCATGAGCCCCATTTGACAATAGTTGACAATTGCAATTCGAGTCATATTGAAGCGCCTGCCGCCTGTGATCAACCAGATATAGAGCTTGAAAATAATTCCAGCCAAAGACCTAATGATCCACAATTAATGGTGGATGATGAAAGTGTTAATGTGACCAAAGAGCCTCATTTGGATAATTGCAAAAGTTCCCAATCGAGCGGTGTGTCAGATCTGGTTGAGGAAAATGTAGAGGATGATAATTCCAATCAAAGATCTAATGAATCACAATTAATGGTGGATGATGTAACTGAAGACAATTACAAAAGTTCCCAATCAAGTGATGTACCAGATGCGGTTGAACAAAATGTGTCACATGTAGACAATTGCGATAGTTCTGTATCAGTCCATGAGTCGGATGTGGCCGAGTTAAAGAATGATGATGTGCAAGATGATAATCAATGTTCTGTTCGTGATTTGAGTAAAAGTTCTGAATTAGATCTACACCAACAAAGTGTTTTGGTAACAGATGACAAACGAGATGATCTGTTAGTACCAGAGGTGCCACATTCATCCAAGGAGGATGATCAGAATCTACACATTGATGAACCACATTTGGCACTAGCTCATGAAAGTGAGAAGTTGTGTATGGAGAGTGAGACAACCGATAGTCAACACTTGGAGGTGGAGAGTGCACATAATGACCAACATTTAGTGATGGAAGATGAGAATGACGAAGGAAATTTGGTAATAGCAGATGATCCCGTTGAGTCCATTGTTGAAAGTAAATCTGACGATTATCACAATCATTTGAATGCGTCACTTGATGATATTACCCTAAGCCATGTCGTGGTTGAAACTTCAACAGATTCAGAGCGTGAAGAAAAAGGGAACTGTGATGAAGACTCTAAGGAAAATATCAGTGAGAAAGTGTCAGACGAAGAAATTCGAACAGAAGATTTCCACACTAAAGATCTGTTGGAGCATGCGAATGAAGCAAAAGTCAATGAAGGCGAAGTTGCTACGTGCTTTGAGAGGGATTTGAAGAAAACTCCAGAAGAAGCACTCGTTCATCATGAGTTGGTCGTGGAATACACCAGTGAACTGCCACTAGATTACGTTCATGAAGAAACCGTGATAACGGAGACATGCGAGGTGGTGGTGAATGATCTGGATGTGCTCGCATCGGTCGCCGCAACCAAGGAGAAGATCGAATCAGTCAATGTAAAAATTGTGAAATCGAAGCGTGGAAGGAAGCGGAAAAGTGGGAAAAAAAAGTCGGAGGAACTTCCGAGGCGAGTCACGCGGAATAGCGCCTTGGCGAAGCTTAACATTAATCCCCAGGATAATTCCAAGTGCATACCGTCGACCTTCATGAATCTTGAAAGCCTGGTTACTCCCCCACCTGTTTGCGTCTACAACATGATTCCCACCCCCAATACTGATACCGAGGAAAGCATGGACGAGCGTTTTAGTTGCGTGCAAAGTCTGCAAAACATTCTGGTTGACAATATAGCGTTTGACGAAGATACTTTAGATGATGGCATCGTGTTTGTGACTCACAAGAAGGTGTCCGAGGAAATTTTGATAAGCATTCCCGAGTCGGAGGATCACCCCGCCATCGACTATGATATTCTGAAGCAAGCAGAAGAGTTTGAAAAAACAAATCTATCACTAAGTACCAGTGAGGAACTGTGCAAAGAATTAAAGTTAACCATGACCAAGAACGTGGAGATTAACATCAATATCACCACGGAACTAGACAGTCATTTGAACGAGACCGTTATTGAGATTTCGGAGGAATCACAGAAGCAAGTTTCTGTAATGCCGTTTAAGAAAAGGAAAAATTATGGAAGAAAGAACTTGGTTGTACCGGACGAAGTGCAGGTGTCCATCACTGAAGTGGCAGATGTACCAGAAATGTCATTGACTGTGGCAGATGAGAATCAAGCGACACCCTCATTAGTGGAAAATAGTGAGACATTGGAAAATAAACCTGAGAGCAAAAGGGTGCTAACTAAGGCCGCATTGAAGTGCTTCCAGGTTCCTTGCATACCATATGTCCACCTTTTGAAGTTGCCTTTAAGTGATGCACCAAAGGTGGAGACCGACAAGGAAAACAAAAGATCTAAAAGTCAAGATGGTGGCCGAAGGCATAGAGCAGGTAGACTATCAAAAACAAAGTCCATTGACTCACTGCAAATTAAAAGTGACTGTGCTACAGAGAAGGTGGAAACTGTTGAGCCGGTAGCCACAGAGCCCAACAAGATCACAAAGAGAAGAATGTCGTCTCGTTTGGTATCCGAGGTAGTTGAGCAATCAACGAAATCACCTGCTAAACGACCGAGAACTAGATCAAATTACGAGAAAACACAAATGGAGTCAAGTAAAACTAAAATGCGTACGAGAAGCGCTTCAGTTTTTGATGATTCAAGTTCTGTAAAGAAAGTGTCGAACAGTGAACAAAATAAAGCAGATTTAGATAAATCCTCACTGAAAGATGTAGCTATAGTCAAAGAACCTGAAACTTTGGACTTGGCTAGTTCTTCAGACCAATCAGAGGACAATGTAAAGGGTAATCTCACAGTAGAAACTTGTATTTCGAAGCAAGAAGATGAGCGTCATCAAAATGAAGAAGTCCGTAAAGAGAGTGGTCATTTGATTGAAGAGAATGGTAAGTCTGCTGAATTGATTAAAAAGGAAACAATTGGTGCACAAGCTGTTGAAGTTGTGGAGGAATTGCTTCCATTGACGAGTGATGCAGAGATTGTTGAACAGTCTAAAGTGCAACCGGAGGTCGGTACCCTAACCGAAGTAACTGAATTGAGTAAAGATGAGTCATTGGAAAAGCTACCCAAACATAGGAAAAGTAGAACTGAACGTGAAATCGAGGGAACCTCAATTAAAACAGTCAAAAGTAAAACGGATGAAAAGAAAAGGCGCCGAGTTAAGGGCGAGAGTGATCTGCCCAAAACTTCTACCAAGGAAGAACTAAAATCGAACAAGGACAGGAAATGCAAATCAAAGGACAAGAAAGCGCACGAGATTGTCACTGTAAAAGAGAGTAAATCAAAAAACGAAGACCAAGAAATCCCACCAACTGAAGAAGTGAAATCGCTGAGAAGTAAGTCGAGATCGAAAGCGAAAACTGCGGATAATCAAGACCGTACTCACAAAAAATCGGGACAATCGTCAAAAAGGCATAGGAGTAAGTCGGATAATGAACGAAAACAAAAGACTCCCGACTTGGATACCAAAACTTCGTTGGTGGGAGAAAGATTGAAAGCGAAAGATCCAAGTGATAAGTCCGCGAGAAAAGATGATACGCAGAAAACTAAAGAGAAGCCCGCAGAATTGGAAGGGGAGAGGAAGAAACGGAAGGAACGAAAAACTCATAGTACTAGGAAATCGTTGCGAGACAAGCCTAAGCTGAGACACAATAAAGAGAATGAACCCAAACAGGATGTCGATCAGATCCCACATGATCAAGAATCTGATAAAGCTGCACCAGTTCAGCAGGTGACAGATAATCAAGGTGCGATGTCCACTGTTGAGGAAGTACCTCCTGTAGTTGAGCAGAGCTCAGCGGGACAGAAAACTGTAAATATTCAAGTTGCCATATCATCATCATTGTGCACCTGTCTTCAGCCAGTAGAGCAAATATTGGCTGACGATGTGCAAGATACAAATTTGGCAGAGACACAAAAAAATGAAGCCATGGAAGAAACTCCGATTGAGAAGTCTATCCCGAAAAAAGAACTACAAGCGTCCATTGAGAAGGTTGCCCCGAAGGAGGAATTACAGATATCCTGTTTAAAAAATAAGATCAAGGAGAAACTCAAAAATGCGAGCGTGGAGAAGGTGCCGCTAGAAAAATCGAAATATTCAAGATCAAAAAGCGGGGTTAAGCAAGATTCTAGAAGAAAGAGGCGATCATATTCGTCTGGGAAGAAAGGAAGTTCTGCTAAGTTGCCAGAAGTAACCGTTGTAAAAGAGGAGGTGTCCTTGCCTGATGTAGTGGAATTACCAAAACGTGCGGGCTCTCCAAAGAGTGACACGGAGACGCCAGCGAAAGAGGCATCTATAGATGACACAAAGCATGACGATTCTGCCAAGATTATAGTAACATCTGGTAGTAACCTCCAACCACTTCTTTGTGGTGTTACTCCCTTGGACTCCCAAGAATCGATTCCTCAAGTCCGTGATGAGACAATCGTTGAAGAAGTGGACCCTGAAGAATCGATTCCAGAAATTCGCAATGACTCAATCCTTGAAGAGGTGCGTTCCGAAGAATCAATTCCACAAATCCCAGAGGAGGCGATCGTCCCAGAAACGAGACCCTTGGTTTTGGAAGAATCAATTGCGGAAATCCGGGAAGAGACCATCGTCCCAGAAGCGAGACCCTTGGGTTCCGAAGAATCAATTTCACAAATCCCAGAGGAGGCGATCGTCCCAGAAACGAGACCCTTGGTTTTGGAAGAATCAATTGCGGAAATCCGGGAAGAGACCATCGTCCCAGAAGCGAGACCCTTGGGTTCCGAAGAATCAATTTCACAAATCCCAGAGGAGGCGATCGTCCCAGAAACGAGACCCTTGGTTTTGGAAGAATCAATTGCGGAAATCCGGGAAGAGACCATCGTCCCAGAAACGAGACCCTTGGGTTCCGAAGAATCAATTCCACAAATACCAGAGGAGGAGATCGTCCCAGAAACGAGACCCTTGGTTTTGGAAGAATCAATTCCGGAAATCCGGGAAGAGACCATCGTCCCAGAAGCGAGACCCTTGGGTTCCGAAGAATCAATTCCACAAATCCCAGAGGAGGCGGTCGTCCCAGAAACGAGACCCTTAGGTTTGGAAGAATCAATTCCGGAAATCCGCGAAGAGACAATCGTCACAGAAACGAGACCCTTGAGTTCCGAAGAATCAACTCCACAAATCCCAGAGGAAGTAATCGTCCCAGAAACGAGACCCTTGGGTGCCGAAGAATCAATTCCACAAATCCCAGATGAGACAATCGTCCTAGAAACGAGACCCTTGACTTTGCAAGAATCAACTCCAGAAATCCGCGACGAGACAATCGTCCAAGAAATGAAACCCATGGGTTCGGAAGAATCAATTCCTGAAATTCGTGATGAGACAATCGTTCATGAACAGAAACGAGCAGAAGATCATTCTGAAGTAGAGCAGCTACCATCCGCTGATTATTCTATAGATAATGAACAGAAAGACAACAAATTGTCCGCCAAGGTTGATGAACAAGATTTAGAGATTAAAGAGGACGAAAGTCTGCTTCCGTCTAAAGTTATATCTCCCACGGTTGCGACTGAAAATTGCGCTAGCGTGGAAGATGCAGTCAGTAAGGCCGAAGAAATAATTAACACTGATCAGATGAAAGTAAACAAAGAAGCACGTTCAGACAAAAATAACGACTTGGAGAGAGTTGATGATGTTAAGACGATTGAAGAAGAAGAAGAGGTTCAGAAGTCAAAGGAAGACTTCAATGATCAAAGGGAAAAATCGCCACCACCAGATAATAACGATAGAGACTTGCAGCTTGAAAAAGAACCGCCAGTATCTGCTGATGAGGTGGCAACTGAGGAGTGTGGGTTGCAAAAGTTTGCAGATGACAGTGAAATTGACTTGGTTGAGAAGGAAGTGAGTGAGGAGGTGTCGAATATTATAAGGGATTGGGATAATTGCGAAGACAGTTCCGATGATCATCTATTGGAAGGTGTCAGACCTGATCAATTGATAACGGAGATCGTGGACGATACTGACTTAGTCATCGGACATGAAGAGTCCATAATTGATCACAGTAATACGTCGCATGAAGAAACATGTGTAACGGAAGGGACTGAGTTCGAAGAGATTGTTGATCCTGAAGGAACAGAGCCGAGTCTGGCTGCCGATGCGGATAAGTTGTCTTCATTTACGGAAGAAGGCGAGAAAACTAATGAAACTGACGATGATGATTTAGTATTCGTGCAAATGGAAACATTACCTGCCGTAACCGATAACTATGATAGTGAACCAGATGTAGACAGAGTGTTTGAAAAATATTCAACTAAGCAACCGAAGTATTCCCAAGAGGATGTAAGGCCAGGTAGGAAAAAAGTTTCGCCAAAGCATAAGCGTGTAAGATTTAGTCTTGAATGTAATACCACTAGGACCATAGATGAAAATGGGGAGTCACCAAGCAAAAAACGGAAATTAGAAGACAAACGGTTCGTGACTCATGATTACGAGCAAAGTTATAAGAAGTTCTTAACTGAGAGTAAGCAAGCGACTCCCAACTCCAATGAACAATGCGCAGATCAACAGAGGGATTCAATTGCAAACATGGTCATTGAAAAGAAAAAAACATCTGAAGTAACGCCAGTGAAGAAGAGTGAACCGAAAAGTATTGATCGCATCATTCAAAATCTTAAAAATAAAATACCTCTGCCAGAGCCTCCCACTGGTGAGCCAGAAAAAGTTGAAACTTTGGAAACGGTTGAAGAATCTGCAGCTCCATCAGTAGACAATCTGGAAGATGCTCAGGCCATTGCTGATACCTCCATCAGTCAAACGGGTGATGAAAAGTTAAGCCTAGAGCCTCAGTGCCAGGAAAACATCTTCCCTTACATTCAGGACGGTACAAAGTTTCAGATTATTCCTCGCGAGAGCGAAATTGGAACTCCCGTCCAATTGTTAGAAGTCACGGATAAGCAAACTACTACAACTTGCGAAATTACGGATAACTTAATTGCCGTAATGTTCTCAGAACAGAATCGGTCCAGTAAAACGGGCTTTATATTTTTCAAGGGGTCGGATCACAATTATCACAGTATAGGCGATCCGCTCTTAGGGGGCGAATGCGACACGAACGAAAGCGATCACTCTTCAGAAAATAAGGAAATCGTCTCGTCAGAGCTGGAAAATGTCCTGATTAGTGATACTATGCTACCATACTTAACCGATAATCATCTCAATCAAGAATCATCCGAAGACAGCAGTGCGGATTTCCAGCTTCTTGAGTTAATCGGAAACACGTTGGGTAGAGAGTCGAGCCCTCCTTTGGCTCAACCCTGTGACTATCAAACGAATTTAAAACAAGTCGAGTTAGGGTACGACGAGCCATCTGCAAGTAACAACATCGAGTTTTCCAAAGTAAACAATGAAGTCTTCGTGAATCATTTCCAGCAGCAGACGATGAGCGTCGAAAATATGAGCGAATTGATGAACGTCGTCTTGACCAGCATTCAAAATTTGAATAACATGACGAAAGCCCCCACCCTTCAGCAGGAGGCCGAGTGTAAAGATATTTTCTCAACCAATGACTTAGATTTTAACGTCGAGTCTCAGCCGCAGAGTCTAGATCTAATTTGCGATTTTTCTCAATCCCAAGAGGTTGCCACTGAGACTACTATTTCTAACCATTGCGATTATTCTAGTCTGCACTATCTTCCAATTACATTCGAAACAAATGACAGCTTCATGAATAAAAAGGTTATACTAGAACGAGTCCCTCAAGGGAACGTCAAGCCGATTGAAGAGACTGCTGAATGTGCAGAGATTGTGGAAGGGTCTGAAGTACAACGAGAGCCAACCGAAATACCGGAATCGAGTCAACGGGAAATGTTGGCAAAACTTACTAAATCTAGGAAAGGTAGCACTGAGTGTAATATAGAAGGAACTTTAACTAAAAAAGTCAAAAGTAAAGCCGATGAAAAGAAAAGTCGCCAGGTTAGGGATGAGGTTGATGGGGAGAGAGTGACGCAACCCCCCGCCCTTCAAAAAGAGACGGAGTGTAAAGATATTTTCTCTACTACTGGCTTAGATTTTACTGTTGAGTCTCAGCCACAGGGTCTGGATCTTATTTGCGATTTTTCCCAACCCCAAGATGTTGCCACTGAGACTACCATTTCGAATCTTGGCGATTATTCGGGTCTGCACTATCTTCCAATTACATTCGAAAATATCTCTACAAACGATAGCTTCATGAATAAAAAGGTTATAGTAGAACAGATCCCCCAACTTGTCCACGAAACCGTCAAGGAAATGCCCCACTTAGAGCCGATGGTCGAAAAACCTCTGTACGTTAAACTAAGTCCCTCGGCGAAAGCAAAGCTGCACATGATAAACTGCCCTAAGCAAAAACCTCAGCCCAAAAAACAGCTGAACAATCTCGGTTTCGTACGTAATAGTAGCAAAACAAAGCCGTCTGCTCCGAAACCGAAGAAATCCAGCGAGTTGAAAAGTACGGAAAGTGAGTCGCCGAAAGTGAGCTCGTCACCTCAGACTCCTACAGTGAAGCCAACCACTTCGAGTATCTCATCTGCTATTTCAAAAGAGCGAAGTCTACTGATTATTGACGATTTTAATTTGGCCGAAAGTTCAAAGAAACGTATACCAAAGGTTAGTGAAAGCCCCGCTTTAATTCAACCAGCGCCGGTGGCCGTGAAAACTGTTGCGGACAAGGTTGAGTTACCCAAAACTGTACCAAAAAGCCCCAGAACGCCGAAACAGACCGAAAGTGAACTAAAACCTCAGCCCAAAAAACACTCGAACAATCTCGATTTGGTCAGTAACAGTAACAAAACAAAACCGTCTGCTCCGAAGCCGAAGAAATCAACCGAGTTGAAAAGTAAAGAGAGTGAGTCGCCAAAAGTGAGCTCGTCAGCTCCTACAGTGAAGTCAGTCATTCCAAAAGAGCGTATTATTGACGATTTTAACTTGGGTGGAAGTTCAAAGAAACGCACACCGAAGCCTAGTGAAATTCCCGCTCCGGATGAATCGGCCGTGAAAACAGCGGCTAAGAGTGACTCCCCCAAAACTGGAGGTGAGAATATTAAACAGTCTCCTGTACCCAAAAGCCCAAGGACGCCGAAACAAACTGAATGTGAACTATTCAACATTCCAGTGCAGTGCGACATGATCGATAACGTTAAGAGAAGAAAAAGGAAACCTGTAGATTATTCTTCGATTGAAAAATTGCTCGAGGCCGAGGATTACGAGTATCGCAAGGTGCAAAAGAGTAAAAGCAAAAAGGACGAGAAGATGAAAGTGAAGCAGGAGGAGAGTAAATCGAAAACGAAAATTAAAACCCCGGTGCATGAGTCATCGACATTGCAACAACCGGCTAGTAAATCGAAGAGCACGGTGTTTGAGGATTCGGACGACGACATACCCAAAAAGAAGAAGGCCAAAGCCGACCCTCCATTGCAACCAGACGCGATGAACGCGCTGTTCGACGAGCTGGTTAAGGAAGGCAACGTTAATAGTACTCTTACCAAATCGGGTGCCACAGCCAGGGTAGCGCCAACGAAACCCTCCACCATTTTTCCTTTAGATCCAAATTTGCAAAAGAAATCCGAAACGACGCCAGTTAAACAAATTGGAGTGGTCAATCCGATTCCTCGGCAAAGTAACAACGTACGAAAGGAACCTCCTAGCAGAAGTAGTTATAGCGGAGAAGACGCCCGGACGTCGAGTCAATATTATCCGTACTACGAGCGTAGTCGACGATCGTATCCATATTCCAATAGAGAACCGAGCAGGTCGAGTCATCAGGGGGGTAGTAGACGAGCCGAGTATCCCACACATTCGAGTGATCAGCGGTATTTGGCGACGAGGTCCGGTTCTTCAAGGAGCAGTTGGAGCAGTAGGCATCATTCAAATTCTAGACCAAATACGGAGCAGCGTGATTATTGGTATGTATTGTTTGTGTGTTACTGGTGTGTGGGTGGCGGTGTAGGTAAAAGGTACAGTGGGGGATCGATGTTAGAAATTTGTGTGACAGATGATCATCGGGACCCCACTATAATAGACTATTAACCCGGATTGAATTCATTGTAAATCTTTGATTTTTTTTCTGAACTGTTTATTGAAAAAGTTGCCCTTTTTTACGTCCCTCACAAATAAATTATTACTGGTCTTGATGACAAGTTTCATTGAATCTGTAAAATAAATGTTCTGGTACCAGGTCCGATTAAATAGGTAACCGGAACTGATACCATTATTATTAGTGCTAAAGAACCCATATTTTTGTCCTCTCTGTCTTTCCCTCTTTCTCTCGAAAGCATTTCCATTTATGCCCTACATTGATCCGTAGGAAAACGGCTTATTTGTGTATAATCTCAATAATAAACCTTGTTTAGTTACGTTGAACATACTTCCACATACAATTTTATGATAGTCAGTTTTAATCGATTCTAGAGTGGTATGGTCAAACGCCTTCTCTATATCTAAAACGCCCCTATAGCCACCTCTTTACAGAAAATCGACCTTTCAGCTAGACTACTCTGTAGTTCAGTTTTTGGAGAAACGACGTTAGACTGGGAGGTTTAAACGACTTGGCTTGGGCGTATGTCTAACTCACAAAAATGTATACCGCTCTGCTTGAAATTCTAGTTTTATTAATACCACAACACCCGGAAGTACTTTGATGTTGGGCTATTAACTTTATTAAAACCTTTTTGAAACCAATTGTATCTTTGATTCCACTAACTTTTGCCATTTCTCAAGCGAATGATGCTCATTTCCGCCACTAACCGCGCAAGCAAGCCGCATAATCTTAGCAGACGACCTACACGATATGACAACCGATGCACGTCTACCACACTTATTACTTTTGCTTGCGTTATTTAAAAACCGTTACAGTACCAACGCAAACGGACGGTTAGTCTCCGTCTCTGTAGCCCCGTAGAAAAACCGAAACGGAACCAATGCTTTGCGGGCTCCCGTTACATTATTTGCAAGAAAATGCTGCTGTTGGACTATGATAATTGTATCTTCTTTTAAATGAATGTCAATAAAGTGGTTGGCTATCCTGTCACTTCTCCTTTGCTCGTTTTGTACTGTAGAGATCACTGTAACCGCGGTTTTAGTACATATGATATATAAAATGAGAGTAAATTGTAGAAACTTTGGTGCTAATATTTAATTTCACTCAGTAAAGGTAAAGCCGCCATCAATAACATTTGTGCTTTTTGGTAAACCATAACTGGGCAGATCTTCCTCTGGGAATGCTCTCAAACCTCTCGTTCGTTAAAGAGAGCCGGAAAGAGCCAATATCTTTGTCACTCTTTTTTGAAATGGCTATCTTTTATGCCACCATGTCATGACAGTTCGCTATCCTTCAACTGTTTCCATACTATATCTAAGTTTGCACATTTGACTTATACAAAGTATTATGTCTTCTATACAGGGTGTATGTATAATAAAATAACCTTTTTCAATAAACAGAATAAGTAAAATAATTAATATTAAAGCCTATACGTTTAATTGAGTTGAATTTAGTCTGTGCGGTTATTGACAGTTTCTAGGCATTTGTTTTTTCTACAACTGCCCCAAATTTGAGTATACAGAAGATTTCCCTAGTAATCTTGAGACAATAAGCCATCTCTGAATTTTTGTTTTTTTAACAGTTGTAGCAGAAGAGATGTCCTGGGGTGTTATTAGTTTGACATATTAAATATGTTTGTAAGGAAAAGCAGGCAACAATCGCAGATAATAAACAACTGTTTTTATTTCTATGAAGTTTTCCATTTTTTCAGATTCTGGGATAGAAAATTGACATAGTGTGGAATTTATGAAACATTTTTTTTTATAAATTACCGTTGAACAATAAAGTGAACAAATCTATTTTTCAGGCAAAACCGTTTCTTCTCTCAAAATTCAGAATCTGCTCTTTCCTGTTATATTTGCGACTTAGTTAATTACGTTTATGCAAGAAGAGATCAAATTAGAAATTTTTCCGAAAACTCCAATGGTCGTGTGGAGCCGGTCCCGTGTGTTTTTATTTATTCATTTTTTATGGCGCTTAAATACTGTTTCTATTAGTAAAGATTATACAGTTCATTCTAGTTAAAATGAGCACAAGTTGCAACACAAGCTTTTTTTTAGTTTTAAGGGGACATTGATGATTAGGGGGTGACTAAAGTGATGGTCACTTCCTTCAATCTGAATCTTATGTTCATTTTAACTTACAATGTATTGTAACTATTCTATATGCTTTCTTTTATACGTACACACATCCTTTTCTATCAATCTGCCAAATTTACGATCGAAAATTGTGATTATGTTTTTGTGGCTAACATTTTAAGGTACTGCAACTAACTGTGTTTTACGGCGGGCACTCATGGGCGTCTATGTCTTAAAGCTTCAAAGCTCAACTAAACAATTGTACTTGCTTCACACTTACAGGGTGTTTCGAAACTAGCAGCTTATTATTCAAAATTAAGGGCCTTCTTTTGCACAGCTTTATTTAGGAAATGTTTTTTTGCACGGGCCAAAACACCTTGTATAATTTGCGAACCCACTTGCAGTCTTCTTGCTGACAATAAATAATTCTGAGGCGTACTATTCCGAAACAGTTGAGCATAGAAGCTATATATGGACGATTTTCCATTTATAAACACATTGAGACATATGTAATGTGTACCCTCTGAGTGGTCGCCTTTTGGGTATAACAATTCTGTGAATTTATCTCGAATAAATTCGCAGCCTGTATGATAATCCATTAATTTGATTTCAATTACAGGTACGGATCAAACACTGATCTTGCTTGGCGCGAAGATATAAAAAAGAAATTCCCCCATATGTTTACAGACACAAAAGAAGTTTTTTTCTAACAAATTGTCAGGTGCGTATTTGTTAAGAAGGTACGCAGTTGCTCAATGTTCTTCTTTAGGAATACCATATCTGCACTACTTATTGTAAATAGTTTTATTTTGTAAATTAAGTATTTTTATCACGTAAGCTAGGAGGAAGTGTAATTGATGTCATTTTACTTTTGTTTGTACAGCATGCGTGGAATTCATTGCTCCAACATCGATTTTTGTAACTAATTGATTCGTAAACATATTACTCTTTTTTGTGTTTATTTTAGTGGTAAAATTAACATAAAAAAGTAACCGTCTTATAGTATCGATTAATTTCAAAGACACTCAAAGCATGGAATTCTTAGCAAACGATTTTACTTTATATTGTGATAATTTTTTTAATATCATCTCATTATCATTTTTATTGCATGTTATTTTTTGTTTGATACATTTTTATTTTAAGAAATCATTGTTGAGACGATTCATATTGAAAGTACCTTAACTATTACATTTTATTTTATTATGATAGACAATAGAGAAAAGAATACGCGATTAATTTATTTGTTACTATAAAAAATTGTACATCTGGTAAAAGTAAAGGTTTACTAGTATTGTTGATTTTATTGTCGGTTTTGCAATATGCAGCGTAAAATTTTAAAAGCTGAAGGGACCATACCTTTTGGTCTATTAGAGAAATCAAAAATACCCAAAAAATTTTTGTGGAATGCTGGAGGGGGAACCAATTTAAACGTGTAAGTTAAGTGGATTGTTATCTGCTTGTCCCCTTTAAACTCGATAGGTCTTTTTTCCCACCTTCCTCTCTCCTCAACGTCACATTTCTTTGTCTTGCATATTTTTTCCTTGCTCCATTTTCATGTGCTGATCTCTAGTTACACATCTGCTATTTATGTCATGTGCTAGAATGGACAAACTTAATAATATTAACAATTATTTGACTATACCAGGGCCATAGCCAGAGAGGTGCCAGAGGGTGCCTGGCACTCTCTGGATATTAAGTGGCACCCTCTGATCGATCACGATCAGAATTGTAAAATAAAAATGTACAATAGTGCTATTTTTATACATTGTAAATTAATTATCACAAATATACAATATAATTATTACAATAAAATTGAATAAAAATGATTATTCTTGATAATTATAATACCTACATACTACATTTTGTAGTATTAGTACAATAATGGTTATTAGAATTATGCAATTTAATTCAAAAGTAACCAGTTTAATAACTCAGATTCAGACATATATGAAGTTATGGACAGCACTAGGCTTGTTTCTTGCTTGGCAAGTTGGCAACATCGCTGAATATATAATATATATTGGATAAAATTATTTTTTTTAAATATATTTTTTGCTTTTTTGACTAACAAGTCTCTCGAGACTTCACTTTTGTAAACAATAAGTGCACCACCCTCCAACATTTCGTTTGCACCCTTACAATTTTCGTTCTAGCTACGGCCCTGGACGCACCGTTCTCGAAATATTACGGTTTGAAATTTCGACCAAAAATTCTGACAAACTGTAATATCTTGAGAACGGTGCGTCGTACATATGCCTTCCGACCCCTCGTTGGAAAGGTCTCGGCCAGCGCAATCCATTGGCGCTGTCAAAATTTTTGGTCGAAACTTCAAGTCGGCGCTGTCAGAATTTTTTTTTTGCCCCAAATAAAATTGGCTCAGATCGACCGGAAAAAAATATTTGCTTATAGAATGTGAAATCCATAATTTCAAACAGTTCCAAGATCGGGCTACTAGATCAAAAGCTACAGCCTTTTGAATTTTTTGCCGAAATTGGTTTTTTTGCCCATAACTTTTGATTGAGACGTCTAATCGAAAAAGTACGAATCGGTTTGGATTCTACGCACCAAAATTAATAAGAAAAAGTTTTTCCCGAGAAATTTTGGTGCAGTCGATTTTTGGTAAAAAAGGAAAGGTATAACACTGCTTTTTTTTTGGCCCGAAAAAAAAATTGTCTCAGATCGACCGGAAAAAAATATTTTCTTATAGAATGTGGCCTGTAGAATCCATAATTTCAAACAGTTCCAAGATCGAGCTACTAGATCAAAAGTTACAGCCTTTTAAATTTTTTGCCCATAACTTGATTGAGACGTCTAATCGCAAAAGTACGAATCGGTTTTTTTTTCCCGAGAAATTTTGGTGCAGTCGATTTTTGGTAAAAAAGGAAGGTATAACACTGCTTTTTTTTTGGCCCGAAAAAAAAAATTGTCTCAGATCGACCGAAAAAAAATATTTTCTTATAGAATGTGCCTGTAGAATCCATAATTTCAAACAGTTCCAAGATCGAGCTACTAGATCAAAAGTTACAGCCCTTTGAATTTTTTGTCGAAATTCTGACAGCGCTGGTCGAGACCTTTCCAACTATCTATGACGCACCGTTCTCGAGATATTACGGTTTGAAATTTCGACCAAAAATTCTGACAAACCGTAATATCTCGAGAACGGTGCGTCGTAGATATGCCTTCCGACCCCTCGTTGGAAAGGTGTCGGCCAGGGCCGTAGCCAGGGAGGTGCCAGAGGGTGCCTGGCACCCTCTGGACATTAAGTGGCACCCTCTGATCGATCACGATCAGAATCGTAAAATAAAAATGTACAAATAGTGCTATTTTTGTACATTGTAAATTGATTATCACAAATATACAATATAATTATTACAATAAAATTGAATAAAAACGATTATTCTTGATAATGATAATATTACCTACATACTAAATTTTGTAGTATGAGTACAATAATGGTTATTAGAATTATGCAATTTGATTCAAAAGTAACCACTTTAATAACTCAGATTCAGACATATCTGAAATCTGAAGTTATGGACAGCTCTAGGCTCGTTTCTTGCTTGGCAAGTTCGCAACATCGCTGAATATATAATATATATTGGATAAAATTATTTTTTTAAATATATTTTTTGCTTTTTTGACTAACAAGTATCTCGAGCGAGACTTCATTTTTGTAAACGATAAGTGCACCACTCTCCCAACATTTCGTTTGCATCCTTACAATTTTCGTTCTAGCTACGGCCCTGGACTATACTATACAATGGTAGATACAATGATGATAGTTTCTGGTGCCTACTGGACTGTCAAATTTATGTATATAGTTTATTTCTGTTCGTAGTGTTGGATATTTCTGCTTCACACTAATTTGGTGCCGTTTAATTTTTTCCTGTGTTCCTTCAAACGCAGCGCCATCTACTACCTTCTTATATAATGAATGCAGTAGGTATAATCATTGATTATATACTTATATAGTGCGTATAATCGATGGTATAATGTATACTTACCCACATCCCTGCGCGCATTTTTCTTTCACAGTTTAATTGCGTCTTTTACGCGCGTCATTAGCTTTTGTTATGCCCACTCTACACCTCTATTTACGAGTTCTTTATGTAGTAGCATAGTAATACGTCGTTGAAGTTAGCATCAGCTTCAGAAATGAGAAACGAATTTTTACAGTGGACCATATAAATACTTCGAAATTATAATTTATTACTAAAAAAAATAGGGTTAAAGGGTTAGTACTCAATTGTCAAAGATATAACTTTGCAAATATTTAAAATATAAGGGTATAATCTACCCTACACTAAAAACAAAACATTAAAAAATTCTTAGAGGGTAGAAAAAAATTTGTAACAAGTTTATACTTAAATTAACATTAGATACTAATATAAGAAGTGCTATGAACGTATAGCTTTGCAAATATTTAGAGTTTAAGGGGTTAATCCACCCTACACTAGTAAAAACATAAAAAAATTCGTAGAGGGCGGAAAAAAATTTGTAACAAGTTCATACTTAAATTAATATTAGATACTAATATAAGAAGTGGTATGAACGTATAGCTTTGCAAATATTTAGAGTTTAAGGGGTTAATCCACCCTACACTAGTAAAAACATTAAAAAATTCGTAGAGGGTGGAAAAAAATTTGTAACAAGTTCATACTTAAATTAACATTAGATACTAATATAAGAAGTGCTATGAACGTATAGCTTTGCAAATATTTAGAGTTTAAGGGGTTAATCTACCCTACACTAGTAAAAACATAAAAAAATTCGTAGAGGGTGGAAAAAAATTTGTAACAAGTTCATACTTAAATTAATATTAGATACTAATAAAAGAAGTGGTATGAACGTATAGCTTTGCAAATATTTAGAGTTTAAGGGATTAATCCACCCTACATTAGTAAAAACATTAAAAAATTCGTAGAGGGCGGAAAAAAATTTGTAACAAGTTCATACTTAAATTAATATTAGATACTAATATATGTATAAAGTGGTATGAACGTATAGCTTTGCAAATATTTAGAGTTTAAGGGGTTAATCTACCCTACACTAGTAAAAACATTAAAAAATTCGTAGAGGGCGGAAAAAAATTAAATATTTGCAAAGCTATATGTTCATACCACTTCTTATATTAGTATCTAATATTAATTTAAGTATGAACTTGTTACAAATTTTTTTCCACCCTCTACGAATTTTTTTATGTTTTTACTAGTGTAGGGTAGATTAACCCCTTAAACTCTAAATATTTGCAAAGCTATACGTTCATAGCACTTCTTATATTAGTATCTAATATTAATTTAAGTATGAACTTGTTACAAATTTTTTTCCACCCTCTACGAATTTTTTTATGTTTTTACTAGTGTAGGGTAGATTAACCCCTTAAACTCTAAATATTTGCAAAGCTATACGTTCATACCACTTCTTTTATTAGTATCTAATATTAATTTAAGTATGAACTTGTTACAAATTTTTTTCCGCCCTCTACGAATTTTTTATGTTTTTACTAGTGTAGGGTAGATTAACCCCTTAAACTCTAAATATTTGCAAAGCTATACGTTCATAGCACTTCTTATATTAGTATCTAATATTAATTTAAGTATGAACTTGTTACAAATTTTTTTCCGCCCTCTACGAATTTTTTAATGTTTTTACTAGTGTAGGGTAGATTAACCCCTTAAACTCTAAATATTTGCAAAGCTATACGTTCATACCACTTCTTATATTAGTATCTAATATTAATTTAAGTATGAACTTGTTACAATTTTTTTTCCACCCTCTACGAATTTTTTAATGTTTTTACTAGTGTAGGGTAGATTAACCCCTTAAACTCTAAATATTTGCAAAGCTATACGTTCATAGCACTTCTTATATTAGTATCTAATATTAATTTAAGTATGAACTTGTTACAAATTTTTTTCCGCCCTCTACGAATTTTTTAATGTTTTTACTAATGTAGGGTGGATTAACCCCTTAAACTCTAAATATTTGCAAAGCTATACGTTCATAGCACTTCTTATATTAGTATCTAATATTAAGTTAAGTATGAATTTGTTACAATTTTTTTCCACCCTCTACGAATTTTTTTATGTTTTTACTAGTGTAGGGTAGATTAACCCCTTAAACTCTAAATATTTGCAAAGCTATACGTTCATAGCACTTCTTATATTAGTATCTAATATTAATTTAAGTATGAACTTGTTACAAATTTTTTTCCACCCTCTACGAATTTTTTAATGTTTTTACTAATGTAGGGTGGATTAACCCCTTAAACTCTAAATATTTGCAAAGCTATACGTTCATACCACTTCTTTTATTAGTATCTAATATTAATTTAAGTATGAACTTGTTACAAATTTTTTTCCACCCTCTACGAATTTTTTAATGTTTTTACTAATGTAGGGTGGATTAACCCCTTAAACTCTAAATATTTGCAAAGCTATACGTTCATAGCACTTCTTATATTAGTATCTAATATTAATTTAAGTATGAACTTGTTACAAATTTTTTTCCACCCTCTACGAATTTTTTTATGTTTTTACTAGTGTAGGGTAGATTAACCCCTTAAACTCTAAATATTTGCAAAGCTATACGTTCATAGCACTTCTTATATTAGTATCTAATGTTAATTTAAGTATGAACTTGTTACAAATTTTTTTCCACCCTCTACGAATTTTTTATGTTTTTACTAGTGTAGGGTGGATTAACCCCTTAAACTCTAAATATTTGCAAAGCTATACGTTCATACCACTTCTTATATTAGTATCTAATATTAATTTAAGTATGAACTTGTTACAAATTTTTTTCCACCCTCTACGAATTTTTTAATGTTTTTACTAGTGTAGGGTAGATTAACCCCTTAAACTCTAAATATTTGCAAAGCTATACGTTCATAGCACTTCTTATATTAGTATCTAATGTTAATTTAAGTATGAACTTGTTACAAATTTTTTTCCGCCCTCTACGAATTTTTTAATGTTTTTACTAATGTAGGGTGGATTAACCCCTTAAACTCTAAATATTTGCAAAGCTATACGTTCATACCACTTCTTTTATTAGTATCTAATATTAATTTAAGTATGAACTTGTTACAAATTTTTTTCCACCCTCTACGAATTTTTTTATGTTTTTACTAGTGTAGGGTAGATTAACCCCTTAAACTCTAAATATTTGCAAAGCTATACGTTCATAGCACTTCTTATATTAGTATCTAATGTTAATTTAAGTATAAACTTGTTACCAATTTTTTTCTACCCTCTAAGAATTTTTTAATGTTTTGTTTTTAGTGTAGGGTAGATTATACCCTTATATTTTAAATATTTGCAAAGTTATATCTTTGACAATTGGGTACTAACCCTTTAACCCTATTTTTTTTAGTAATAAATTATTATTTCGAAGTATTTATATGGTCCACTGTAAAAATTCGTTTCTCATTTCTGAAGCTGATGCTAACTTCAACGACGTATTTTATGTCCTGATCTCCAGAAGAGTGATACAACATCAGAAAGTGGAAAGTGCAGTGAAGGTGATAAGGATTTAGAAAATTTGTCTACGAGTATGGCGAGTCGTGTATGCAGTGGGGATGTAATTCTACAAACACTTCGTGTGAAAGTCCTTGGAAAAAATAAATCTAAGGAAGTGCGTGCATTTATCGACCCTGGGGCGCAATTTTCATATATTCTGAAAAGTTTGGCGTTAGAATTAGGGTACAGTAAAATTGCAGAATTAACGTTTTCCCATAATTTGTTTGGAGGTGCATCTACAGTTTCTAAAACGCACAAAAAGTATAAACTTTACTTGGAAAGTTTGTCTTCCAAATTCAAATGTCATTTTTACGTCTACGATGAAGACAACATTTGTGGTGGGATTCCTAAACTATTAAAAGCCAATTGGACACAAGAGCTACATGAACGTGGTATTGTAGTGAACGACGTCGGTAGCGGAAGTCATAAAATCGAAGTTCTGATTGGAGGTGATATTTATGGGAAGTTGCTGACTGGAAAGTTGCATCAATTAGAAAGCGGGTTAACTGCAATTGAGACACTATTAGGGTGGACTGTTTTGGGAAAAGTAAAAACTTGTGGTGAATGGTCTTCTACTAGTATGATAGTTACGTCAATGCTCAATTCGTCATCCACAATTACAAATTTGTGGGATTTAGAAAAAATTGGTATTGACGATCCTTGTGAAAAGCTAACAAAGGCCGAAGTCGATGACCAAGTGCGGGAACATTTTCGGCAGACCGTATCAAGGGATAGTGACGGTAGATATCAAATTTCTCTTCCTTGGTTAGATGATCATGCACATGCACGGTTACCTACAAACAAATTTGTAGCTCAGAGAAGGTTAGAAAATGCGACACAAAAGTTGAAAGCAGACGGAAAGTACATGGACTACGAACAGGTATTTAAACAATGGTTAAACCTTGATGTAATAGAAGAAGTAAAAGGTGAATGTGTAAGTTGTCATTATTTACCACACCGACCTGTGTACAAACCAGACAGTAGCACTACAAAGGTGCGACCGGTATTTGACGCATCATGTTGTAGTGCAGGTGGCGCGTCAAGTCTTAATCAATGTTTAGCTAAGGGGCCCAATCTGCTCGAACTTATTCCTGACCTCCTCTTACGCTTTAGAGAAAAGTCAGTCGCTGCAACAGCTGATATTGAAAAAGCATTTTTGATGATTGGAGTTAAGGAAGATGATCGAAACTTCCTACGGTTTCTCTGGTGGGAGGATTCTACATGTTCAGATATGAAAATTTATCGACATAAGCGTGTCGTTTTTGGTGTTAACTGTAGTCCATTCCTTTTATCTGCAGTTATTGAATACCATTTGCGAAGAGTTGATCAGCATCTTAGGTCAACAGCGGATAAGTTATTAACAACGTTATATGTTGATAATGTAGTTGCATGTTTTGATAACGTCGAAGAATACATGAAATTCAAGAACGAGTCAACGCGTATAATGGCAGAAGCGAAATTTTGTCTTCGAATGTGGGAAAGTAACGTTGATGATTTTCTTGAACAGCTAGTAGTTACTAACGTATTGGGAATGAAGTGGAATCGAAGGTCTGACACCTTGTCATGTTTTCTAAACGTTAAAGGAGTTGAAAAAGCTACCACTAAACGAATTATTTTGGCCGAAGTAGCTAAAATATTTGATCCGCTTGGAATATTAGCTCCTGTGACGTTAGTACCAAAGTTACTACTTCAGGAAACCTGGAATTCAAAACTTGGTTGGGATGAATCTGTGTCATCCGAAGTGTCGAGAAAATTCCTTAAATGGAAACATGATATTGCGTTACTCAATTTATTAGAAATTCCTCGTTGGGCTTGCAGAGGCAACAAACAAAGTTGGACTCTTCATACATTTTGTGACGCAAGTAAAAGTGGATATGCTGCCACAGTTTTTCTTCGAAGTGAAATCAACGGTACAGGAATGGTACAGCTATTGATGGCCAAATCCAGAGTTGCTCCTTTAAAGGATATAACCATTAATAGGTTGGAATTGATTTCTTGCGAAATTGGTAGTAGACTGTGTCAGACTGTAGAAAATTCATTAAAGTTGGATGATGTTAATCGTTACTTCTGGACAGATTCTACTACGGCATTGTCTTGGATAAAACGTAACGATAACTGGGGAACCTTCGTAGGAAATAGGGTGAAAAAGATCCTTTCAAACACTGAACCAGAGGAATGGCGACATGTTCCTGGGTCCTTGAATCCTGCGGATTTGCCTTCTCGTGGGTGTGATGCTCGTTCATTATTGGAGTCAAAGTGGTGGGAGGGACCAGCTTGGCTTAAAGATGTTGAACAATGGCCCATCAATAAATATGTCGAAAATGAAGATGAAGTTCAACAAGAGAGGAAGAGGATGGTTACGGCGTTTAATGCGGTGATGAAGGATGAGATTCCTTGGTATTTTCCTACGAAGTGTAAGTTTTCCAAGTATAATAAACTTGTAATAGTTATGGGTTATGTGATGCGGTTTATATGTCGTTGCCGTACGCATAATAATTTTTATTCAATAGTTCTCACAGTTGAAGAACTTAGAGTTGCAGAGCAGAAATTATTGTTTATGGTTCAGAAAGAAGTGTTTACAGATAAAAATAAGTCATTTCCGTTTAATGTGGAGAAAGATACTAGTGGTCTATTAAGAGTTAAAACCCGGATAACAATGAGGAAGGATTCTGATTATTTTGTTCGACCTATTCTGCTTCCTTCAAGACATCCTGTTGTTGATGCGCTTATTCATGAGGATAAGTGTCATGCAGGAGCTCAATACATCGTGTCCCACTTAAGAGAGAAGGTTTGGATCTTGAAAGGTAGAAAAGCAATACAACATGTGGTTCGCAATTGCGTGAAGTATAGACGTTTTCGAGGAAAACCGCCAGATCAATCATGTAATGTTTTTAAAAATTACCTCTTAGTAATTTTGGTGGGAGTATGAAGAAAGATGCATTTTAGTAATCAAGTATGTATAGAACAGATTTGAAATAAATAGAAGTTTGTCAATACAATAAAATTGATCGATTATAGAATATTCTCTTTTTCGTGAATTATCTTTTTACACACGCGGTTAAACTATCAACGGGTAGTTGTAGTCCCTAGCCGCATCAACTAGAACAGCGAGTTTATGATTTTGGACTGTCTGTCCGTCCGTCTGTGTACATGGTAACTCACGAACGTTTTCGAATTTTCCAGTTCTGTTTTCAGTAATAGGTAGACAATGGTCAAGGGACTAAGTGATTCAATTTTGGTCAATACTCGTCAACCGGAAGTGACCCTTTCGCTCGTTGTCATATTAGTGCAGTTTATTTTATGCACTGAAGTTTCACGTGAATGTTTTGTAGGCTTACGACAAATGCAATGAGCTGTTCTTTTCCTAATATCAAACAATTGCTAGGAATTTATGCGATGACATGACTCCAGTCAACGCCTGAGCGAACATTTTCATTCTTAAAACAAATGAAGAGCTACCTGACTAACCGAACCGGACATCAAAGACTCACGAGTTCAGCTTTAATGATCGTCCACAGAGACATCGTCGTTTCCCCGTCAGAAATAATAAATAAACTTGTTTCACGTCGAAATTGGCTAAACAAATTTTGGAAAAGTACCTACATTTAAAGACTCTTCAAATACGATTTTCAACTTTAAAGTTTACAAGATTCAAGAATTTCACGACTATTTTGATCAGTAAAAAATTCAATTGTTTCAATCAACGATATGCATTTAATACGCTAAATACTTTAGGCTAAATATCTATTTCGCTCTGATAGTAATTCTTTGCTAAAAGTAAGGAAGGGTAAGAAAATCGGTTGCCCTCATACCAAAAAGCCGTGAAATGGGCTTTAAATCGACGCTTCATGCACAAACAGTGGGTCTCGCGAAGTATTTGGTCAATGAAAATGCGACAAGGAGTCTTTCTTCATTACGATGTAAAAGACAACCGATGCGATCCAGGCCATGCAACCTTCTTTATATAGAGATCTAAAAGGCGTTCAAGTTAAAACTGTCTGGGTTGCCAAAGGAGATTTCATGAGATAAACTGAATACCCACATGGTAGTGTTGTTTATTGTATGTAGGGTAATCTGTGGTAGAAGTAACAAAAACATTGTGTAGCTCCCAAATGAATCATTTTGGACTTCCCGTTTAATTACTTATTTCCTTAAGAAAACCAAGTAGCGATATATGAACAATACTTGCTAAAAAAATTAAAAGGGACATCAATGAAAAGCACTTTACACGAATAATCACAGCCTAAAATCTCATTCCACAGGTAAAATGTTTCATCGTCGCAACCTTACCGATTTATCCACGTTCTGTGTTATGGGGTTTACGCCTTTTAAGATGTAATTGAGGTCATTAATCTATAGTAAAAATCGAAATCTCTTTACGCAATATGCCTTTACGTGTATATGTGTTGCCTAACTACGTTCGCAACACTTTTAATACGCATAGTAGGATTAAACGCGCGGTCCAGTAGTAACAAGTCTGTAAGAAGCACGTTCACCCTTGCGTAAAGTTAATAGCAGACGAACGGAACAAAACACGGCATGAATTTGTGTGCCCAAAACATGCCGCAACTGCATGTATTTAAGCAATGGTTTGATCGTTTTGCCAATGAAAATGGAACACTTGTAAAGATTTTGAACAAAACGGTAATCGCAACTCGCAAGTAAAGGTTATTAACGTTGCATTGGCCAAAATCGCTTCTCAAAAAGTAAGTAATTCGTGGGAGATGAGGGGTACTCTTATATATTACATAAAAATGTTAAGACTAGTGGAAATTTTTTTAATTGCGATTTTTTGTAACATTTGTGGAGTAATAAAATAAATCTGTAAACATAAACACTGGAATAGGCCATGTGTTAATTTGATACCAAACATTATGGGTTTCAATAGCAAAAAAAGCGCTTCGGAGAACTAACAAGTATAAATTGTGCACAAAGTGTTTTTAAACCCAAATAGCTTTAAATAGTTAGGTTATAAGGTAGTAACTTGCTTACTAGAAGATTAAAGGGGAGGGGACGCATAAACATTTAAAGGCCGCTTGGCATAAATTCAAAATCTACGCTATATAATGCAAGAAGAATCAAGTCCTTCCTCCAACACGTGACAAACTGTGAAAGACAACGAGAATTACATGCCAGTACATGTACATGGTTTAGGTTACAATGCCAATGTGCCGCTCCTCGATATTTGCCAGTGAAGTGGTTATGATCTCTAACTTTAGGATCTTATACAGTGAAGCGATAAACCATTGAATTCATAAAGTTATGAAGCTGACTAGGGCTTTAGGGCTTAAAGTTTCCCTTGGAATTATGTTTGCAATGAATCCATTAGCCCAATAGGCACTGCTATGAAGTTCTTTATTGAACCAGGAAATGCAAGCGTTGGGCCGCTATAGGATCACTTTAAATAACATGCGAGGCTGAAAGGTGCATGTTTCAACTGAAGTACAGTGTTGTGATTTTCGAGGTTAGTTAAATTTGAACAACTTTCTAAATCCGCATAAATTGTGAATGCTACTCGGTAGTTTTTAAACTATAAACGGATTGCCGTTGCACTTTAACAGCGCTGCTGGGAATAAGTAGAAGAGAATCTGTGGAAAAATAGTTCAAGCATCTGTTACAAATGAAATCTTTATTCGATACCTGCTTAGAGAAAACAAAACAGTGGACAGAATTATTTTTTAGATTGATAGCATTGGCAACATTTGTTTGAGAATTAGTGGGACGTAAAAGATTTTCAGGATACTTCTTTATCTTCTTTATCTTATCTTTATCGCTCATTTGATTGGCACTTAGCTTTAACGCAAAACAAATTGATTACTTACAAGATTATGTATTTAGTTTTTCAAATTTAATTACATCATCCGTAAAGGGTAACTGATTTCAACTTATTCTAAATCCACTTATATAGCTGACCCTCAAGGATAAATACCTAGAAGTTAAATACTCCTCCAGTAAACGTGAAGGGTTCAAGGTGAAAAAGGTAAAAGTACATAATCTTTTACGGTCATTATTTGAAGGGCCAATATGAAAGGATTAACGATCTTTCGTACAAATTGATTTTATCTAAAGCCCCATTCAGATAGGTGGTAGTGCAGTGCTGTTGCGGTGCGGTGCCTTTGTATAAAAGTTTGAAATACGCATACCCATATGACAATTCACAATGACATGTGCAGCAGCCGCGTGCCGAAAGTATGTAAACTTTAAACTTTCTGCACTACAGTTAGCAAACACCAATACAAGCGCAACATATTTGTTGCTGTTGTCGTTGATTGGTCATACTTGTGTAGGCGGGCCAATTTTGTGGTGATTGTGAAAGCAATAGTATATTATATACAGCGGAACTGAAGTAGCACTTTTAATCCCGACAAACCCTATGCTATGGCACAGCCGTCTATAATTACAAGCCGTGCTGAGAATTATGACAACACTGCATGGTAGGCCGATTTCCTAATTCAACTTGACAGATTTCAGGTGTATTTTATGTGTGTTTTGGGTGTAATATTCCTTTTTACCTGTTTTAACAGAGCGAGATTGCGACAATTTGTGTTACTCCGTACGGAATGAACAGAAATTATTATTCAGGTAAGTTGCTAAACGAAATATATCGATTTGTTGTCATAACCTCTAAAGCAGGCTACTCCTTAGTGGGCCCTTTACAAGCACTTGTATTTGTTCAAAGTACCTGTACAAGCTCAAATATGACCTACACACTACGTGGTACGTAAGTACGGTAAGTGTTTATCGTGAAAGAATACAATAATTATTTTATTAGTTGGTATTTCAGATATTCTAGCACAGACATGTCAAGTCGATTTTCTGAAGGAACCTTCCGACTTATTCCCAGGAGTACACGGTACGGGAATTTGAAGTCTACGGGGCTCCCCTCTTTAAAAGCTTCGTACATAGACCCACTGGAGTAGCGACTGGCTTAAAATCTGCCATTCCGAATCACACCTGGTCGTTGATATAACTTCGCTGATGCACAGCGATAGCGATTTACTGTCCTTTTGCCGAAATTAAGTGCCTAAGCGTGTGCTTCACCTCGACCTCTTTCGACAGAAGTTCACCAATTTCGGAGATCTCAATGGAAAACACATTATGGAGCAGTTACCAATTTACAGCGTTCCGAATTTTAACGTCAAATAAAAATGTTATTATCTACTTTTGTAAATAAATAAAATATATGTACAATTGTAAGCTGCTTAAGTATCTTTCTTCTGTATTAAATTAAAACCACCAAGGCGAAGCACAGGAGAGAGGAAAAATGCAATTTTTCAAGAGCAACAAGACGCCATTAAAATTATATCGGCCCACCGATTGACTTTCGGACAACGTTGCCAAACTTCTCAGCATGGCTTGTAATTATAGACGGCTATGGCTATGGTAACAAAAATATTTTGGAAACTGTCATTGCTAGTGTCATAATTTTGGTCGTGGGTGACAAAAGGTGTATTTCATTTTGATAAAAAGCAGCCAAAGTAGGTAAAGAATTGATACCACCGAAATCCAAAAAACTATATGAGCAGCACTACGATGCGTTTAAGAAGTAGTCCCGCGGGTCGCATACAAATTGTGGAACAACCTATTGAAATTGCCTTGTTAGATCCTTCCGGGATTTTCGTCCAAATTTAATCCCGGCGGGACAAAAAGTGACACTTCAGTACTTGTCATAATGGAATGAAGTTGTCACTTTAGTCTCGGAAGTACGAAAATGTCAATATGACAAATATACAAAGGGTAAAGTCTAATTTATATTTGGCAAGTTTATTAGCGGAAAGTACTTTCTGCCAGTAAACTTGCTACCCTATTTCTATTTAACTGGTACTTTCCGCGCATTTACACGTGGCAAGTTTACTGGCCGACAGTACTTTCCGCCAGTAAACTTGCCAAATGTAAATTAGGCTTACAGTACAAAATATGTAAATAGGTACATAAATAATCTCAGCAAGAACGTGAATTGAATTTTGCAACAAGCGCTCCAAGTTACGGCATTTTGCCGAAATTTTCCTCAAGGTTCATTGACCCCCAAAATTTGTAATTTGACACCCGAATATCGCCAAACATTGTGATATGACACCCGAAAATTGGCAAAATTTATAATTTGAAACCCAAAAATTGGCAAAATTTACAATTTGGCATCCGAAAATTGCCAAAATTTGTAATTTGACAACCCAAAATTGCCAAAGTTTGTAATATGACACCCGAAAATTGCCAACATTTGTAATGATACCCAAAAAATTATCAGGATTAGTAATTTAATACCCAAAAATTGCCAAAAGTGTTAATATGATGCCCCAGAAAATTTTCAAAATTTGACGATACCCTAAAAATTCCCTATTATAATAGCTCAAACAGTATCGAAAACAATGAAGTTAGGCACCAAAAGTTATGAAAAAAACCACAGATTTTGCAATCTATGCAAACATCGGAAACATTGGAAATAATAACCGCATAAGCTATAAATCCATATGTAAAACACAAATAACCCTTATTCACACGAAATCACTTACTGCACTCGCTCGTGTCGCAATGCTTGTAATGCTATCACGGGCGATGTGCGAGAATTTTAAATTCGAATTAACAAAATCCTTGCGCATTGGTAAGTAAGTACCGTATCGACAATATCCGCGATTTTTCCTGAATCTACCGATTGCAGTCGAGTATGGTACAATCATCACTTAATGCGACACCACTGTATTCTTTTCTGCTTGACGAAACTGGTAACTTCATACCCATACAAAACATAAGCATTTCCAATTCTAATACGAATACTTTAACCTATACTTATGCGCTATTTAATCAGAAGAAATTGTTGAGGTTATTGAGCTTTCACCTTGGATGAGGGTACGAATGTATCGGATGTTCTCAGAGGAAACGAAAAGACTCTGTGCCTGCTATTCATGTCAGTTCATTAACTTTGCTTACGTGAACTTTGGACATTCTCACGTGTTCGTTTCTTAATCTCGTGATTTACGTCAGTTCTACTAAGGTCTGCAAAAGTTTATTCATATAAACCTAAAATTACGTTTAAAGAATCAGTTGGTTCGCGTCATTCTACGAGTACATAAAATGTCTGCAAATCAACGTGCCAAGTTATCACTGAAAAAGACCGCAAAACCCAGTACTGTGTTGGAGCAGCTGCTAGCGAAACCGAAAAATAATGTGCAACCGGCGGGCACGTCTGTTTCAGCGACGCAGCAGCAGGAATCCCAAATACAGCAGCAGCCTCCTGCTCAATCTCCTGTAGTATTGATAGCCGATAAAGACGTGGAAGACGAGTTTAATCGTCTGTTTGAAAAGTAAGTTTTCATTAATTTGTATATCTTTTAATTTAGCGAATGCGTTGTGAAATATACTATTTTCTTATTTTTTTTAGCGTTACGCTCGCCACGTTACCGGCGACTTCGCCGCTCCAGCCGCCTCCGCCGTCGCAGCCAGGTGACAAAAACTTGGCTCTCATTAGGAGAGAAGAAAAGCGCAGCAGCACCATCAACATCAATACCTGCAACGAACTTGGACGAATTTCGCAATTGCGGTGTGGAGTGGTTGCTTGTGTTGTTGGGAAGATACATACAAAGTACTGGGATGCAAGAAAGGCGAATTGCCCAATTGCAAAGGTACAATATAAAAAGTGTTCAAAAATTAGGAGGCAAAAAACGTCGATTCTGGAGAAAGAGCAAACCTTGAAAAAGCATTAACCGATGGCATTTAAATTTTTTCTTCAGTAATGATTAATTTGTATATAGTGCCTTACGAAAATATGGTGTTAGCAATTCATCGTTAATAAAAGGCAATATACTTACAACTCCTATATTATTATTTATTAATTGATCGTGTTCAAACTCGCTTCTCCAATCAACACATACTTGCTGAACGCTAAGAGTCGGTCTCACTCTTTCATTTAAAACGACGACTGCAAGATCCGCCTCAAGAAAATGTGTGAATCCTTTATATCTTTCAGGAAGAAAAATGTTGGCAATCTGAAAACGTTGCGACATGTTCTAATATTCAACTTTTAACCTACATACAGTAAACTCCTGGATCTCCTGATCATTATCATGGTAAAAATCACTATAGTACTTTCCTGCCACAATTATGTAATTGTTAGCATCAAGTTTAAGGCGGCCATTGTTAATTTCAGTAAAGCAATGGGCAGCTGTAACACAATTCGTTAATTTAATGTACAACTCGTTTTACACACACACATACCTGACAGCACCAGTCGCGAGCTAATGATTGAACCTCCACAGAGATAACCGCGGGTGGTGTTGTATATGCCGACATGCCAAGGATAGTCCAGAGCTCTTGCAATTCCTGCCCCAATCGCGTTTGGAGTACCTTTCGCACGTTTTTCTCCACACACTAAAATGACAACGTGTAACAAGGGTTATACCTATTGAAGAAAACGAGTTATAGTTAATATAATTCAACGTTAAACTTTAATGAAAATGATATTATTGATTACAAGATTGAGCGTTATTACATGTGACAGTTACGGTAAAAATTCTAATCTTTCTAAACTATGAAATACGCCGCCTATTATTCTTTATCTAACACTAACTTTAACTGACTTTAACACTTTCCCTTGTTTGATAAAAATTAATAATTATACAAGTCCCATCTTTACACAAAGGATATGTAATCTTGTTTGAGCGAGAGGCTTGGTCATAATGTCAGCTACCTGATGTTCAGATGAAACCTTTTCTACAACCAAAGTGCCTTCACTAACATGCTCACGAATAAAGAAGTGTTTCCTTTGAATGTGCTTGGTTCTGCGATGATTTTCGGGATTCTCAGAAAGTCTAACGGCTGCTGCGTTGTCAATCTGGATAACTGGAATTTCCTTTAAAAATGTAATTTCTTGCAAAAGTTGAGTAAGCCAAATAACTTCCTTTGCGGCTTCACTTGCAGCTACGATTTCTGCTTCAGCTGTAGATTCTGTTACGGAACCTTGTCGCTGACTAATCCAAGAAACAGCTCCATTGGCATATTTGACCAGTACTCCTGATGTTGAACGACCTGTTTTAGGTTTTACTACAACCACCGAAATCAGCATCACTGTAGCATTCGAACGCTCCCTTCTTAGCGTTACTTTGATATACTATACCAAGATCAATAGTCCCAGCTATATACCTAAGGACTCTTTTAGCTCTCGCTACATCATCAATAGTAGGGTTTTCTAATGACCTGGATAAAAATCCCACACTGTAGGCTAAATCTGGTCTCGAGCCTAACATAAGGTACATGATCGCACCAACGACCTGTCGATATGGAAATATGACTTCTTTTTCTGATGCTTTCCCTGAATTCGAACTTCCTGAACTTGAAAGCATTGGTGTAGAAACTGACTTGCATTCAACAAAATTAAAACGCTCAAGTAGTTTCTGAGCATACGATTTCTGGCTAATCTTGATATTTCCATTCTGCGATTTTTCAATTTCAAGACCCAAGAAATATGTTGCTTCATTTGAGGTAATCTTGAACTCTGTTCTAAGTTGGTGGATAAATTCTTCAAGATCTTCTTTATGAGTAGCAGCAATAAGACCATCATCTACATATAATGCTAAAACTATCTTAGCACCATTTTTCTCTTTAACAAACATACATGGTTCTTCTTTACTGGCTCTAAACTGTAATTTTTGTAAATATTTTCCAATACGATGATTCCAACATCTAGGCGACTGCTTTAGTCCATATAAACTCCTTTTGAGTAGGCAGACTCTACCAGACTCATCATCGTATCCATCTGGCTGTTTCATAAAGATCTTTTCCTCCAGCTCTCCATATAAAAATGCAGTTGAGACATCAAATTGGGCCAAATGCATTTTCTCTGTTGCAGCAATACCAAGTATCAAACGAATAGTTTGCAACTTTGCAACTGGACTGAAAGTATTATTGTAATCAATACCTTTCTTTTGATTATATCCTTTTGCGACCAATCTTGCCTAATGTTATAATTATGCCCTTATTAAGCACTCAAATAAAGCAATGTTAAGGATCTCGTTATATTTTGACAAAATTTCAAAATAATATTAGAACATCTGTTTTTTTTATAAACAATATGCCAACTAAATTACTATATAAATGGAGTGTCGTTTGGTTTGCAATTTAACATGTCGAACTTGTGTAAGAGTTCTTGTATATAACCGCTCTGAGAAAGTTGAATGTGATTCGCTTTCTGCTGGATTTCAATCCCCAGGCAGTACTTTGCAAGTCCCAGATCTTTGATCTTGAATTCTTGAGATAAAGCTGTTTTTATATCATTTACTCTTTTCGAGTTATTCGACGCGATGATGATGTCATCAACGTAAATCATAAGGAAGGTATGCTTTCCGCCTACATCATCAACAAATACGCAGGGATCGGACTTAGTAGGAGTAAATTGAAGTTGTAGTAGAACCTCTTTCAGCCTCTTGTATCACTGGCGTCCTGCCTGCTTTAAACCGTAAATTGCCCGGTTTAATTTACAAACAATATCCTTGCCCTTTTTGATTCGCAGTAACATCTCGTTAGCTTTCGCAGCAAGTTTAGATCCATGTTCTTCGACTGTCATTCGTTGCAACATTTCTTTAAGAAAAACTGGTTTTTCCATGAATATTTCTGTGTCGATTTCGCCATTCAGGTAAGCTGTAGTAACATCCAGCTGATGCATCTTCAAATGAAGTTTAGCGGATAGAGCGGCTAATAGTCTAAAACTCTAAACGATTCCATTCTAGCCACGAGAGCGAATGTGTCGTGAAAATCCACTCCAGGACGTTGAGCGAATCCTTTTGCGACTAATCTAGCCTTCCTGCGTTCGATTGCGCCGTTTGCATCGAGCTTGTTGCGTAACACCATTCTGGAACCAATTATTCTTGCATTTTCTGGCTTGTTAATTATTTTCCAGGTATCATGTTCGATGAGGGATTTTATTTCGTGGTAAATGGCGTCGAACCACTCGTTGCGATTTTCGCTAGAAAGTGCCCGTGTTAATGATATCTCGTTAGAGCACATACCTGAGTATTCGTTGAATTCTTCTACATCGCCATCACTACAATCGATACTGTCATCTATGGTATCTTCTATGATCCTTTCCTCATCAGAAGATGTTCGGTCAATTTCAACCATGTTGTATTCCTTCTTCGGACGGCCAGGCTGTCCTGAACGAATGATTCTTGGTCTCCCAGGACCTCTTCTAGTTTGATGAACAGTGTCGAATTTTTCTTCATCGTTTTCTTCCGTTTCACCAATTTCTTCCATAGGTTTAATATCGTCCATAGGTTTGATACCGTCGGAATTAGGTGTAATTGTCACTATGTTTTCTTCATATGTTTCTGGAACCTCTTCCAAAAATTGAACGTCTCTGCTGATATGGACTTTACGATCTTCTGGAATCCAAACACGATATGCTTTTGATTCGGAAGAATATCCTACAAAAATTCCCTGTTTCGCTCTGGGCTGAAATTTATCTTTGTTTGGAGAAGTGTCGACAATAAAAGCTTTGCATCCAAATGATCGAAGATGTCCAACATTTGGTTTTTTACCATTATATTTTTCAAAAGGTGTACCTTCTGCTAAACTCTTCGTTATGCTTCTATTTCGAACATAGTTCGCCGTGTTAATGGCTTCTGCCCAAAATGAGTTACTTAGACCGGCTTGCATCAACATGCACCTGGCAGAATTAACTAGAGTTCGGTTGCGGCGTTCTGCGACTCCGTTTTGTTGCGGTGTATGTGGAGTTGTAAGCCTTCGTTGAATTCCTTTCTTTGAAAAATACGAATTTAATTTCTGGTTGCAGAATTCAGTTCCGTTATCGGATTGTACGAATTTCACTTTCATGCCCGTTTGCCTTTCCGCCTTATCGATGAATTCAATGAGTCTAATTGAGGTTTGATCCTTGCTTTTTAGGAAGTACACTTCGCCGTAACGACTATAATCATCGACAATCGATAAAAAATATCTTGCGCCACCGTTTGATGTGGTCCGCATAGACCCGCACAGATCAGTGTGAATGATATTAAGGCATTCTGTTGATCTGTTAGCAGTTTTTGGAAATGGCAAACGTGGTAACTTTGCAGCTATACAAATTTCGCAACTATGAGGAACGTTGGAATCGCTAAAATTCATTTCGATAACGCTTTCCTTTTTAAAATAACTTCGTGATCTTTGTCAACAATTTTCGTTACAGATAACAAGTTAGTTCTTAAATCAGGAATAAATAATGTATTTTCGAGATTTATGTTTTTGTAACTACCGTTGGATTTGATTTTCAGATTGACACGACCTTTCGCAAGAACATCTGCGGTTGCTGAACTAGCTAGTCGTATTTTGCTGTCAATGCTTTCAAGGTTTTGAAATGAATCTTTGTTGTTACAGAGATGTGATGTGCAACCACTATCCAAACACCAAAGTTCGTTCTTATCGCAATTTACTGGACTGTTTGTAAAGAAACTTTCTCCTACGTAATTTTCATTTTGTTTATCTTTACCTGGATTGCTGACATTTTTCTTTTTCCAACATTCGGATTCCTTGTGACCTCTCTTCTTGCAGTAACCACAATTGTAGTTCGGCTTTTTATTATTGTATTTACCTGACAGTGGTTTTTCTGTACGAGTGCTCGCAAATTTTTGTTGATGTTTTGCGTACATTGCACTTGACTCAGTATTCTCCGTTCTTCTTGTTCTGGCATCGCTTTCTTCAATTATTTTAATTTTCAACGATTCAGCGTCTGGCAGTATGTCACGCGTCTCGATGACACATCTAAAATTATCAAAATTATCCGGCAAACTATATAATAGAATAATTGTGAGAAGATCGCCATTTATTTCTACATTCATAGCGTTAAGTTTATCAACCGTATCAAAGAAACGCGATAAATGTTCCCTCACATCATTTCCATCGGATAGTTTTTGAGTAATTAATTGCTTAAGTAAATTTGCTTTTCGAGCTGGTCCTTTTGATGCGTAAATACTTTGTAATTTCATCCATACATCGTTCGAAGTTTCGCATCCACGTATTTGCTTCAGCTCGGATGGTGAAATTGATAGTATGAGCTCTGACTTCGCTTTACGATCTTGTATAATCCATGCGTTTTGTAACTGCTGTTGATTAACGGTGTTCTGCGTATCTGGTTCAACTTCTGGCTTCAGACGGATACCGGATACATATTCCCACAAATCTGCTTTCACAAGTAACGCTTCGACTTGAATGTTCCATGTATCATAATTACTTCTGTTGAGTAATTCGATTCGGGTAGCATTAAGGATGTTAGCGCCAGCCATTTATTGATTTCTAATCGAATAACCACGAGACTAGGAGACTAAAACAGATCGACAGTTCGAGAGTAAGTACGTCACCTTACGTTTTTTGACAGTTATTCTATTTTTAATGATCTTCAATCTCGTAAGACTTCCAACAACTAATTTATCGTTCGTCTGTGGCCCATAACCTATTAGAGTTAGTGTGTTTATAAATAAGTGTTGTTAATATATTTAATTATAATTGACGTGCTATATTTGCTACGATATATTTCATCTAAATATTTGTTCTGCTGAGACTTCCAGTACTTTATTTATAACTCCACTAACTCTAATAAGTGGATGAACCAGTTAGACAAGAGTTTGTTAATTGGAAAGAGCAGTTACAGTCGTTAAAAGAATTGGAAATACCGCGCCGATTAATTACTAATTCAGTGACAGAAGATGGATTGAGCATACACACGTTTTGTGATGCTAGCGGCAAAGCCTATGCTGCAGCCGTTTATTTGAGAGCAGCATCGTCTCAAGGAGTTACAGTTCAATTGATTACAGCCAAGGTAAGAGTAGCGCCTACGAAGTCAACCACGATTCCTAGATTAGAGTTGTTAGCGGCCACTATTGGCGCCAGGTTGACTAATTTTGTAATTCAAGAGTTACAATACCAGAATGTTCAAGTGTACATATGGACAGATTCCACAACTGTACTATCGTGGATTCTACGAGACGGAAACTGGAATGTATTTGTGAAAAATCGAGTTACAGAGATACGACAGTTGGTGGAGTGGAGTTGCTGGAGATTTGTACCAGGTGAATTAAATCCGGCCTTACTATAGCGCGTTCGCACCTCCAGATTCAGTATGGGTTCTGATGGACTAATTGCCTCTCTTACTAGTTTGCGTCATTCTTCGATAATACTATCCTTGTTTCTAACCGCATTGATGTCAAATTGACATATAATTAAATTGAAGTATTAAAACAAAACATTATCTCCTTGTGCTGTCTTGTCACGTTTGGCAAGCATGTACTGTATGTCCATAAGCACCATACTGAATTTGGAGGTGCGAACGCGCTTAACATTCATTGTTTATTTCAAGGCCTCCTATGAAAAGTATGCATATAAGTAACGCTCACAATTTTAGAAAATCTTAAATAAAATAAAATGGAAACAATAACAGATAGATATAGGCATAGAAGAAATTGTATTTAGTGTATAGGGAATGTAATAATTGATCGATGTAGAATTTTTTTCCACATTTGAAAGTGGAAAAATATAAAGCAGTCAAACGTTGTATATCATTGAAAAGAGGAACTTTCAAAAGTTTTTTTAAACTTAGGTATACCACAGATTTAAACACTCCTTATACTCACTTATAAGTCAGATGTCTACTTTAAAAGTCAAACGATCACATCTAAAAAGAAGAAATAAAAACAACGTACTAGTCCCATATTCCATAAATACAAAAATTGCACCGGAAACGCATTAAACCGCTGTTCCACATAAAAAATATACAGGGTGTTACATATAAGTAGAAAAAAAATTGGGGTAAATGTCGCACATAACAAAAAAGTATAAATTGTGCAGACAACGCGCATTTTTTTAAACCGAAATAATTTAGTATAAATGGTTGGGCTATCGATGTTTAGTTTTTTGGTAGATGATTAATGGGGAGGAGGCTCTTTACACATAAACATTTAAAGGCCGCCTGGTATATATTCACAATCCTCCGACACTCCATTCTGCAGATATTTGCACTGAAACTTTGACATCGCCAATAGATACGTATGTCTCGTCCTGATGTTCCACTTGCCTCTTCCGACACTTCGTTGTCAAGGTATTTGCTTCGACTTTACCAATACATATGTCACCTCCAGTCGATTCATTTTGCATTTGAGAGTAGTTTCCTCCGACCAACCATTTTCGAGATATTCGCTCTTAAAGTCGTCCTGGAGATATAAGGGAATACATCCGATCACGATAAGAGGTCGAGGAGGAGGACTATGGTTGGTACAAATGAATTCCTTTCGTTGAGACCTTTTGTTAGAGTAAAATGAAAGGATATAACCAGTTCCACCCCCCCCCCCACGGGCCCCGTCACCTACTGATCTCGAAAAAGAGGTGCGCGGGAAAGTTATAATTTGTACAAACCAATTCGATCAAACTTTTCATTAGAATACCATAAAGGATAGAACGTGTGTTTATCCCCCCCCCCCCCGGTTACAAAATTTCGTTCGTCGAAATCAGAATTTCGATTCATGGTAGGAATTTTGAAACAATTTTTATACAATCGGAAAGGGCATACCCGAAAACCTATTGAAAGACGTGCCACCAGTCTTTGTAACTCTTATTGATGTTGAGAAAAATGTCACCACTTTTTTGACGGTGGCTACCAAACGAAACACGTTAGATCCTCGGTTTATTTGGAAAAAAATGCTTGTTTTGATCCTCTGTACCATCCAATTTTTCAGTCAGTTCCTACATCGATACGTTTTTGTGTTGTTATAAATTGCGAGTGGTAAATTGTAATTGCTGTTATAAATTAATCCATTTTAAGCCTGTTATAAATTTATTGTTAGTTAATTAAATAAATAAAACTAAATAACTAAATTTACGTTACAATATCAACGCACTAAGCAAGAATCAGCAAAAGATTATAAGAAATTCGGAATGATAAACGAAAATAATTATACCTGCAATAGGCATCAACATTCAATAAGATGGAGAAGAAGATTACACATCAATTAGGGAGATTTTGATACACTCTTAACCAAGGGATAAAAGCAAAACCCATATACAAAAATGGCACAGTACCATTGATGAAAACAAAATAGCTGTACATACAGCGTTCTGGCACAGACAACGAGGAGTAGACTAGTATAGTTGGTTGAAAGCATAGGCGGCCGCTTTCTATCATAAATGTATTGAAAAGTTGGTACCACACTATGACAAATGTATAGATCGAACTGGCAACTAAGTTGAGAAATATCTGCAATGTCAAAGAAATGTTACAAATAAAAAAATTAGATTTGACTTTTGTTTTAGTGACCTTGAAAAAAATATAAATCTAGTACCATGCATGTAGCTACTAACCTGGATGACACTGCCGAATAAAGTCATCCCATGTCCCATCTTTGCAAACAATCTCCGGATTACGAGAGGTTGTTACCATTTCATGAAACGATGCACATTCAAAAATAGCAACAGTATTGTCGACAGGATTATTGCAATTTTCCAATATATCTTTTCCATGTTTACATGTAATTTTGGTTGTTGATGTAGATGATAGTGATTGGCAGGCTCCTATAGTATGTTTATAAGTTATGAGTGGGGTTTATTAGTGTACCATACGTGCACATGTAGCCGGTTTTGGCGTCCATTCGCCGTCGAGGCAGTTAGACACTGCTTTATTTGTAGCAGACGGAGGGGAAGGTTTATATACAGGTCCATTGCATTTCAAAACCAAAGGATTACCCTCAGATGCAGCATACGTTCTGGGTGTTGCCGGTTCACGACCAAGGTGATACTGTCCATGATTGGGATGATCCGGAATTAAACAACCGCTTCTGTAAAAATGTATAAGCGGCCCTCCGTGAATATGCGGATATCCGTACTTATCTGTTGGTACACATTCGGACGGATTTGGTACCCATGTGCCATCGAAGCAAAAACTATGTTCTGCAATAGGCTTGTATTCAGGTTCTTTGCACTTCAAGATCAAAGCCTCAAGCGATGGTATATATTCTCCAGGAATTGCTTTTTTAGAGCCATGCCAGTACTCTCCATTACTTGGATGAATAGGAATTGAACAACCGCCTCTGGAATATTGACTAAGTATTAGTTAAAACTTTCAGAATTCATTATTATTCATTTTAGTATACGGGATATCAACTTAACATTTTCAGCATAGCAAACGCTGTGGTAAACATTTTCATTGTCCATGCTCTTAACTTATTATTATGGGAGCAAAAGTATCACTTTCTGTTGAGGGTTAAAAACTACATCTAATAAGGGATCTTTGAATTGTATTTACGGTGTATTTTACAAAACAAAATCAAAAAGCGTTTTATTACGACTACAGATCTTTTAAACATACCTACTTAATAATAATCAAGTCCCTTTATTAAGCAAAAATAAAACATAAGAAAAAGAAATAAAAGAAAAATTGCTTAAAAGGTGGGATATCGGCCAAAGATCGTTTTTCACTCCTACCATCGTGAATTCATAATCCATAAAGAAAACAAAAATAATGCTTATGCACAACAATAAGACAGAAGTAAGATAAAGAAAATTAAAAACAAAGAAAACAAAAGATTAAATGGTCCTATTGACATTTGTTTCTCTGGAGACTTAGAAGTTCTTTACGTAACATGCTCTTGAAATTATTAACATTTTTGCAATTGGTATAATAATTAAATAATTGTTTAAAATCTTGCATGACAAATATGAAAAGCAATTTTCAAATTTGGAGACTTAGATGCCAAGTTACCGGCATTATTGCTCAATGGTAGAGCGTTGAGTTATAAATCCGGAGGTCGGGTGTTCGAACCTGGGTTGAGGTGAATTTTTCATCTGTGGCAGAGATGGAAATTACCTTAGACCAGTTTCGAGCTTTCTGCTAGGTTTCTGTTAGGTTTTCCTGCAGTTTTCCTAATTCGTAAGGTAAATACCGGAGTAGTATAGAACAACTTCAGACCTTCTGCAGAGGCACCTCTAAAAAGCATTATGCGGGTCACTTTGTAATTGGGCGCAAGCCTGTTGAGGGCCCAGAACAAGAGAGGGATAATAAATAAATAAATTAAATTAAAACCTTTTTCGCACTTCCATTTAGCTGTACGCTATATCTTGTGTCAAAAAATTTAGCAAATTATTTTCAAAATGAGAAATGGCAGGATCAAGAACCTAGGAAAATCCATTAATTCTGTTCTCCTATTTATGTGTTGTAGTACCACCGGGGTGTCAATTTTAAAACTTGCAGTCGGCAATATTTTCCAAACTAAAGAAGATATTGAAAATCACGCAAAACCATTTCGAGGGTATCGAGGGGTAACCAGAATGACGTTATTCGTGACAACCCCCCAACTCTCCTTAACTCCCCAACCCCCCTCTTCAAAAATCCTAAATGGCAACCCCATACTTGTGACACATCGTTGGAAAGCTACTGAAAAATGGTTTCCAGTGGTACTAATAAAGTCAATATTGATTAGACAATTTAACAAAAATTTAATAATAAACAAAAAAACTAAATGTTGACATTGAGGGATTTATGGCAAATTGGCCAAGAACTTCAACCTGATCTGCTTCACTAAGCAATCTTGGTTGCTTTCTTTTTTTATTGATAACAGATCACGTTTCTTCGAATTTAGCAATCAAATATTGACTGCAAGTTTTAAAATTGACACCCCGTATAATATAAGCGCAGAATGCCCGTTTGATCTTCGGAATCTATACTTATCGTATTAATAAAATTATAGTCAAACGTGATAATCATAGGTATAAGTCTGTTAGTTTATTAGCTAGGTATCGCTTATTAAACGTGATTTTTTATTCTAAACAGAAAATGTTTGCTCCACTCATAAAACTGATAGACGAGCGGATACAACCAAATCTATATTCTATTGGAAATTATAATAAATACTTAACGGTTCTGTTGGTTTTGGTGTTAGCTTCTCCGGAATTGGCGATGGCGTTGTTTCTGGGGTCGGAGGTGGAATCGGAGGCCTTGTTGTGGGACAATTTCTTTCGTCAGATCCATCTACACAATCGCTGACCCCATTGCATTTTGCATCTTTGTTTACACAGGCTCCATAGTCGCAACGGAAAGTTATATACTCATTGCAAGGTAAGCCTGCACATACTTTTGTCGTTTCATCAGAAGCATCTGGACAGTCAGCTTTCCCATCACACAATGCATCTTCACTTACACAGTCACCTGAGTCACACTGAAATTCGCCGATCCTAAAAGTTGGAAGAAGCAAGATTAAGTCTTTTTAACATGATAACAAACTCCATTTACCTACAACCTGGTACTGGAATACCCTTGCATAAAGGGGACGTTTCGTCAGAATTGTCCATACAGTCCTTTTTACCATTACAGACATCATTTTGATTTATACAAGCGCCATAAGCACATTGAAAGAAATTGGGTCCACAGCTGTCACAAATTAATTATTTTTAGTTCAGTATGTATGCAGAGAGAAAATGCATACGCCCACTTCGCCTATGTATATACTCTTATATGGACAACATCACAATGGAGAGTTTGGACCACTTCAATAACATCTATTAACAAATGGCATTCAAAATGTTATTTAGTGTTTGACATTTCTAATGCAATTATTATATATGTATATACCGTACTTTCATTTCAAAATGAACCACTGATTTTAATTTGTGTTGATAAAAAATCAAAAAAAGCCCGTCCATTTAGATAGCAACGGGGAAGTTTAATAGAATATTACATTATAGTCGCACTCCCAAAAAACTCCACTTTAAAATTATAATATGCACCCTCATCAAGTGAATATTTTTTGACCGGGCCCCTATAATTGAAACTTAACTAGAAACTAGACATGTTCAATCTTGACTACCTAGATTTGAAACGAGAACATTTGAATAATTTTCATACAGACACAGTAATTTTCATAATTTATTATGAATTGTTAGAATTCAAATAACCAAATTACAATTTGACTCTGCGGATTTTCTTATTAGCAAAAGTGAATATCACTCGCTCAAAATTAATTTCTCTAGCAAGTTGAGCTTCAAGAGCTAATGTACCGAGATTGATCTAACGATCTTGCTTGACCCATAGTCTATCTCAAACGGTTTTTTACCTAGCGAGCCTTCTGCCACTGTGCCGTAATTAGGAAATTTTGCTCAATGGTATGGTTTTTTAAATCTTCTGCTGTGCATTTTTTTTATACTCTACTCTCTCATATTCAGATTTCTGTTAAAAAGTACAATTAAAAAAGTCTAAGTGGAAATTATAAAAGCACTAAACCTTCCCCATACTTCATTTAATTGTTTCAGATTTTAAATTCAGACATTATGTGACAGCACAGCGACTATAGTTTCGACCCTGAGGTCATTATCAAGCTTCAGTTTGAAGGAACATATAAAAGTAGTTGAAAATTACATATTAATTGGTAACATTTGGTTGATAATATGGGGAAAAATTACTTATTCGAACATGGAAACAATTACAATTACAATATTAACAAATTTAGGGCTTTTTTGCCCTCACATATTATAAACAATTGTTAAATTAAAAATCAGGTTTCAAAATCTCTTTTGGCCGGGCCCCCAGAATATGACCGAGCCCCGGGGCAAATGCCCTGGCTGACCCCCCTTATCGGCGGCCCTGGTTGTGAACATGGGTGCAATAAGGTACGCAGTGGGTAAATGTATAAAATAGGTATCAAATTCATAACTTTGAGTAACATTTGTTAATAGGTGCTGTTTTAAAACCCGAGCTAAAATCTCTAATGCTTTTTCGAATGGTCCATTTAAAAAAATAAATACTTAGGCAATTGTACTATTCTCTTAGAAGAGTCTCTAAACATTAGTAAGATACAACTTACGGAAACCCTGCGCAATTGCTTTCATCATCTTGATCTTGGCAGTCTGGTTTTCCATCACATTCTTTGTCCTCCGATATGCATCTTCCAGATCTGCATTGCATTTCATCTAATCTAGAAATTTTAACTGTTTATAAGTGTAACTACATATACAGGGTGCTTCATACGTTCCGGAACGATAGGATATATTCGGTTGTGAACAAATAGATTTTTTCTAATTAAGTAGAGTGAAAATTTAGTGTAACCATAATTTGGTTATACCTATTATGCTTTCTTTAGAGTAACAAGCAAAGAATTCACTGGCCATAATGACAATATCTTTCCACTTCCGGAAATAACCCCAAAACGTCACTCTGTTTGTTTTTTAATTTTTGAATACACAATCAAAACCACGTTCAATAATACTAGCAAGAATAACTCTTAATGTTATATTATAAGGAGTTAATATAGTAGATTATATCACGAGTCAATAATGATAGCTATTATTCTCGAGGAATAAATTCCGAAATTTTCAACTTAGTCTAGGCGATAGAGATTGTAAAATTGGCAAACTGGACATTTTGAGGTGGATAAGAAAAACACGAAAATTGATGATTTTCGCCTCCTTTTATGAATTTCTTAGGCTAAGAGGTACATCTAGGCTAACTTCTGAGTATCTACCTTGTAAGAAATTTCACGAGGAACATTTTCAGCTAAAAATATTTCATGTAGCCCTAAAGGTCGTGATATAGTTGCAAAAAAACCCAAAAAGCCACGAAAATTGATGATTTTCGCCTCTTTTATGAATTTCCTAGGCTAAGAGGTAGACCTTGGCTAACTTCTGAGTATCTACCTTATGTAACATTTTAGGAGAAATATTTTCAGCTAAAAATATTTCATCTAGACCTCATAGATCGCGAGATATCAGCTAAAAAGAGCGAAAACACGGTTTTTGGGGGGGTGGTGGGGTGGCTGGAGCCTTTAGCACAGGGTCTGGAGGGTGGGATTTTTAATATGTTGTTTCTGACATCTAACTGAACATATTCCACCAATTTTTTTCTTTTCCACCCCAAAATGTTGAGTTAGATGTCTTTATCGCCTAGACTAGGTACATGCGAAATTAGATCACTCACTAGTAGGCGGGGGACACTTTGCAACCCGAAGGCCCAATCTTCAAATGAGTATAACTTTTGTTTGAAAAGTATGGGGCTCTTATGGACTAAATGCCTCTCTTACTAATTCGCATAATTCTTCCATACTGCTATCCTTGTTCCTCACAGCAATGATGCCAAACTGACATGATTGAATTGAAGTATTAAATAATATTAATAAGTTGGGCAAGCATGTAATACCGGTTTACACATAAAAAGGCGCAGCTTTTTGTCCCATGCGTATGCGTAATAATTTTAATTTGAATTTTGTGTGGCTAAATGATATGCATGAAATTTACAGTATTTTGTTAATATTAGGTTTGATATTTACATTATATTTATATTTGATTGATTGGGATGTCTGGTGCGTGTCGTGAATCTGAAAACTGGCGACATCCAAGACTCACTCAAAACAAAGGAAGAATGTTCTACTATAGTTTTTGAAAAACAATACAAAGGTTGAAACACTGCTTTTCCTGTTCGCTTGTTTCGTGTTTGGTCAAGATGGTCAAGATTGGTCAGAAGAACATTTTTCTTTAAAATTTTTTATACCTCTCGGCTTTTCATAAAAAAAGTCAATTTAGGGTTTTCGTCGATATTTAGAAGATCATGGACTATCCAAACGAAACTATAGCATTTTACCATCCAACCCGATCCAACCGCTCTAAAGGATTACCATATTGTAATGCTGTGCACGATAAATAAGTCACTATATTTCGTGATGAATCTTCTAGAACCTCTTCTAGGCGCCATAAAATAGATAACGGATAGTCACTGATAATAACGGATGAAAACGGACGTGACTCATTTTTCTATGAAATATGACACGTCAGATGTTTGAGAATTTTCTAGAAGCTTTCTGTTTGCTATATAAGCAAACTGAATTGTGATTCGTTTAGGTATTAGCATCGATGTTGAAGCAATAAATAATGAAATCCGCACTTGTGTTATAAATGTGGCTGCAAGTTAAGTAAATCAATCTATATAAGGCCCAGTTTATATTTAGTTTAGTTAATAGTGTAATAGTGCAAAACAAAAGACCGATAATAGATATCCATTACGTCTCTAAAGCTAAACGAATACATAAGCTATTAAGACCTCAATCACTGAACTGGGTTGAAGGGGATGATGCCATTACTTTTGACCTTGAATAAGAAGAATATTTAACAGTGGAAGATTATATGAAGTTCAAAGGAAGAGTGTTCTATATTTTGAAGAAATCGGAAAGTAATTTCGAATATATCTGTCTTTTGCTACTGACACTACCAAATATGATTGTACTCTGAAAATACGTACCTGCATTTTGAAGATTGACGAGTATACCTTGCGAGAGTATGTGATATAGCTTCGTGGTAACTGCTCGAGTTTTTGTGCACAAGTCCTCCATCTGTAACTACTCTGGATTAGTCTTAGGTAACAGTATGTACTTAATGTTGCAAGCCAAACAAATGCATAAGAATCCAAACATTTATCTATATTACAAAGTAATTTGAATAGTACGTAATTCAGAACCAGATGTGCATAGAAATCTTAGAAACTTGTGCCCGAGAAAAAATAGGTTTTCTATCACGCTTTTTTATGCACCCTGCATACCTATACATTTTGTGTCAAAATATGTGCAATCCAAAAACATAATTGACGAGTCCATTTCATTTTTATTGAATTTAGTCTACCTATTGTCTTTAGCCGTATGTGCTTCGGAGAAGAAGATGGTTTTCGACACACTGAAAGATAATATGTGTAAGCAAGTAAGCTCCTTTTCTAAACACTTGCAACCGACTGTTTTAGTATAATATATGATGTTGCTAAAACAATCCAGTATGACTTTTCTCAGAAGTACTTGGTAGCGAAGTGGCTATGTATGTGCTGGACACACGCACAAAAGGGAATACAAATCTCAGGTGGAGAAAGGCAAATTCAACGTTCAAGCTACGGATAATGTGGAAATTAGGAAATCGCAACTCATATCCCAAAACCAAAGAGTCGTTACCACTCCTGGGACAGGTAACTTGTACCTCTTGTGGAAAATGTAAGTCTACTGTTGAGATGCGAGATCAATCACAATCTTAGCATAACTATGTTTGGTTACGGTATTCCGATCCCTGGGAGGGTCTCTTCACGGGGCGAAACTAGAACTGTTTCCATTAGGTAACTCGTTTTCTCGTAGTAGCAGAAAAAATCAGTTGGTCCAAAGAAGACAGTACATTTTCACAATCTCGTGCGATAACGATAACGAAAGATTGGACGAATTTGTATCAAGCGATGAGCGTCTCTTGTTCTTACATTATATATAAAGTGCCAGGTAAGAAAACAACTGAACATGATGAGTGCAGAGTGTAAAAAGAACAGATATAATTCTCCTGAATAGGTACTTCAAAATGTCGGATCTCGGTTACAGTGCTAGATACAGTCGTTGAACAAATTTAGTATATTATATACCGCGGGACTGAAGTAGTACTTTTAATCCCGAAGGTAAAGTTTATGGCCCGACCGAAGGGAGGGCCATAATTTACCTGAGGGATTAAGACCACTACTTCAGTCGCAAGGTATATACGATATTTTTCGTACTTCCGAAACTGAAACACTTAATATGTATGGAATTAGAGAACGTGTTCTTTTAAAAAATCGCTGCTTAACAAGTTACCATAGGAACGTTGCGTTGGTACGACAAACCCTATGCTATGGTAACAAAAATAATTTGGAAACTGTCATTGCTAGTGTCATAATTTTGGTAGTGGGTGACAAAGGTGTATTTGATATTGATAAAAGAGCAGCCAAAGTAGGTAAAGAATTGATACCACCGAAATCCAAAAAACTATATGAGCAGCAGTACGATGCGTTTAAGAAGTAGTGCCGCATACAAATTGTGGAACAACCTACTGAAATTGCCTTGATAGTAATTTCATCCTTCCGGGATTTTCGTCCAAATTTAATCCCGGCGGGACAAAAAGTGACACTTCAGTACTTGTCATAATGGAGTGAAGTTGTCACTTTAGTCTCGGAAGTACGAAAAGGTTATTATTTTATTCAATGATGCAGTATAAGTTAATGGGGGGCAAAATTGGCCCTGTTTGTGACTAAAAAAAAAGCATTTGAAAGACTGAAAATGTTAAATTTAGTTTTCATTTTCGGTCGGAAATGGACGGTTCCCGTTGGCACCTACTACGGGCACTTTTTTTCGGAGAATCTGCGTCTGTTGTCAGAATTTCTTTTGGGTGCCATATTGATTTTTATGGAATGAGGTATAAAAAGAAATTAATTTCAATTCATCGCAATCATAGCGCATGTTGATTCAGCACGATCTAATTAGCCATGGATGTTTTATTGAGAAATGAATGGAAAGTATTTGATTTTGAAATTTTTCTTGTAGGTAATAAATTTATGTAAAAGTATAGAATGTGACATTTTTCTTTTTTTTTGTCTTCTATCTCATTCCGCAAACATTATTTAAGAAAGAAAAAAGTAGCCTTTGTAGTTTCTACATCTAGTGTGTTGTAGAAATTATGATAACAGATTCAGATTCTCCAAAAAAAATTCCTATAGAAGATGGTAACGGGAACGTTCCATTTGAAAACGTTTAAGCTAGGGAAAATAAAAACGAAATTTGACATTTTTCGGTCATGTCTCAGCTATTTTCAAAGATGTTTCAAACATTTCAAATATGTTAGTCACAAAAAGAGGCCGAATCATAGTATCGTTCTGTGAGAATGAATCACGTGAATAAAAGGAATACGAAAGGGTTTCTCTCCCACTGTTTATGACATGTTCCACGAAATAGAGTACTCCAACAAGAGATAACCGACGTGGAAAAAATGTAGCATTTGAAGACAAATCTAAGAGGTGAGGTCAGCAAACTACTACAGCATCTGTCGGTATGTGAAGCCCGCTACACGGACGCGTGAAATTTAACGAACCGCTACCAGAATAAGCGTCTACTCCAAATAACTAAGCAACATCTTCAACATACCAGAAATGATTCCAATCTCTCCAGAGGGACTTAAAACGATCCATGACAATTGACACTATTGCCGATAGCCTCCGGGCAATTAAAAACATGGGTGTGCAAACCGAGTCGTAGAGACTCATGGTGGTGCACATGGTATGCGAAAAGGTGGATGAAGCAACACTGACCGCCTTCTAAGACACCCTGCAAGCAGGGGTACCGCCAAACTTAATTAATAGGATGTCAAATTTGCAAGGAAGATCACCTTCTGCTAGCTTGCAAGACGTTTGGTGAACTGTCCACAAGCACGACAAAAAGACAAGGTCCCTAGCAGAAGTTGCAGAGGGCAATGTTAGGTAAGTATAAATAATGTGAGTACAAGTATTCATCAATAATTAATTTTGTATAAATAAATCACATACTTTACTATACCTTCATGATTCGACTTTTATGATTCAATACAAACTTCTTTCAAAGAGAATTGGGACGATTCACCTTATCAAATGTATCATATAAAAGTAGAGATAGGTATATTGACTCGCAAAAAGAAAGGCAAAAGATTTTAATGGGAGGCCATCCGGTTCTAGTTCCGTTCTTATGTTTTTTTACGAAAACGATTAACCTATGAAATTTGCAGATGTATCCAGATGACGTTGTTAACATTTGGAAGCAACTGTATCCCTGTTTGTTATCCAGTTTGCATCCACTTGCTTATATCTACCCTGATCTCTCTGTTATCCCCTCAAGTGCAACGTTATCTTTGACCCTTAAAATTTCCAACGTTATCACGATGATGCCTGCGGTCTTTCGGATTATAATGGAAAGTTGGCCCCATCATTTAGAAATATCGAATGGTTCGTGTTATAGAATAGGCACAGACAGTAACATGTAAGCTATTATGCACCTTTGAAAGAACGTTTTTATATACGATGTTTCTCAATGATGATGTTACCACAAGCGTCTAGTGGTATTTTTTAAAAGGTAAAAGGTCAAAAGCTAAAGACTTTGTGTTCCTAGAATAAAAATATTATTGACTATCGCATTAACCTCTGATCCACAAAAATCATTTACCACATTATGTAATGGGTTCTATGTATTAAGTACTTACTTATAGTTACAACGCAAATAAGGATCAAGTACACTTCAATATTTTCATTCATATTGTTTTAATTTTTAGTCAGCGTAACGATCCTTGCTTTTGCTGCCAATTAGACACAACTTTTGAACACATACAACTGCTGTATTATTTTATTGTCACGCACTCATCAACATATTCACATTTGCACCAGACGAGTATGACTAAAAATGTAAGTACCTATCGTATATTAACTAAGACAACTGTTTTTAAAAAATAATCATGTACCAAAAAAATAAACGTATTTCCCTGCTCTTTATTATCATCAATTCAGTTTCATTATAGTTGTTTACAATTTGTTGCTATAGAATGGGTAAATCAAAAATTCAAATATCGGAAAGAAGATAAGCATCCATTTATGAAAAAAAAGTGTAATATCAAAGTTTCGGACTTCGATAGGAAAAATTCAAAAATGTCAAAATGAAATTTAATAAGGCTGTTATTGATATATGAATAACAACTTCCTTTTATTAAACAGGTTTTCCAGAAGCGTAGCTAGGGTGGGGCCAAGTATTAAATTTAAAAATCAAAATAAACCACAATAAACGACGAGTAAGGGGTACATTGTACAATCAACAAGCAAGCGTCTCACAGCTTTTTTAAATAAATAGTACGATATGATCGTTTTAATGTTTGAGGGTAAAACATTGAATAAAGTAGAGTTATAGACCTTTATACAGAATAGGTACATTTCTAGTATAAAGCACTACTATGATTTGGAACCTCGTAGAAGATACTCATGATTTGTGACTTCCCTATTTGTGAAATAATCTCGGAAATAAAATAACATCGATTGCAGTACACAAATCGTATGGACATACATAAATACCAAACAAGGTTAGCATTCCTTGCTCTTTGAAAATTGGTTTGCAACTGTCTCGGTACATTACATTGGATATAATTCCAATACTCTTTTCTGTAATAAAAATATTCTAGACAACCGATTGGTTCCACTGCCTTCCTGAAATTTTATTCCATATTTAAGAGTGTAGTAGGTACACAGTTTTTAATATGTCTGTGCTACAATGTAATGAACCCACTTTGAGTGCAAAACATAATTTAGACAGCTTAGAGCAAAGGAAGTCGATTTGCGTGGACCAATTCAAAAATTGATCAAAGTACAACAAATTAAACTATTTATATTGTACTCGTATAATGATCAAGGACTAATTATCTAAACAAGATGTAATCAATATTTGAATGAAGATGCACAAATACCTACCTGTTCACTTTCACTGCATCCTTCTAAATATAATGACTCTTCTTTTGCAAATTACCTCTGCTTCTAATATACCTACGTATTTGGTGGACAAGATTAGCAATGTTTTCCAATATTTTCCAGTACATTTAATTTTTAATTATATCTTAAGTTCATGTTATTTGTTGTAAACAATTTTACCGATCAAATGATTTTAGTCTTTTCAAAAAATAATTGTATAATTTAGGGTAGCGTATTCCGGAAGGAATTTGTTTCAGAACAGACAAAACTGTTACTTGTGCAATTTGTACGTAACAAACCAACACATGTCTATATTTGCCATTGCAACCTATCTTCCTGTGCAGAAAATAAAAACATATTCGGCACAAAAAATGCATGAGATATCACACGGGAATCGAGCCATCGAGTAAGCATTATTGAAATAAAAACCTACTACTTTTGTTCTGTATAAGTATCGATTTTGGCATCTTATGTGCGGAATCATAATTTCCCTTTTTTTTCTAAATTACTATTATTTTTTGACAAGCAGTTGATATCAGTTCAGGTGGAAAAAATAAGCAATATAAAACTACGGTTGACTTTTAACATAGAAATTCTGCTTTGAAATATAAAATTAATTCAGCGATGAGATGGATGTATAACTTATAAGATACACTACAATTAACAGATCCAGATTATATGGAAGAACTTCATAGAGCGAAAAGTGCAGGTGCAGATGAAGCGTTTTCCGTTACAAAACAACATCTGAAATGTTAGCAAAATTTCTTTGAAGGATTTGCTCGCTCATGAGAAGATACAAATCCAAGCCTACAGAGTTTATATCTAGTCACATACTGGAATAGGGGAGAGCAATAGCAAGAACTATTTAGTTACTTGGCGGGATCATTAAGCTACGTCGTCAAATGGAACAGATGCGTCAAGCCTTCGGACCACTCCTTGACACATACAAATAGCAATATATATGAACAAATGGCGAACGTTTTACAAATGTGTGCAGCTGTATAAAAATCCACTGTGAAGTAAACAGTAGTTGCTTGACAAATTAAAAAATTCATTTTGCTATAAACAATTTTGTTACAGCGTGTTACAGCGCATCAAATGGTACAGATACTGAAACACAAAGAGTGGGGTATTAAATATATTAATTTATACTAATCTACAGTATACATGAAATATGAGTAAATACATATGAAGAAAATAATTTAATACAATGATTGTATATATTATAATTTTTAGCATACAAATATCACAGAATAGTAAGTTTTACAGATTTTTTACAATAAAATAATACTTCAGGTCACAAATTTCATCTTTTGGCACAGAATTAAAATAATAGAAATATTGTAGATCACAGTAGAAGTTCAGAGTGCAACCTATGTACAGAAATGCAAAGACAATAGATACACATGTAAATGTTCCCAAGAATAATGTTCAATTCAGGCCATATACTTAATTTTTACTTATATGTAGATATATAGACTTATAGCTCTTAAAACTTAGTAAATGATGAACACCTTTTCAAATTAGGTTTCCCTTAACTTTTAGAGGTATGCTTATACCTTATTAACACTGCGTGGTTAGTTATATAATATAAATAATTTGATTGGTACAGTACTACAGTTTCATAGACAGTGCTATTATTTTAAGTTAAATATGGATATAAACATTTAGCTATATTATTTACACATATTGATTTTGGTATAGGTGGTTCTGATGAAAAATCAATCGAGTTCAATTGCATTGCGGTACAAATACTTCCATTTGTTAATGCAATAACAATCTGAAACTTAGATTTCTTCTTTGTTTAATTACTTATTAATTACAATTACTTCAGGGAATTGAAGTGATCATCCTTCAAGATTAGCATGTATAACGTGTAAAAATATTTTTGGATATAATAAAATTTAATTAGAATCACACTGACAATTTATTTTTAATAAAACTCCCATAAAATGCAACATGTAAGCATATGTAAATTACTGCTTTTATTTACTTTTATACGATTTAAAAAAATAAATCTAAATTTTGCTTTTTTAGGCTTCATTTTCTAAAAATACCTTTCTTAGGCAATCGTATGCCAATTAGGTAAGATCTGTGCTAATCGAACAGTAGATCGTTGACTAATGTTATAAAAAATTGTCTCACCTCCGGCTAAAATAGCACCCCACACTCCAAATGTACCGTAGTCAATTATAGAATGATTACAAGAACTCAAAATGGCTAAATCTAAAGATGGAGAATTAATAAATTTTTTACCTGTGATGTAAATGTTTTGTTTTTGTCTAAACGTTTGAATGCACCATGCGGGATCATCACTCACAATGATAAAGATGACGTTAAAATACTTTGCTTCAAAATATCGCATAGCAGAGTAGTAAAAGTTGGGACTTGCAGGAGGTATCGAATACTTTCTCCACAAATAAGAAACATAATCTGTTCGCCGAACGTGCACTCCTACGAAAGTGCACCGGGTGTGATTCTTAGAAACTAATCGCAACATATTTTGACTTTTATGGATAAATTTTTTTTTCAAACTAAATTCTTGTATGATATCTTGGACCCATGTTAACACTACTTCTGGTTGAACTGAATAACGTGGTAATACTATACTCTGATACGTATAATTCCATGCATCCAGAGACTTCACGAAGGTGCCCATGTCAATCGGACAATGAGCGATTTCTTCAAACGTTGGCACTGAAAGTGAATCAAATACTTGGTCAAGTTTAATACGAATACATCGTGGAATATAGGGCTCCAACCCTGTACGCCGAGCAACGGCCCAAACAGATGCATATTCCCACATTTGATTACCAAGGCGACCTCCTTGCATTGTAGTAACCACTCCATACTTGGGGCACTGCTGTTTAGTCCAACTTTTTTTCGGTTTTAGAGAACTACTGGAACACAACGATTTTTCAAAGTCTATAAAAAATTTTAAAGAACTAGAACTTGGAGTTACCGTATACAAGGGAAATAAAAACATATGCACAAACAATATTACACAAAACGCTAAAACTGTAGCTGTAAATAATATGTTCTTATTTGCATTTATCATACCGAATTACTGTACAAAGAAAAATTTTCTACTACTACATTCCAAAAGAACACATTATCTAGCCATCTTCACTACATTATTGCGATTATTGATTTTGTAAAGCCGCGCCCCCAACTTGTTAGCTTTTATTACAGGAAACAAGTTGCTCGAATCATGACTCAAATATTTATTTTACGATTAGGTGCTACTTTTCAATAGTAAATGAGATGCAATATGAATGTAAAACGCGGCGAAGAGGAGGAAGTGAGTTACTTATAAATGTTTAAAGGTAGCGCCGCAATTTGCGCTTCGAAAAATCCCGCGCCAGCCAGTGCATTACCAACTTTAATTCGAATTATAATAGGTACCACATCAAGTCCAATGGATCCATAATATCATTTTTCCTAAAAGATAGTCAAATATTGCTGAGAGTTTTTACTTTTCTTGCATATGACTTCATGAAGGTATCCCCCCAAATTCAAAATGTACACATTACACTCTTAATTGTTTTGCAGATTTAAGGATATCGACTTCGATAAATCGCCTGTCTACTTCTATAAACGAAAATATAAAAGAAATTAATTTTAGGACTAACTTCATAATGGCGCCCCAACTTTAAAATAAATAAACCAAGGGGGTTTTATTTGTTTGCGCACTTGGTTTTATAATGCGCTATTGTGGCCACTTTTTTCGTCCGTCCGTCCGTCCGGTCGCTGCTAGTCTTTGTCTTATGGTGTCGAGGCTTGCACCAAGGAAGGAATCTTTCTGTGCCGCTTACGAAAAAAGTTATGGTAAAAAATTAATTAGCTTCCTAGCGTTAGCTAGGTGGCTATTGCGATCACCGTTTTTTGGACATCATAAAATTTCATCAAATGTCGACGTTTTAGATCATTTTAAGCAACTTAATAACGAGCCGAATTTTTGAAAAAAAATTTTGGAGCGCCGCAACGGCATCGAACTTTTTTTTCAAATAGCCACCTAAAATTTTTATTAAGTTATTAAAAAGACCTTATTTTTCTGTGTACAACCTACAAAAATTGTGCCAGGTTTTATTACAAAAAAACTGAGAAAAAAATGTCAAAGTTAAAACAAGAAAAATAGTTATTTGTTTCATTAGTACAAAAAATGTCAGTTTTCGGGACGAGGAAGATAGTTGCTGGACGACGCGTTAGCGGAGTCCAGCAACCTTCCGAGTCCCGAAAACGCATTTTTTGTACGAATAAAACATAAAATTTTTTCTCCAACCCCCTTTACTTCAAATTATATTCCAATTTAGATTCAGTTACAGTTTCACTACTATAGTATAAGAACTTCTGCTTTCTTGTCCTCACGTGTCATGCCACTCTAGTTTTTAGGTTAACTTATAACCTATTCGTTTTTACCTCTTACTTCTCACCTCTCGCGACTTTGTAGGGAGCAAATCTTGAGGTAGCATGTTCTGCCGTTTCTATAATCTCTGACGGAGTGCAATCCATGTCGCTATCAGTTTCAGTCATTTTATTGTATACACAATTAATATTGTTATATTTTGTATTGAAATAAAAAACTTACCATACAGTTTTTTAATTAAAATTAATTGCAATTAACTTTTTCAAATTTTGAATTCAAAATGACAGATAATAGTGCAATGGGTCTGAAGTAGATGGCGTTACGCGCGACGGCGGGTTGTCTACGTATTAAAATTACGTTCACGGAATATGTAAATTACGTTACACATGGTTTAAATAAAAATAGCGAGCGTAAATCATTTTCAATACATGTACATACGTATAGGTAACATCATTATTTGCATTGAAACTGCAAAAATATTTGATTTGTATGTATAGAAATATCTTACAACCTGCAATGTAAAACGATCTCAATGTGACATATCTCCGTGATTGTAATTTTTTAATTGGCCAACTTTCAAGGTCAATTTCTTTTTGGTACTAGGACCAAAAGTATCCACTTTTTGTACAGTTGCCATGGTGAAAGCGATTAATCCGCAAAACGTCAATTTTAGGTACCGAACACTGTCACAAAATAGCGTCTTATTCAGGTGGTTGGAGAAAAAAAAAATTTTCGCCAAAACGGTTATTATGATTTCGTTAAAATTTTGAGAATGTACATTAGGCATTATAAATGATGTACTGTCAAAAATTTTTTTTAATATCTAAGTTTTTAGCGCCGTGACGTCATACAACTTTTTTTTCAATGAGCGATGAGCGATCGCAGAAGTTCATTCGTTGCATTCTTTTTGGTTTTAATCCAAAGAACTATGGTAAAATATCAATACCTATGTTAAAATATCTGTATACATGTATATATACTGCAGTTTTTATAATGATTAATTAATATCACAGATTTAAACACTGAAATCTGAGTTAATATGCCGTAAAGAAAAGTAGAACATGACCGATCTATAATAACATCTGCACCAGACCGCCGACAAAGAAGAAGGTTATTGACAACTTAATGTAGTGCCATGTTAATAAGGGATAAAGTTGTAAAATGTCATTCTTATTGTTACGTGCCGATTGAATTGAATAAGGAGCTTTGTGTTTACTGACTTTAGATAATAAATGAATTATTGGTAATAAGTATAGGGCCAGGCCACCCATGGGGAGCGCAGGAAGTTAAACGTAAATAAACACACAATTTCTGGCCAAATTGGCTTATATTTTATATTTGTGTAGTAGAAGGTAGTACAATTTTATTTGAATAATATACCGACCAAACGCCGCGGCACCTGCTGCAGGCGGTGACTTTTCCATTAAAATTTTTCATCACAACTCGATAATTTTAACACGTTTCGCTATTGTATAGCGTTCCATCGTGACTGTCAACTAAATTGTACTACATTCTACTGCTCAAATATCAAATTTGGTGAAAAAAAATGGAAGCGTTCAATGGGGGTTTACAGTATAGTTGAATTCCGCAGTTCTAATTTAATAAGCGTGTACCTGAAACCATAAAACATTTTTTTGGACAGTAAAAGTTTATTTAAAAATAGAGGCTGATTAGCCAAAAAGTAATGAACATGTGCGGTTTTAAAAGGTTTATTCAAAACGATATGATTGTGGCGGGCTCTGTGACGTAATAAGCCCGACCAATCAGCTCCTAGAACCATTCAGATGACATAACGACTTGGCAATATTGCAGGAGAATAGCATTTATAACTTGCGTCATCTGTCACGGGCACTTGTCACTTTCGTGCTAGATGCAGTTAAACATCCCTCTCAAAACGTCAAATGTGACAAACGTCAAACCCTCGCGTAAGGTTGCCAGCTCACTTCTACGTGATTGGTTGTAGGTTTGTGACGTATTTAGTGTGAAGCGTTTCAAATTCGGACTAAAAACACAGCTTTTCAATAATTTATTTTGGGTTTATTTTACTCACAAATAAAAATTCAGGACACACGGGTCTTTTTATTTTTAATGTACTTTGTGGATCAGAAATAAAAAATGAAGGCGGGATGACCCCATTACAGCAAGCAACAAAAGTAAAAAAAAAGCGTGCCAAGACGTTGCGCTTTTCGGTCTGAGGTGAGCTAGGAAGCTTTTCTGTCAAGAATTTGACTAATTTTTTTTCATGTACCATAATTTGACACTTTTGCCGTTTATTAACGGTCCTCAAGATCGTTTATAAGTTTGTATTGCTGTCTGTCTGTTTCCGTATGTCTGTCCGTCCGTCCGTTGTGCACGATAACTGTTGTATTTGCGCAATTTAATTTTGTATTTGTAAATCTATTTAAATGAAATTTTGTATGTAAGCACCTCGAATAAAGGTAAAACTAATGCCAATCAAATAAATTTATTTCGCGCATGCCCAATCCGATCCGACTAAAAACACGCATGGGCCCAGACCCACATTCGTTATTTGTAAACCAATTCTTCTAAAATTCTACGGTAAGATTCTTTTTATAAACTGAAATTGAAGTCGCACGTCAAAAAACATGTGCAACGCTAACTTTCTAATTTATGGCCGGATTTTTACGAAATTTTAACAAACGTTCTTATCTTACAAATGGAAAATGAATGGAAGTGGAAATGCGTTTTATTTTTGTAAATCGTCAACGATTACTTTTCTAACTTGTTTCACTTACATTCCTTTGTGAAGGAAGATGTAAAAAATAAATTTGATGTTTGGTGGAGGCAATATCTCACGCGTTACATTAAGGGTGCATTATATTCTAAAGATTCCTTAGGCAATGTAAAGCGCATCGATCACCACCAAATGGACATTCTTTTTAGCTACGGGACTGTCGGAGAAACGCTTTGTTCACGACTCCATATTTTACATGGCAAGAGATTGATTTTACTGCCATAAGTATGTTAATAAACTCTATGCAATTGTGGGTTTTATACATTTTTTGAAGAACATTCATTAACCCACACAAAATTTGACCAGTCGCATCGACAAATCTTTCTTGACACATTATAGAATTCATTTAACTGCCTGTAGTAATAATAAACTTATAACATATTCCAGCGTTGGCGATCTCAATCAATAAATTTTGTTTTTGCGATTTATAGAAAGGGTCATATAGGTAATTTTAGCTAAAATCTGCAGACGCTGCATCCTTCAAGCATTTTTCAAAGATGAAAATTACCTACTTTTGGCCTTCCATACATTCGTCCCAATTCCATATTTCGTAAAACGCGTAAGTACATTGCGGAACTTAAACACTCATGAGTCATGTCTGATTTGTATGAACCCGTTTTTCTTCTCAATAACTATACAATGCCGTTCTCACAGGCTATACTGCAGATGTTGATGGGTCCCATAAGTTAGTAACAAACGGCGAGAATGCTACATTGAGCGAGACCACTGTACAGTGTACAGCATCGTATGATCGCAATCGCTCGCACACAAGATGTATTGGCGGAAATTGAATTAGTATATTGCATTATGTTAAGTGTAGAAAGAGTATTTTGCACTTATGTGTGTGTATGTGGTTCGTTTTTTGTGAACAGGATAACTAAAAAATCCCTGAACCGATTTGGTCGAAAATTGGGGGTGCATATAGAGTGGTATGGGGAATCGAAAACGTCCTATATTGGTTTTGATCCGTAACCGTCTTCATGGTTGTTGAGGATGTCTAAAGTTTAAAAGAGCAATAATGGCTTGAACAATTTTTTTTTAATTTTTTTCGCGTACACTGGCCAAAATGGCTTAAAAACTCTATTTCATTACAATTTTTTTTGTGAGTTCCTTTATTTTTGAGAAGTTTTGAATTGAAAAGTTACCTAAACATTTATTTTATTTTTTTTAATTTGCATTTTTCTCTAAAAGTAAGCATCAAAGTGAAAAATGTTAGTTAGGTACACAAAAAAAAGATATGTCTTGATTGATGAGATCTACAAAAAAGGCTTCTACACTTTTTGCATCAGGTTTAAAATAAATATGCTAGAGGGCATTTTTTGAATGTTATACTATTACCAAAGATAATTGCAATGACTCTATTAAAAGTAGTCGGAAAGTCAAGTCAGGAGTTTATCTGACAACTAGTTAATATTGAAATTAAATACTCTGCAGGATGTTTTGAAGAAGGCTTACGATGTTGCATCAATAATACAAAATAATATATAAGGGAACATGGGGTGGAACGGGGTACTTAAGCTTCAAGTCAAAAAAGTGACATGTAGATCACCATATTTTTTTTTAATGTTATGAAAAATTTGTTCACTAATATCTTATTTATAAGACATGTACGACAAGCAAAAATCTTAGATTTTGTTAAAATTTTATGATTATTGTGAAACAGTACATTTACACATATTTTTTGTAATTAAATGGTTAGTTTAGTATGGTGGAATTATATCTTATATACAGAAATACAGAGTGGTGACTTGCGTAACGCATCATAGGGATTTCAATGTAAAATTCTTAACATGCGATTATTGGCTCCCCAAATTATTTTAGAGCAAAAATGTATTAAGGTTTTTTGTACAAAAAATTTTTTTACGTCAATCAACCGTATTAGTTTTCCATGTTTTTCACAATAAAAACGGAAAATTTGAAAAATAAAACCCCCATCTTTTTCAATAATCTGTGATGCCATGGAATTTTATAATACAAAACTACGCCAATATCCGTAATGCCATGGAATGTCTGCTATAAAACAAATCAAATTCTATCAAAAAGTATTATTTAGAACAGCGAATTCAACATAAAGAAAGACCAAATTACTAAAACCGGTTTCCTAATATAACAATTTACAATAAATGTTCGAATAAGTCACCACTAACTGCAAGACAGTAACCAAGTCGATCATAATATCCATTTCGAACTGCTGCTAATTGATAACTGGATATCTTTTTGTTTTAGAAAATTCCATGGCATCGCATATTATTGAAGTACTATAATAAAATGGTACAAAACAAGAGTTAGGAATATTTAGTTGTATCAATAAGTAATACCATAATATAACACAAGTAATACTTAATCCGTCACTCAACGGCTGTATGTTCCATCCTATTTAATTACTCAATGGTTCCATATTATTACTTATCAAAACCTGGAAAAGACGAATTCGCACTTATCGACAATTATAGACGCAATAAGCAAAACTTACCTCGATGAGCTTAAGATTGGCTTACTGAACGTTTTGGCATGAATTTGAAATTGACGACTTTAAATGAATATTTTTTACCTAAAACGATATCAAAATTACAATACAAAAATTCTACATACATAACGTGTACCTACTTGATGTATTTAAGCAATAAATTGAAAAATATACACGCAGTCTTCCTATGAATGCCGCGTATTTGGAATCTATACCTACCTTCATACAACACCCATGACGTCAAAGACCGTATTGGCGTCGGGTATGTTTTCAAATCTAGAAAAATCGAAAATGAATTCATTTACTTATACATTCATGACGTCACTGGCCTAGTTAACATCAGGATTTAGAATTTCGCGCGTATAGGTATTGTCACACATACATTATTAATTTAAAAAAAAACAGAAAATAAAGTGAATAGGAGGGCGAGAAGTATATATTATAACTGAGCATTGTTCTCTTATCGAAAATCTAGATTTTGAATAGGGGAAAAAGTACTCTATGCAGTTTAGACTAAAAGCTGATCAAAAGTAGAACTAATTTTATCGAAAACTAACTGTATAGTTTGAAAGTCACATCCCTTACTATTTTTAACTATCAATCACGCCAATTGTTTTATACTATGCGATCAAAAATGAGTTGTTGTCGAGTCACCTTTAGAATTTTTGTTTACATGGCAAATCGTACTTAACTTGAACTTCCAAAGGCGACTCGACAGCAACTCATTTTTGATCGCCCGTTAGTAAGATTTGTAATACACTGTTGTATTGTATACCTACTCGAACCACGGACTGCCAATACAATATAGAATATACAATCATTTGTCCCAAAGCCCAAAGGGGGGGGGGGCGAGGTTAGGTGATCGGCTTATGGTGCAAAGGAGCAATAGGCGCCTCGGAAAGAGCACATTGCCGAAAATGTGCGTTTGCATTTTTTAAACAAAATTTCCAAACTATTCACATATAGGTACAATCTAAGTGCACTAAAAACAATTACCTACGTGAGTTGAGAATATAGTAAGGAGGTGTTTTTGTTTTATTTTAACTCAGTCCCTAGTGGTAGTGGTAATATTACTTATTAAAAGTGTGATAATTATCTTCAGGATTGTTGTGTAAATTACGGAAGGTCAAGTAAAGTAAAAAATACGAGAAAATGTCCTCAGAGAAAAAGAAAACCAACCCGCTGGGAAAATCAGAAACGGGGGACAGAGAGAGACGAAAAAAAGAAAAAAAATTCATTAAGCCACTTATCAGCAAGAGACGAAGAGTGCACTTTCAAATTTGTTTTTTCGATTTTAATAGTCCTCATGGACATTTCATGCCTTAACGAGAATACAAACATGAAATAATTTTTAATTTCTGATCGAATGACACCAATACCAAGTCTGTAAGTGGTGTAGTTCCGGAGCCTTTGTGACTCAGATAGACAGACCGACAGACATATCAAAAGCGCAAAAGTACACTTTTTATTTTTTGAAAGTGAAGGTGCACTAAAAAGAAGCCAAAAAAATGAATTTGCAAAAATAAACACCCATCGCAACGGATTTGACCGCATCTGCGGAAGGAACATCCGCAAACAGTAGAAATGGACACACAAAACCATGGTCCAGCAATGGACATGATAGTCATCAATGTTCTGGTTGAAGTGCAAGACAATGAAGATGACACTCAAAACTTCAATAAGGAGAAGCTGCCCCCCCCCCCCCAACAGAACATGTTCGCCGAACGGCGCCGCATATGCATGGGCCGGCCCTGGATAGTCGCCATCGCGTGTTTGTAGTGACAGATTTTAATTAACTTTATATTGGCAAAATTAACCTAAAATTAACTAAAGTACAGGTATAGAGTACAGGTAAGATTATTATGACCTTTAAATTTTAGAGGTGATCTCTATTAAGATATTTTGAATTATCAAAGATTCATTGTCGTCGTAATTTGCACCACCTAGAATGGCCGCTTCCAATATTTCTTCCATCACACAAGATCAATTAAACATAATTAAATTAAAATTAAATTACCGCTAAAGAAAGTTGGGTTATGTAATTAAATAACGCCCGAAGTTAAGGCATGGGGAATGTCGAATGTGCCGTAATTGTTTGCAATTATATGAAATAGTGACTGTCAGTAATTAAATAAGGTAAAGCAGTAATACTGCTGGTCAGTATTCAGAAGGTGCTATATTCTCCAATAAACAACAATTTTAGGTGGATAAACTGACTTGAACCGAAAATGCGTAAGTATTTAATGTGCGTGACGGTTACGCGTGTCCAATTGGGTGCGGATTAATACCCAACCCCCTATCCCGATCGTAACATGTTCGTAGTTACGTTAGGGGTCATTTGTTAAATTCTGGATACCCAGCTTTATAGTAAGTGTACTACCTGGGAGTCATATGTTTATGGGTAGCACGCATAAGTACCAGTTTGTTATTCATTTCTATATTTTGAAACATGGGGTATGATATATTATGTTTCATCCTATACATATATTTGTTTTTGTTATACTGTCATAAATTGACCAATCTGTTCCTCGCTAACCCCACCCTTTATTTATATGGTTGAAGGTTGATTACTAATCTGCAAGTCAACAAAACAACTTTCACCAATTTTACATAATTCCTCAGCTGTTGTAACAAATAACGTAATTGAAAAGTTACAACACAATAACTAAAATGCAGTATTCTAAATTTAAAAAGAAGTGGATTAAAATATTGGTTCGCCCACACTATCTTAATTAGTTAAAAACATAGTGAAAAAACTGTTTGGCAATGGCGACTCGACGAACTGTACTATCAACTTCTGCAGATCCTATTTCGAATTCTACTGATCCATTGCGTGAATTGTTTGAGGCATGTAAAACTGGTGATATTGCACGTGTTCGGAAATTAATCACTGCCCAAACGGTCAACGCTCGTGATACGGCAGGAAGAAAATCAACACCTCTACATTTTGCGGCAGGTAATTTCGTTTTATTTCAAAAGATCTGTTTATAAATTGGATTTTCGGAAGGATATGGTAGAAGAGATGTCGTCGAATTTCTCTTATCCACTGGTGCTTCGATTCAAGCCAGAGATGATGGTGGCCTCCATCCACTTCATAATGCCTGCTCGTTCGGTCATGCAGATGTCGTGAGACTGCTGTTGGAAGCTGGTGCAAGTCCGAATACTCGAGACAATTGGAATTATACACCGTTACATGAAGCAGCTATCAAGGGAAAAGTTGACGTGTGCATAGGTTAGTAAAATGGATGTAGGGAGAATTATTGTTTTGCAGATTACTGAGGTACCCAGTTGCAATTGTAATTACTACTAGTTAACACAAAGAGACGATGGTAATATTAACATAAATATTAAAATATCTGGTCTGGTAATGTTGATCTTAACTTTGAGAAATTGTTTATGAAGTTAAAATAAAGTAAGTCAAGGCTATAACAGTAAACATTAGACAAATTAAATATATTCTAAAAAAATTACTAATGTTTACCAAAACAATCATGATTCTTAAAACATGTCACACAGAATGTTTAATAAACAAATAAAAATTAATTTGAAAAAATTATTGATTCAAATAACTGGCCAAGGGATATCTTCATTGTTCCAGTTCTATGGCTATGCAAGGATTTGAAGGTTCAGAAAGTGTTATTCTGAATATTCTGGGTGAGAGTTTGGCAGGTAATTCACAAATTTCTGTTGAAACTCTCACTCCCATTCAATATTGCTGACTTTAATTCAGTTATTCAGATTAGGTCCTGAACAGTTCTGTACAAAGCAAGGTACAAACTACTCGTAATCCTGTTATGTGCATTATGCTTATACTTCAAGTTGAGTAAACATTAAATTATGTTCTAGCTTTGTTGCAACATGGAGCTGACCCCAACATCCGTAACACAGAAGGTAAAACACCATTAGATGTAGCAGATACTTCAACCAGATGTGTTCTTACTGGAGAGTTTCGTAAAGACGAATTATTGGAAGCCGCTCGATCCGGATCAGAAGATAGATTACTGGTTCTACTGAACCCGTTGAACGTAAACTGCCATGCCAGCGATGGTCGGAGGTCGACACCGTTGCATTTAGCTGCCGGTTACAACAGAAGTCGTATAGTGCAGTTGTTACTTCAGCATGGTGCCGATGTGCATGCTAAAGATAAGGGGTAAGATTTTTGTAACCTTCTAATTATGTACTGTAAAGATTGGTACTTGTCAGCGAACTGTTGCATGTAACGTAACTGGTACTATGAACCACAAGTACACACAGATATATTTTTACCAATTTCTTACTGTGATCCAGAGTTTTGAGCGAGTTTGCAATGAAAGTTGCAAAACAAATTTATCTATGTAAAAGTTAGGATAGAAGGATGAAGGGTTCTGTACAAGTGTACACCCGTTACTTATTTCAATTGTTTTTTTCAATTTCAATTTATTTCGTGATATCTACATATCAGTGTCATAAGGTAAGTGAAGGTACAATTTCATTCATTGAAAGACCTATTTAAGAGGTGATAGTGGTATACTGCGTTCTTTAGAAGGTGTCCTCTTAGACCACATGCAGGTTTCTGTTTCTAGGAGGCAGGGCAGATATTGTAGAGCTTAATACCTACATTTCTTGCGTGTGTAGCGAACAGTCTAGGTCGAGGTCTGGTGGTCTGAATGGCAACTATGTTGACAAGTAGCCTAAGAGTGTAGCTTCCAAATGTATATAATAAAAATTGTTTCGTACAGTTTCATAATTTTTTATTTCAAAACGTCTGTTACTTTCTGAATAGCGCTCGTATAATAACATTCATATAATTTACGGTGGTAAAAGCGTCCCGTTCCTGATCGTTAATTAACGTAAGCAATTGTGGAAAATCAAATAGAGCTTATTAAGACCTGGTGTGAAAAAAATGATTGACTCATTAAAATCATCATTAATTGTCAAATAAATTTAAGAGCAGAATTGGAAACTGCCTGTAAAAAGTAACTTTTCCAACTGACGAAGAGAATTTATTATAGTGCTCACAAAGAACAGGCGCACACAATCGATCGCGAAAATGCGCCCATATGCATGGTGCAATATACATTGTACCTTGTATCAAATACGAGTAGGTTACTAGGTACATTCTTTTACATTTTATTTTCAAGTATAGGTACACCCGTTAAAATATAAGAAAAAGTAGTAATTTTTGTATTATTTTTGGATTTTCAAAAATGCAATTAAACTGATTTTTTCGAAGAAGTATTCCATAATACCCCTATCCTACGCCTTTATCATGCCCAGCCTCACCGGCTACATAACTTATGAACCGCCACTGATATCAACTTCCTTATTTTAAATGGACGCTATATTGGATTTTTACTCAGTTTGATATAGTTTGTTTTCTCTTTCCAACCAGTTATCATTCAAATAATAAACATGGGTAAAAGTACAATTTTGATTTTTTTTTTCATAGTTCATACACATTTTTTTGTATTGAACAGTTTTCACTCTGATGCTTCCTTTTCTTTATATGCTTACATTGAAAAATTGAAAATTGTTTTCACAATAACTGCCTTTGGGTCAAATTTTCTGGTGAAATCAAATTCATTCAAATAAACAGGGTGTTTTTAAATATGATGTAAATATGGAAAGATACAATTCTTTCGCTTATTTTACGACCAAAAAAAAGTTCACATAAATATATAAATTATACGTTCATTTTGCCTATTAAAAGTTGATGTTTATTTTTTTTTCTTAAGCCCACTTCGGGCAGGCAGGGTCCATTGGACCCAGAGCACACTTTACGTTAAAAATACGCAATTTTCTTAGCACAACGCGGTTTTGTGACTTCTTCTTAGTTAAAATGTTCTTAAGTATGAATTAACAAAAGTGCCAATAAATTATATGATTTTTAAAATATTTGATATTTAAGAAGAAAATTACGTAACCGGGCAAAGCAGATCCAATGGACCCACTGCTATTTTTTTGGACAACTTTTGCGATTCGTGGGGAAATATTCTTGGAATTTATTAGGAGTATTTTCATTCAATTAGAAAACCATTTTGGTCATTACATGGTTCAGGTAAGCAGTTATCGGACCTAACCTCATTGTTTTAAATGGAACATCCTGTATAATTTAATCTAAAAAGGTACCAAAGTTTTTTTTCAAAAAATAACACAAAAAAGTATAAAAAATCAATATTGAATTTGTATCTTTTTTGAACATCATTCCTGGCGTGTTCCATTTTTGAAAAGAAAATTTAATATGCTTCTTTTTTATGTAAATACACAGGGTGTTCCATTACAAAAATTAAGTTAGGCCTGTAACTTTTTTTCCAGACCCCACATACACTTTTGGAAACGGCAGATTATTCAACAATAGTTACGTATAAACTTTTGTATAAAACATTTTTCTATACATGTTTTAACTAAGAAAATATATAGCCATTCTGAAGTTAACAACAATTTTTTAATTTTCTCCCATATTTCTTAAGCGAGCGAATATTTTCAAGCCTCTGGCTTTAAACCATTCTTTCAGGAACAAAAACTCTTTTTAATCCCTTGTTACTTAATATACTATTTTTGATAGCACTAGAGAGGTTCCATATGAAAGCGTCGAAAATGGGACACACTGTTCTTGTACAGTGCAAGTTGATAATTTCTAATTGTTTAGAAATACATACATAGGGTTTGCAGGTAAAGAAATTCAATCCTATACAAATGTGCCCTTCCTTTAAAAATAAAAATAGTTTCACAATAGGTACTGTATGTAAATGGAAATAACACTTAACATCAGGTATAAATTAAAATCTACTGTACAATGTAATCGTGGTACGAGCACTTATTTGAATTATACAGTATTAACCAAGTGATATGCGAATTTTACACTAAAATTGCAATATTCCAGAGGACTGGTTCCGTTACACAATGCCTGCTCGTATGGACACTTTGAAGTAACCGAAATGCTTATCAAACATGGTGCCAACGTTAATGCCAATGACTTGTGGGCATTTACTCCGCTTCATGAAGCGGCTTCGAAATCTCGCATCGAAGTATGCTCCCTTCTTCTCAGTGAAGGTGCGGACCCGACCTTGCTAAATTGTCACTCAAAGTCCGCAATAGACGTTGCACCGACCAGAGAATTACAAGAGAGGATTGCTTGTTAGTAGTAACGTTGGTTGGCCAACAAAATGATCTCCTTTAATTTTTAGACGAATACAAGGGTCACTGCCTTTTGGAAGCATCTAGACAATCTGACATGACCAAAATAAAAAAATATTTAGCGTCCGATATTGTTAACTTTAAGCACCCATATACGGGAGATACCCCTTTGCATGCGGTGGTCAGTTCTGTTTATCCAAAACGAAAGCAAATAATTGAATCTCTGATTAGGAAAGGCGCGCATTTAAATGAAAAAAATAAAGACTTTCTTACTCCACTTCATATAGCAGCTGATACTTCGCATTATGATATTATGGATATATTGCTACGTCACGGCGCCAAGGTCAACGCCTTGGATGGATTGGGGCAGACTGCGTTGCATAGAAGCGCCAGAGATGATAATATACAGGCTTGCAGGATATTGCTTTCCTACAATGTGGATTCTTCTATAATATCTTTGCAAGGTTACACAGCAGCTCAAGTGGCTTCGGAGAATGTTTTGAAAATTTTACAAGATCCTCTAACAAGGAGCGCTGATATTGAATGTCAGTTACTAGAGGCAGCCAAGTCTGGGGATGCGGAACAAGTGCAAAGGATATTAGGATCTTATCCTCACATTGTTAATTGTCGCGATGTGGATGGAAGACATTCAACACCTTTGCATTTTGCGTCTGGATATAACAGGGTTTCTGTGGTAGAATATTTGCTACAGTTAGGCGCAGACGTTCACGCCAAAGACAAAGGGTAATTAAACACCGATCGCCAACTGCCCTTAATAAAAACTTATTTTCATAGGGGTTTAGTTCCATTGCATAATGCATGTTCATATGGACATTATGAAGTTACCGAGCTCCTAGTCAAGCACGGTGCCAGCGTTAATGTGGCGGACTTGTGGAAGTTTACACCTCTGCACGAAGCCGCCGCTAAAGGCAAATACGAAATTGTGAAATTGCTATTGAAGGTAATGGTAATAGAGGTTTTTACAATTTTATTCACCTTTCCATAGCACGGAGCGGATCCTAGCAAGAAAAATCGAGATGGCGCAACACCTTTAGACCTAGTTAGGGATGGAGATCAGGACGTAGCCGATATGCTTAGAGGTAATGCAGCACTTCTGGATGCTGCTAAAAAGGGCAATCTGTTACGTGTACAAAGGCTGGTTACATCTGAAAATATCAATTGCAGAGATGCTCAAGGTCGTAACTCAACTCCACTGCATTTAGCAGGTATTTTAACGTCTGGTTTTTTTTAGTTTAAGAAACTTATTCAATTATTTTGTCGAGACTCCTATTTTACCACTGTTGCAATCATACTAAAAATCACTGAAGATCAAGTTGCAGGTTCTCATAACTCATAAAGCAATGAGGTGCGTAAGGAAACCAGTGTATGTGAATGTCAGAAAAATCTTATCTTGCTCTCTTTCGGGTTATGTTATTAGGGCAAAAGCGTTGTCATCAATTTCGTTGGGAAAGCGGTAAAACTTGTCTCATTGGACAGCAGGAGAGATCCTAAACACCTTCCATATTTCTTATGATTTCGGTGAAAATATACTGTACAGCATGTTACAATTTCGATGTCCGTGGGAAACTACTATAAACTAGACGATTTGAAGCACACACGAGGTGACAGATAGCAACATAACCTGAAATGCATAGTGCAGAGTTGCGCCAACGTCGCATTTCTGTGCCAACTGTATAATTTCAAATAAACTGTTTTTAACTTATCACAATACATCCCAATTTAAATATTTAGGTTGGTACGTGAAATTATTCCAGCAATGACGTGCAAGGGAAAACTTGTTATTTTACCTATAGTTTCTAGGCCTGGTTTTTCCACCTCTCAATAACTCCCCAAATAAATTTCATGGATACCATTCTTGATACAATCGTTGTCACAGTACTTATCTACCAAATCAATTTATCGAGAGATGGAAACACTGACCATTAGTATAAGTAATGGTTATAGATGTCGAATCTCCACCCACAATAAATGACTGTTTTGTACTTCGAAAGAAATTTCCCAAAGGCAATACAAAGTTCTTCGGGAGTGCTAGTATGAGAATAAATTTGGTTTTTATAGTGGTCAGCCGACACCGCGATATAGCGTATTGTCCATCAATATGTTAACCATACCATAACAATTATAACATTGTGTAACATTTATGTCAAAAAAAGTGAGTGGTAGAGAGGACCAAAACAATCACTTTCCCCCAAATAAACCAAATGCCTAAAATGGTTTGTGTGGAAGCTATGCCTACAAAATGTTAGTGGATATTCTCAGATTTCTTTACTATTTTTTTTTTAAGACCTTTTTAGCAACATTCATCCAAAATATTCCTAACATTCGTGAACAAGTTTTGAGATATCTTGAAAATGTCCATCGAACCCTTCCTAGAAACCATTTCTGAAATCTAAATAATACTTTGGAATCTCTAAAAATCTATTAGGCTCAGGTATCTGACCAGTATTTTGGTTATGCGTTTTTGTGTAAACCTAACTTTGTAGTTATTTCCCCTTGAGGTACACAAGGTCTTCGATCATATAATCCTGGACGGTCACCACTTTGAACAGCTTGCTGTGCAAACATCAGTAGCGCCATCATGGGGTGTAACCAAAAACTAACTTGGCTGCTCTAAATAAAAATGTTACCTTTGGAATGATATGTACTTTCTGTGTTGTTATTGTCCTTTGTTGGTTAAATGATTCTGAAGAAACCATTTTGTACATAAATATATAGTATTGTAACGTTATTTATAAATTCGGGTTCGATTTATATCAATATTTATTAAACAAAACTAAAACACTATAAAATCCGTACAATTTATATCGATTATTTATATCACTCACACTTCGAAATTTATATCAGCTTTTCGCGCTCTATGTTTCGTCCGTACTCGATCTCGTTCGATAGTAGACTAACCCCCCCCGCGATGTTCGGTCCGCAACCATTTATACACGCAAGCAATGTAAGTCCCGAACATTCTAGAATACGCGTAGAAAATTCCAGAGCGCCAGAAGGCGACGTCATGTCTGGAGCATTTCCGTTACACTGCCCCCTTCTTAATTCTGGACGTCTCGTTCAGAAACTGCGTTAATATTACTTTTTAATGCCTCGTGTCGGAATCTGCAATCAGAGCCTGCTCGACAAACACCTTTCTTGAAAAAGTAACAGTCCACAGTTTTGCGGAGGGTCGTCCCCTGTGGGTTGAAGCAGCATACTGTAATTCGAACGCTAGTGTTTCTAAAAATCACTTCGATCATGGTTCGCACTATCTTCCAGTCCAAGCCATCTAAACCACATCCAATCTTCGGGATCGCCAAGCTATTTATGTCATAGTATGCCATGAGTTTCTTTAAGCTTTTTAAAGCAGACCAGAGGTTTTCATAGGTGGGTTTGCCTTCTGACGTTTTCTTCGAAACCAAGTAGAACAAAGAGCGTTGACTATCTTCCAAGCGCAGTACTTTACCCACTCGTGGTCTTTGCTTTATCAACTCGTCTATTCTTCCAAATCTTTTCCGGAATACGGAAGCTATACCTCTACCCATGCGAAGGTCTTCGGCGACACAATGGGCGATGGAAACGTTAACCGGAAGCTCAAAAATATTTTGACAAATTTCCTGAGTAACGCCAAAGCGAGCTTTCTTCCGCTGGGCGTAATTTGACATAAAATCGTTAAAGTTTGGCTCGATCCCAAAGCTGCGTTCCTCTTCTCGAATACCTCTAACTTCTTCGTTGTTGTTGGATCCGGCATATCGTGCGAGTCGATTAATGTGGACAACTTTCGGTTTCCGGTGGTTCATTCTGATACGATATATCACGTCATTTATTTTCTTGATCACCTCATATGGACCTTCCCATTGTCTTTGTAGCTTGGGAGAAAGACCTCTTCGTCTCTGTGGATTGTGCAGCCATACCAGATCTCCAGCTTCAAAAGTTTCATTGGCCGAGCGGAGGTTGTATTGATTTTTCATGCGATCGCTGGCAATCTGAATATGACTTCTAGCCAAGTCGTGAATATCGTTCATCTTCGCCTTTAGTTGGTCAACATAATTTTCACCTGCGACATATTCTTCATGGGGTTTACGCCCAAACTCGAGGTCACATGGAAGGCGTAGTTCACGACCCAACATAAGGCAGGCAGGAGTCTGACCCGTGGTCTCGTTGACGGCTGATCGATATGCCGTAAGGAACAGGTGGAGGTACTGGTCCCAATTTTTCTGATGTTCTGCCACGACTTTTGAAAGATATTTACCCATCGTTCGATTCATTCTCTCAACCATTCCATCTGACTGAGGATGCAAAGGTGTTGTTCTGGTTTTATTGGCTCCTACCAATCGACAAACATCTTGGAACAAAGCCGATTCAAAGTTCCTTCCTTGATCTGAATGGATTTCTATAGGAACACCAAAACGTGAAAAGAACTCCTTTACCAACACTTCGGCAACTGTTGCTGCCTCTTGGTTTGGAATGGCGTAAGCTTCAGTCCACTTTGTGAAATAATCCATAGCGACTAGGATATATTTATTTCCGCCATCTTGTCTCGGGAAACGGTCCTGCGATATCGATAGCAACTCGTTCCATCGGACTACCAACGTTATACTGCCTCATGGGTGCCTTCTTCTTGGAAACTGGTCCGTTTCCAGTAGCACATAACTCACATTTTTGACACCATCGCCGGACATCTTCTTTACGGTTGGCCCAATAGAATCGCTCACGTACCCTTTGCAACGTTTTCGTAATACCAAAGTGTCCTCCGGAAGCGCCGTCATGCAATTTTCGCAATACTTCCGACACTTTGCTTCTAGGTACTACTAATTGCAGCGTCGATTCGGTGCCATCTTCACTTTCAAGGGTCCTATACAACAGGTTGTCTTTCAGAGTCAGGCTATTCCATTGGCCCCAATAACTCTTTACTTCAGGACTTGTGGCACTAATGTCTTGCCAGCCTGGTCTTTGTCCGTGGCGCATCCAATTCAGAACAGTTTTTATACTTGGGTCGTTTTCTTGGGCCGTTTTAATTTCGCTTGGCTTCCATTCCTCACTCTCTACAGTTGTTTGTCGCAGATGGCCAATCTTGTCTTCTATTTTAGAACAATGTGTGCAGTTGTCCTTGCACGGTCTTCTTGACAAAGCGTCTGCATTATTGTGAACTTTTCCAGACGACGTAATGTTTACAGTGCACCGGGGCTTTGTTTCTGCAGGTCGGGGATAGCCCCTTCCTGTCGACCTTTCTTAGTTTTCCGACTGCTGTAATGGTTTTTGGCAGTTGCGGCGAACGTGTCCAATCTCGCCGTGGTTCACGTTTCTTTGCCAGTGACTGTATTGCTTTATTGATCTTTTCTTCCACTTCTTTACTGACCTTTTCTTCAAAACTTTCAGAGCCACCTTCCTCTTCGATGGTTCTTACCCGGCTCTCACTGCGAGGTTCCACCATACGTACTCGCGCACTTCCATGACTAGCTTTCTTGGCGGCTTCGAATTCTAACGCATGGGCCAAAGCTTTCTCAATGTTGTCGTGCCTAGCCAGTCTCAAAGCCTGCTGGGCATCTCCATCACGAACGGCATCGATAAATGTTTGTACAGCCAGTTGATCAAGAAAGCTCTCCGGTGCCGTAGGGTATGCCAATCGAATCAGTCTAGCGATGTCCGCTTCAAGTTCCTGCAAACTTTCTCCAGGTTTCTGCATTCGGTTCTTGACTTGGGCATAGTAAACTTGCTGAAGGTGTTTATCGCCATATCGCATTTCGAGTCGCGCTACTATTTGTTGGAAGTTCTGTTGATCCTCGGGGATGGTCCGCAACACATCCAGAGCATCTCCTCTCAGAGCAAGAATCAGGGCTGTAGTTTTGTCTTGAAGAGTCCATTTATTTGCCGCAGCCGCTGCTTCAAACTGTCGAACGTACGAGGTCCAAGGAATCTTACCATCAAAAGTAGGTGGCTTTACTCGGGCTTGCTGAACGTCGCCTTCTACTCTTGTATTTGTTTCTGGGGCACTACTAGTACGCTCTTTCGTAGTCAGTCGCAAGAATTGCTTGCGCAGCTCTTCATACTTGTGCTCAATCTCAACGAATGTTGCTTTAAATGTTTTGGAAACTTCCGTAATTCTATCTTCAACTTTTTCTTCAATTGATTTAGAGACTTCTTCAATAATCTTTCTAGAATTTTCCTCCATCTTCTCGAATTTCTCTTGAATATTTCTAGAATTTTCTTCCAACTTCTCGAACTTCTCTTGAATATTTCTAGAATTTTCTTCCATTTTCTCGAACTTCTCTTCAAAATTCCTAGAATTTTCTTCCAACTTCTCTTGAATATTTCTAGAATTTTCTTCATTAATCTTTCTAGAATTTTCTTCCAACTTCTCGAACTTCTCTTGAATATTTCTAGAATTTTCTTCATTAATCTTTCTAGAATTTTCTTCCATTTTTTCGAACTTCTCTTCAAAATTTCTAGAATTTTCTTCCAACTTCTCTTGGTTGCTTTTTATTTCTTGTTGCAACACCTGTTGGCCATTTTGGATTTGCTGGAGCAAATTGAGCATCGTTTCTTCCATTTTAGCGGCAGCAGATCTTGTTACAGGCATACACAAGCACAAGCACTTAATTTAAACTTACTTTTAATTAATTTAATTAATCCCACTTCTGACACCAATGTAACGTTATTTATAAATTCGGGTTCGATTTATATCAATATTTACTAAACAAAACTAAAACACTATAAAATCCGTACAATTTATATCGATTATTTATATCACTCACACTTCGAAATTTATATCAGCTTTTCGCGCTCTATGTTTCGTCCGTACTCGATCTCGTTCGATAGTAGACTAACCCCCCCCGCGATGTTCGGTCCGCAACCATTTATACACGCAAGCAATGTAAGTCCCGAACATTCTAGAATACGCGTAGAAAATTCCAGAGCGCCAGAAGGCGACGTCATGTCTGGAGCATTTCCGTTACAGTATGTCCCGAGATGAGGTTCTAACAATACCTATAATTCGACCATTTTTTTCATTTTGCGCGAAAGTCATTCTTTATAAAAAGTCCCGCTTGTTCCAAAACTTTAAAGATGATGGATTTTAGTTCCAAATTGTCAAACCCCCCTGGCCTGTAGATGTTTGCCTCATTATTTCTCACCTGGCAGGCCAGTATTATATGGTCAAAGGTTATCACTGGGAATTTATGCAAATAAACAATTGTAATGTTACATACACTGGTAGAAATGGATAGAGGTGCTCTGTAGAACTTTTCTTTCCCTTTGTTAAGGTTAAAGTTTAACTAAAAACGTCCATTGGAGTTTAACCTTTTTTTTAAATACTTTTTTAGCTGGATATAACAATGTAGAGGTGGCAGAATTTCTCTTGGATCACGGAGCGGACGTGAACGCACAAGATAAAGGGGGCCTCATACCCTTACATAACGCTTCAAGTTACGGCCATTTAGACATAGCTGCCCTTTTGATTAAATTTAATACTGTGGTTAACGCGACCGACAAATGGGGTTTTACTCCGCTCCACGAAGCAGCACAAAAAGGACGCACTCAATTGTGCGCATTACTGGTAATTGTGCCCCCCCCTCCCCCTTTGCCGTTTCTTATCATTACAAATTCTTCCACAGCTGGCTCACGGAGCTGATCCGTTCCTTAAGAATCAAGAAGGGCAAGCTCCTGTTGATCTCTCATCTGCGGATGACGTTCGATGCCTTTTGCAGGATGCCATGGCCTCTCAACAAATAGTTCCGACCACTGCCGCTAGTACCTCATCGGCAAATAATTTGTCACAAACTTCTAGTCCATCAATATTACCAATTAATACTGAAACTGTGATAATGCCATCCGGTGCATCAATGACTCTTTCCGTACCTATCGCAAACAGACTTAATGCGACTATTCCGCCAGAAGGTTGTTGCTCAGATGCTAATAAAACTGAAAACGAAATTCAAGACAATACCAACAGTATTACGAGCATTGCCACTTTCTTGGCCAGCTTAGCATTGGAACATCTCCTAGAATTATTTGAACGGGAACAGATCACTTTAGACATATTATCCGAAATGGGCCACGAAGATTTGAAACAAGTCGGAATTTCTGCGTATGGTTTCAGACATAAATTAATTAAGGGTATAGAGCGATTAATGGCAAGCTGTGGTAGTCAGTGGGCCACTGCTGCCAATCCAGGAACCTTACTTGTGGACTTGCTGGGTGATGACAAAGAATTTGTAGCGGTAGAAGAGGAAATGCAGAATACTATTCGCGAACATAGGGATAATGGTCACGCAGGTGGGGTCTTTAGCAGATATAATATTGTGAGGGTAAGTTTCGCTTAGCAATATTTGAATCGACAATTAACATTGCTGTCTTCTCAGATTCAGAAAGTACAAAATAGGAAATTATGGGAAAGATACACCCACAGGCGGCAAGAAGTTGCAGAAGAAAATAGTAATCAAAGTAACGAGCGTATGCTGTTTCATGGGTCGCCTTTCATTAACGCAATTGTTCAGAAAGGTTTTGACGAACGGCATGCTTATATTGGTGGTATGTTTGGAGCTGGAATATATTTTGCCGAACATTCCTCCAAGAGTAATCAGTATGTTTATGGTATTGGTGGGGGAACTGGTTGTCCAATGCATAAAGACAGATCATGTTATGTTTGCCATAGGTTAATATTTTTACAATTTGGAAGCGTTTATAATTTAATTATTTTAGGCATTTACTTCTATGTCGAGTAACACTTGGTAAGTCATTTTTGCAATTTAGTGCAATGAAGATGGCGCACGCTCCTCCTGGCCATCATTCAGTTATGGGAAGGCCATCTGCAGGCGGTCTCAACTTTCCAGAATATGTTGTTTATCGAGGCGAACAAGCTTATCCAGAATACTTTATAACTTATCAAATACTGAAACCTGAGGATTGCTCAAATGGAGCCGAATCGGACGTTAGATGATTTCATAACGAACATTGGCTTATGTTAAATTCGAGACGCTCGTATAGAGAACATTTATGTAATGTATTTTGTAACGCACTTAGATGCCTTGTTCCTGCTCGGCCGAAATGTGGATGTCAGGGTTGACAAAAATTTTTGTTTTACCCATATTATACATAATAAGGGATTTCTCTTTTAAATATTACGTCGTATATGTGGAAGTGCCTCTGCCTACATATTTTATTTAAACTCTTCCCAAGTGTTCGCTACATGTATTTTTATAATATGTATAATCCCTTATTCTGTTCATTAATCATTGTGATATCTTGTACCCTTTACAGTTGTAAGATAAAGCTCAAGTATTAACTTAATTTAATTATCCTGTAGCGTGGTTTAAGGGTACTTTAACTTATTTTTAATTGTACAAGATTGTTAAATAAGTAAATGTAATATGGAATTAAAATGACGCATTAAAATTTTTACTCAAATTTTATTTTTAACATCAAACCGGAGATGTGATTATTAGATATTGATACCTCAGTTACTTTTAGTTGAAGGTTTAATAAAAGATTCCTTAAAGCGGGTCCACATCAATTGCGTTTTTTTAATTTTGTGTGGTATTTGCTGAATCCACTTATTCACGTTCAGAAGTTCACATTAAAACTTTTTTGCTGCGCAAATCTCTTTGAAGTTGACTGGAAAACCAACAACATAGTGGCACAGACAAAGTATATGTTGTCTGTGATAGTGGATAACATGCATTGTTCGTCACGAAATTATATGTGTACGTTTTCGTACGTCGCATAGTCCACATTGACAAAAATTTCTGCGCAGACGAGCAAATTTGTGCCAAATTCAAGGCACTACGCAAATATTTAGTGTGGACCCGCCTTTACAAAATATTTTTGCTCACATGTGCATGTCTGCATCTGTGTGCATGATTTTCTTGAGCATGCTCCGACTTGAAAAAATTTTATGCCAGATTTGCATAGAAAAACGAAAAGAAACCCAGCGAATCAGAAAGTATATTATAGGCGTTAAACCTGTATATTTTAAATAGAACACTTTAAATTGTAGCACAATTACCTAATTCAGTAAGACGAAATTTTGTTATTACAAAACTATCTACTGTCATCACAATAAAATTATCAATTTGAAAAGATTGAAGAAGAATTAATAACACTAGATGTTATTGTGAGTAGTTCTCTAAGTTTTGGAGAACATATTATACTAAAATGTAGCTGCGGAAATTTTAACATATTTTACTGGAAAATGTTAAGCAATTGAATGTGGTCAACTCTTTATATGTCACGTGGACTATTGTAGCTCAGTTTACTTCCATTTTCCTCATTTAAACAAACTATAAGTTTTGCATTATTATTATTATTATATCGAGGGCGTCATGGGAGAAGGGCGTATCAACAAAAATGTTTTCAGGAAATGAAAAAAACGATTCACAAATTTATTCTACTGAAATTTAATTTAGGGTAGTTATTTCTAGTGAATATGTTCTACTTAAGCTGGATTCACATGAATACGAAATCCGACGATACGGTCATCCGAAATGCTTATGATTGGTCGATAGTTTGAAATGTCAAGCACATTCAAATTATTGACCAATCATATAGACCGAGAGCTCGCGTAGAAAATACCTCGTCATAGGGTACAAAAGGTTTGATGTAACTAGACAGTAGAATGTAACCGTGCGATAACAAAATCGCCCGTCTGCCGGCCCGCGGCGGTCAACTTAGCACGGGGGCGAATTTTGAAAATTGTTCCAAATCACATAAGTAATACCTCGTCATAAGGTACACGCTCGAATTATAGCTTAAAATAAAGCTCTTTTAATGTAGAATTTGGGAAAACCCGGCAGACGGTAGTATTTTGTAGATCCTTGCTCCCCATGTTAGCATAGAGGGTCTATAATGACATCAATCGAAGAAGATTTTTTTCTCATCTAATGATAACGAATATTAGTCGATTTTCAGGTGTATGTTCATTGTTTTATCAAAAATTCAGCAATAAATCCAATTACCAAAATCATGTTTAGCCATCACTAGTAAGACAAAAAGCAGATTCAAACGTTATTCAATCCAAATCAATATCAGTTTATGATAACTGGCATTCATTTTTTGTAAAATGCAGTTCACTGAGGAAAAAAAGTATTTATAATAAACGTTTACAGGGGAAATAGTCTAGTACGCGATATTTGTTTTCCGTGCATTTTAAATGAGTGCCCAATTCCATCCGTGTCAAAAGCTATTTCAATTCTTCAGTAAATGTCCATGGCTTAACATTTTTGATAAAATAATGAGAAATATACCTGAAAATGATCTAATTCGTATATCATTAGATAAGAAAAAAAATCTTCTTTCGATTGGTGTCATTATAAACCCACTAAGTTAAGCTGGGCTGGGGAGCAACTACCTGCGAAAAACGTTTTTTCCATGTTAATTGCCTACGGTCGGTTTTGAAATATTCACCCGGTGTATTTGCTTATGGCAACTATATATAAACATTAAAACTCGCAGATCTTATCTTGCTAAGGTTTTAATAATAATTGGGTTTCTTTAACTCGAAAGTCTCACGCCTTGATCTGAATAAATTTCGATTTGGGAAACGCTTCGTTTATACGGTGTCTGTATATCTACCGTTTGAGGGTGTAAAGTACGCAAGATATGTGTTATTGTATGGTAAATATAAAAACTGAATTTTCAATCAATATCACCTGGTGAATTTTGTTTAGGTATTCGCAAATTAATGACATTATGAAATCCACATTACAAAAAACATTGATGGTGCCAAAATTCCAAATAATAAAACTGTCAAATGCCATAACTTTCATTTCAAAACGAACCATCGGGTGTAATTTGCAATTTTGTTAAAATGAAACAACGAAGTTTTAAAAACACCTTCATTTAGATAGTTATGGGGACATTTAATGTAAGATTTCCCTTAGTTTTAACATTTTACCCCGCACCCCTAGCGTATTCGTTTTTTTTATTATATTGCCATTCTAAACCCCTTTTATAACGTTTTGTATGTTGTGTTAGGTACATTAATAGTGTATTTACCTCTCGATTTACCTACATGTATAGTGTAGAAACATTTTTTAATATTTGTGTTCATGTTTTGTGGCAGTTGAGAAAATTTCTCAAATCCTATTATTTGTGTAATGCCTACATTTAATTTAGGTGTACTGTACCTACTCCCAGCTGTAGATCCGTTTTTACAATAAGTGTACAGCAGCGCGTGCTTGATAGACAGCGGTCTCGCTTCACCGCTGTACTTTTCGTCTTTGGCACCGAACTCCCCCTCTTCTTATGGTAGTTCTGCGTTTTTCTCTTAAAATTATTTATTTATTTATTTGTTTAGCCAGATACCATACAGAATACAATTATTCCAATTACATGGCACTGGGATGCTGTACTTAAAACTAAAACTACACAGTAATTACGATCTTATATGACTAATTAATTCATTCAAAGAGCCGTGAAATACATCGATGTCTCCCTCACGGCACTTCTTATTTAAAGCCAACAGGCTCCTCGATAGTGGCGATGACGGAGTGGTCACTAAAAAGATGATATCGTTTTTCCTTAATTTAACATGTGGCACTTTGAGTTTAATTTCCTGAAGCAATTCTGAGGCATTTAGGTGATTATTCAGTATCTTGTACACAAAGGTAGCACAGATCACTACGCGTCGGATTTGTAAACTTGAGATTTTAATACCGTGCACACTATTTAAAAATTTTAGTTGGTTGGAGTAAGAGATTAAATGTGGAAAATTTTGAGTCGACCTAAAATTTCGCACTAATTTTTTTTTAACTTTCTCTATCATGTCTGCGTGCTTATAAGTTTGGGGTGTCCAAATACATACCGCATAGTCGAGTTTGGATCTGATGAACGCATTGTATAAGGTAATAATTGAGAAAATGCTTGTAAAATTGTAGGTATTCCTAATTACAAAGCCTAGTACTTTGTAGCACGCATTTATAAGGGATTCAATGTGCCGATGAAAATTTAAGTTGCTATTGAATAAAACGCCCAAATCTCTAACCAAGGTGACTCTTTGGATATCCTGCCCATTTATTTCGTATTTAAAAATCGTGGGATTGTTGGATCTTGTGTACGATACAACTTTGCACTTTTCTATGTTTAGCGTTCAGTTTGTTTTTATTGCACCAATTTATCACTGCATTTATGTCTGCTTGAATATTTAAACAATCGTTTGAAGATTTCACTTTATTAAAAAGTTTCAGGTCGTCTGCAAATAGAAGTGCTTTGGAGTTTTGAATCACCCGCGGTAGGTCATTAATAAATAGTAGGAAAAGGAAAGGGCCAAGTAGTGTTCCCTGAGGTACCCCTGAAGAGGGGTAAAATTCGGTTGAGTTCACCCCATTGTATTTCACTCGCGTTTTACGCGATGTTAAATATGATTTAAGAAATTTAGCCGTTGGGCTACTGACACAATTAAAATGAAGTTTCTGAAGCAGGACCTGATGGGAGACCTTATCAAAAGCTTTCGCAAAATCGGTGTATATACACAGTCCACCTGAGCCCTCTTGTCAAGGACGGCGGCTGTGACAAGAGGGCTCAGGTGGACTGTGTATTGCAAGGAACACTTACATTATTTAAATATACGTAATATACTTAAACTTGAATATCGGTTTAGTTTTAGCTTGAGGAAAATGTATAAGATTCTGAATTTGAAAGAGCAGAACTATTTATTATATCATTTGTTGATTGAGAGATCACCTCTTCACAATCTATCATTAGTAATAAACGTTGAACAATTTTCCATAAAGCCTTTACACAAAACCTCTGATTTTGCCAGCATATCTTGAATGGCAATTTTTCTAGTTCTGAAATGAGTTTTCCAATAGAAATCATGCAGACGTGCACAAGAGGGCAATGGCAGTATGTGATACTAAACCTTGGATTATCAGCAACACAATAAATTGAGGCTGATCCTTTCTGCGTGATACCACTGGTGTATGTATATGTAGTAATGACGCAAACTTAAACTTGAAAGTAAGTACCTACGACTTACTTTTACAAACACAACCAGGAACAGGTTGAATTTGGACAGAAAAGAATCATGATGCGTTTGGAAAATAATCTGTTTATGGCGCGATTAATGGACTACTCAGGTGGGCACATGAGCTTGGATCCACATCAGTTTGGATTCCGAAGATGATCATCCACCTTCTTAGAATATTCTTTTAACATGCTAGCTAGAACCATTTTACTCTATGCTAGAACATATGTGAATATTCAATAGAATGTTCTATGAATATACGTATATCTTCATCTGGCATACTCCAATGATATTCAGCAATGAATATACCGAGAACAAAATCCATTCCCCATACATCCAGGAAACAAATTCAGACTCGCGCTAGGAAGCTAAAAATGTTAAAGAACGTGACTAACAAAATAATTAATTTTGCATAAAGAGATCTGCCACTATGGAAGTAGGTAATGAAAATTCCTACCTTTTTAAGGATTCACACATACTCCTGGGGAAGTATACAGGGTGACAATTTGAAAACTTACCACCCCCCATATCTTAGTAAATAAACGAGATATTTAAAAAAATCAAAATTCGTTTCGGTAATTCGGAGGGGGAATCACAATGACATAGTTGGCGACGCACCCCCTCACACCCCCTGCGCCCCAGCCACCTCAACTTTTAAATCTTAAATAGTGACCCCCCATGTGTGATACGTCGTTGGAAAGCTCTGAAAAAATGCTTTCCAACCATACCAAATAGCCTCGCAAATAGCATTACATTTAGGTTAGTAATTATCGCGCAAATCAAAAAATAAACATGGAAAATCGTATTTAACTTGAACCTCCAAAGCCGACTCGACAGCAACTCATTTTTGATCGCCAGTTATAATCTATTCTCAAACTCCTGTCGAACCTTTTCAAATGTTGGTTTTGCAATATTTCGACATTCTTGAATTATTCTCTGTCTTAGTTCGTCTATGTTCGCCGGTTGCGTTTTAAGTACGACAGATTTCAAATGTACCATATTAGTTTATTTTTTTATTTGCACGATAATTACTAACCTAAATGTAATGCTATTTGGTATGGTTGGAAAGCATTTTTTCAGAGCTTTCCAACGACGTACCACACATGGTGGGTCACTATTTAAGCTTTAAAAGTTGGAGTGGCTGGGGCGCAGGGGGTTGGAGGGAGTGCGTCGCCAATTATGTCATTGTAATTCCCCCTCCGAATTACCGAAACGGATTTTGATTTTTTTAAATATCTCGTTTATTTACTAAGATATGGGGGGTGGTAAGTTTTCAAATTGTCACCCTGTATGTGGGGTCTGGAATTTAAGAAGGTAAACATGGGCGAAACAAAAAATGTAATGGCCCCTCTCAACATTTTCTTTTAAGCTCGTTTAATTGTTTACCTTATACCAAGTGACAACAAAAGTACCATCATAGTGTATTCTATTCTTTACACTAAGGTACCATCCAGGCTCTCATTTAAAAAAAGCCGCCAATAAAAGAAATTTGAAATGATTTTTTGTAGAAGCAACTGAAAATTCGAAAAAAGTGAAATACACAACCTCTATTTCCCACAGTATCAGCGTTTTCTCCAATTTGAGCTTACCAAATTTACCAAAGCAAGTCAATATTTTCATTCATTTAAGCAATTATGTGCCAATTCTTGCAAGTTCGTATTGATCGCTTAAATGAATTTTTCCAGATAATGAGTACCTACACCTCCCGATAACAAAACTAAGAAACTAACAAGAAGTAAACACTTTATTTGCTTAGCCTTTAACAAACCAAAACATTCAGTCTTAAACATTCCTATTTCCTATCCTATCTGGTTGTTTACGCTTACTACATCTTACTAGTTGAAGTGGAGGTGTTATCAATTGCAGATAAGTTAGGGTATATGTTATGAGTGTTTGAATTATCCACAACATTCTGAAATTTAACGTCTTCAATAACTGCTTTTCCAGTTTCCTTAGCTGCTATCTTTGCAATTCCTTTTGGAGTAAAAAATTTAGTATTATGACCGAGGCTTATAACATTTCCAACTGTGTTGAAGGTGTTACCGGCTAAGTGCCCAGCTGTGTCGCCGTACCTAAAAAAAGGAATAATTTGCAAAATTTCTAGGCTCATTCTGTTGCAACCTACTTATGTTGAACAACACTGACGGTATTGTTAGAAAGACTATTCCCTAAAATAGATGCAGATGCTTCAAGACCGTGATAAACACTTGAAAATCCTTCTACCGCACCAGCGGCAACAGTGAATAAACCGTTTAATTTTGAAGACGCTTCCGCTTCGGGCATATTAAAGCTGGAGGTTAATAAACGTGTGCCTTGTTTTTGTATGTGAGGGGCTAGATATCGACCCAATGCCTGCGTCGCAGTTCCTACCTTCTCAGCTGGAAAAGGGTTGTTTCAATCAACCGAATCCTTTATATATAGTTTACACAATGACGAAAACGGTTGATAATGAATGGGTGGGCTAAAACTAGACTCTGTTAAATATATCTGCAAAACACACAGTTTCATTATAAAAGCAACATTAGAAAACCATCACCATATTGAACTTTGCCTAGGTTTATTACTTTTTCTGTACTGTTTATGAATTATATTACCAAATTCGAAATATTATCATTTTCCTTCTATTATGTTACCTAAACGATGACAGTGTGAGCACTTTTCCAATTACCTACATATCCAGTAACCTGTACAGCTGCCGCACTTGCTTCGGATGCAATTTCAAATCCTTTAACAACAGAATTTGGTACAACAGGGGTTTCATGGGCAGGACGAAGATAACCAATAAGTTTTGGTGTACCATAGTTTAAAAGTTTTCCAGCAGTCTGAGCTCCTCTTATAAGTCCTTGAGATACAAAATAACCACCTACAGAAAACTTAAATATCAACCAATTCACTTTTAAATAATGTTACCTGTTGCGAGTCCATTAGATATCATCTGACTAACACTACGGGGAGCTTCTGCTTCTGGTCCCAGTGCTCGTCTCGTACGCCTACGAGGGATGGATAGTGTTGTATCTTCGCCAATAATACCATGTAAAATATCTTCCAGTAGTTGGTACACCGAAGAATCTGCATCTGCAGGTAAAATTATACCCACAGAACTTCCTATAAAGAAGTGATATGATTGGTGATTTGTGTGACTTGATTATACAATACCAGGTACATCCGAAAAAATATCAGGCAATATAAAAGCACCAAATGACGTTCTGTAACATGGAGAGACACCCGGGACAAGGGGATAAATCCAATCGCCAACTTGCAAGAACACTTGTCTGGGTGTTACTTCAGTAGCTAAAAAAAGATTGAGATTCCAACATCGCATGTAACCACTATACCTGGAATCACAGCAATGCTTAACACTTGCGGCTCGGATGTTTGCGCGACCGACCCATCAGGAGATATGAAAAATAGTTTCACGCCTTCGTAAGTGTATATAATTTCAACAGGTCCATCCACAGCTTCAACTGGTAAATCACTCAGTGCATTGGCCAAATCGGTGTAAGTATGGGGAACAACATCGGACGTTGGTATGTTTTCTTGCGGAGATTCGCGAGGGACAAAATTCGGTGCTGATGAAATCGTATTTATACGCACCAAAACTTCCGCTCGAGTTCTTTTCATTTTTTGTATCATATCGCAAGCATTACCCCACGTAAAGTCTGGATTCTCGGGATGTGTTACTTTTACATCTAATGCTTTATCTATGAGAAGAATTCCCTCTTTGTATTTGTCGATTGCCTAGAAGAAAGAAAGAAGATTTATGTGGGTGAACAAATAAGGTACATTACAACACAAATTATTTTAATTAATTTGTACAAATCCATAACTTTTTCAAACTGTAAGATGTCAGGTTCTAAATCTACTTTTGTTTCTTGAAAACTTCCTTAGTTTGAGGGCAAGCGACCATGATCAAATTGGAGAATAGAATTTACACAATCATTGGCGTAATTAATTACTCTTGCTGGATACTATCATTATTAATGTATCAGGCATTTTTTTCAACAAAAGTGATTCAATTAGTTTAATTTATTCAACAAAGATCTGAAACACTTTGTTGGGGCCCGTATGCACATAATTAGGGAGCAGGTTTTCATGAAAATAAACCTTGTCTTACAAATGCTTCTTCTTTTAATTGCGCATTAACAAATTTCACTTTACAACAGATGTTCATGTGCAGCTTTTTGCTTATAAATTAGAAATGGTGTTTTCTTCTGCATTTGTGTTTACAAATGCTCCTTTTCCAACATTTCAAGCGTAAAATAAAAAATTTAAATTCATAATATATCAGTATGGAAGCTGATAGACGTAGGAAGTAGGAAAACTTTTCATCTTATTAGGCTCTAGGGCACCTCATAACAACTTCAGGGAATCATGTCAATTAAAAAAAATATATATTTTAATGGCTTCACAACATTTTCCCTGGCTGTAGTTCAGAACACTATTTACGTAAAGCACATTTCAATGAATACCATCAATACTTCTTGGGTATTAAACTAATGCATTTAGACGTGTTCCTAGGGTGCATTACCTTGAACACTGTGGGAGTAATGGAATAAGTCGTGAGTTCTATAAAAGAAAAGTCAAGAAAGTTTGACTTTTTGAATTAATTCGCTATTGGTTTATTGCAGCTTGTGACACTTCCTCCTCATCTTCGGAGGATCCTGATCCACTAATATCTTGTATAAATTGTATTTGCCTCTACAGGAACATTACTACTTTTGTGTTTTTGCATGCGGCCAATAATAATAATAATAATCTTTATTCTTCTCCTAACGTAATGACATGGAAAAAACAAATTCGAAAACAAAAAAAGACAGAAGAATCACAAGGCGAAGTTCAGATATACAAAGAGAAATCTTCGTATCCTGTTCTACCATGACAGAACAAACAAAACTTATAAATTTAATACCTATCCTAATGAAAAATTGCCTTAATCTATATTATTCGGTGATCGTAGAAAATATACTAATTCATAGTTTAAAGAAAGAAAAAAAACTAAAAAACAACTTAAAAGTAGCACACATGTTTAGATATTAGAAGAAACCTGTTGTAATATTAAGAACTCGCGAAGTTTCTGCTTAAAAACGCGGGCGGAGAGATCTTTTAGACTGTCAGGTAGATGGTTGTATAGTTTGGATATATTATAGGAGAAGGAGCGTTGGTAAAGAGCTGTAGTGTGTATGGGAGGGGTAATAGTGCCTTTATAGCGAATATTAAGAGGTACACACTCTTAATCAGTGCGAAAGGTAATTTTGTTAATGAGGTAAGGAGGTGATTTATTTAAAATAATTTTATATGTGCAGGCCTTCAACAAATAAAAACGATTCTGCATGTTCAACCAGTTAGCGTTAGACAGTTTATGTGTTATGTGGTCAAACTTGCGGATGTTGTATATATATCGCAAACAGGCATTTTGAACCTTTTGAATTCTATTTTTATCAATACCTTGCAAGCATGGACTGAATACAACACTACAGAAAGTAAAATGTGACAATACTAATGATTCGCAAAGTAAAATCTTTGTTTTTATTGAGAAATAGTGTCGGTGTGCATATAGCAACCTTAAACTTCCATAAGCTTTTACTATGCTTTGTGAAATATGATACGAAAATCTAAAAGTATTGTCAAGATGCAGGCCTAAATTTTTTGCACGGTGGACTACAGGTATGATTGTGTTATTGATATGAATAGTTATATCTGAAAGGTACCTATTAGTATTCCTACCACCAAATAACAGCACTTGTGATTTTGAGGGATTGATGTGTAAATTATGTTTTAGAGAAGTTATATAGAGGTTTTGTAAATCATTATTAATCTTAGACACTGCATTATTGATTTCAGACGGTTTAAATGACAGATATAATTGAGTGTCATCCGCATAGGCATGATAATTGCATGAAGTGATTACATTGTTAAAGGATGAGGTGTAAATGCTGAATAATGTTGGTCCTAATATCGATCCCTGGGGAACGCCACAGCTTAGAGGCAAAAGATCAGATACAGCATTTTCCAACTTAACACACTGAAACCTATTGGACAAATAGTCGAGGAGGAAATCTGCGGCATTCCGTGTAAGTCCAATGAAATGTAAAATAGAGCGTAATAAATGGTGATCAATGGTATCGAACGCCTTCGAAAAATCGAGAAGAACCAGGATGGTCAATTTTCTTTGATCAGTTGCTTGAAGGATGTCATCTGTTATGTTGAGAAGCGCAGTGCTACAACTGTGCAACGGTCTAAAACCAGACTGTGTGGAAGGTAGGATATTAAAAGATGTTAAATGATTTATAAGTTGAGCATTGATTATCTTTTCTAATATTTTAGATATCGCAGGTAACACACTGATAGGACGCAGGTGATTCAAACCTGTAGGATTTTTTATTTTAGCAACTGGTCTCACAAATGCCTGCTTCCATAAGGCTGGAAATTTGTTTTCAACTATGCAGCAGTTAATGATGTGGGTTATGAACTGTATTACAAATGGGCAGCAATATTTTATCATTTCTATGTTAATTTTATCTATTCCGTAGCAAAGTGAATGAATTTTATTTAATAAATCTAATATAGTATAGGAATCTACAGTTTTGAATTCCAGCGGCACAGTGACCCCTGCCTTAGTATTATTGTCAAAGAAATCAACTAGATCTCTATTACCAGCAGCACTCAGTTTAGGAATACTGCTAATAAAATGACTGTTAATCTCATTAGCATGTTGAAGGTGTTGAGGTATTTCAATAAAAGAAGACTGTTTAATGTCAAAAGAATGTAATACCTTCCAAGCAAGTTTGGATGATTTGAGTGTCCGAAATTTGTACTCCAAATATGCCTTCTTTTCATTTCGAATTGCCAGTGTAGTAAAATTACGCAGGGATTTATAATACTCCCAATGGTGGTTCAGTTTACTTTTGCGGAATTTAGATTTTGCTTTGTCTCTTAGTGACTGTAGTAGTTTGATGTTATCGGTTATCCAAGGAAAGCGGGGCTTAGTTACTTTAAATAATTTATTGGGAGCGTGTAAATCAAAAATCTCAGAGACACAAGAATTAAAGATCTTAACCTTAAATCATAGCTAGCAATGTTTTACCGCGTGCTTTGCATACAGCATTTTTATTGGTTGAATTTTATTTATTGCACTACTCAAGATATTTCCAGATCGGATCTCATTTTCGTCCACTCATTTCTCACAATAAAATAAGTTTTAGTCTAGAGGCTGTATATTTTTTGGCAACAAAAATTAGTTCCCGATCCAAACGCTTTTTTTATGTAAGTACAGTGATTCGAAGTCGGGGAAAAACAATTAATTAAAACAGCTGAATTCTTCCGCGAACGAAATCGTGAGTATTGAAAGGAGTGGAAACTGATATTTTGCAATTTGCAAAACTATTAATTTTAGGCTAAAATATTCGAAGAAGTTATAGGAAATAAAATGAACAACTTTGTATATACATTTTTTTTCCCACGACCTCCAATTATGCGAGAAAAAAAAGAAAAACTGTTTTTTTCGTTTTCTATTTTTATTTTTACGAAAAAAAGGCGCAGGGGCCTGAAATTTGAAAGAACATAGCTTTTTTAGTGAGAAAAAAGATGACAATTTGTTTGGGCCTGTAAAGATAAGCCGTTTTGGATATATTCACGATTTTCGAAAATACCGCTTTTTCTTCAGGGGGATGAAAAATTAATTTTTTTCATCGTACAGAGCTGCGCCAAAGAGTACCCATAATAAGAGATACAGCGCAATGGTATAAACGCGTGTTGGCTATAAGAACTCGCCCGCTAGGATTCCAAAAGCGGGCCCTCGCGTAGAGGTGGCCAGAACTAACCGCCTCTTTAAATATTGGCGCGTATTGAAAATTTACAGAATTCTTTATAGAATTTCGGTTTAAAATATTTGCGCGGTTTTCACATTTAATTTTCTTTCTTATTGGCTGTATAAAATGTGGACATGATATAATTAGAAAACATTACTTAAGTAGGTATAAAAGAAATCAGCAAGGATTCAATACCTATTGTTAATTACATTGGTATTTTCCTGTTTAGTTGGCGTCTATTGAATAGACAGTAATTACTATTTAATTTAATAACCAATAACAGGTACAATTGTAAAAATGCAAATTAAATTTGTTATTATCCATCCTTTTTAGATCGTCTACTACAATCAAATTAAAGTAGACAACATATTTCATAAAATTGGATTTTATGATGAGCATAGCGATTATTTTACAGGAAATTTTGTTTGCTTTAATTTTGTATAGATGCCTACATACATTATATTGTTTATAGTTTGGCCGGAAAAAATTAAAAAGTGATTGCAACATTTTTTCCGGCAATCTTTCATTATCTTATTATTTGTAGGTACAATAAATGCTATAAAACGTGTACTGGTCTTTTTTTTTTTAAAAATGTTCGTTTATTTCCGCGCAAGTCGGAAGTAAATATCGTTCGTTAGGCTACTTCCTCTAACTAAACGATCTAGTTCGGTCGACTTTTTCATACGTCCGTCGACGGTAGGGCGACGAACAGTGTGTACAAAGGGCAGAGACGTAATCAAAGCGAGCTTATTACTCGCGCTTACTGGGAATACACAATACACACTAAAAAATCTATTTTACCGCTCAAAAAACGGCTTATTGTTACACGAAGAACATATCTTCGCACCTATGAATCAAACCAACAAGCGTTCGGACCTTAATAAATTGTGCCATAAGCGTAGAATGGAATAACATATCTCTAAACATCATACATTTCAAGGAATAATAGATACCTAAATAAGTACAAGCAAACACTAAACATTTGGCAACACTGGGATTTCTGCAATGATATTTATAAACTTCTAAACAAGTAGTTGCCTTGAAATAGCCCCTTAAGGCCCCCCTTCACGTGCAGTTCTTATCTTCGCTCCCGGATTGAATTCCTGGCGCGCGCTCCCGATGTGTGACATGCGTTGCATCTACACGTTCGCGCTTGATTTTTAATTTATTTCAGTTTTATTCTGTTTCTGAGTCTGGTAGTGCAACAGTGCTGTTAAAGAATGAGTTTGAAGAAGAGGAAAGCAATTGCTTTTTTGTTGCTGGTGGACGACGAAAGGGACGTAAGAAGAAAGAGAAAAAAGTATTGGTCGAAACCGTGGTATTTGAGAAGAAATGAATCCACACACATCGATTTGTTAAAGGAGATAAATCAAACAAACCCTGAAACTCGGGAAACATAGCACTACCCGGGACTACCCGTTCTAAATTTCATCAATTACATTCTACTAAAGCTATCTCTCTTTTGCACACCTTAAGCGTACTACCTTCACCTTTGTCATATTGTGTCAATCCCGATGTGAGAACTGAGCCGCATCTACATGCTCACATCTTTCTGTCGCTGCATGTCAGTGCGCGCCAGGAATTTAGTACGATTTGATTTCTTCGCTCCGCGCCGCAACTGAAGCGCGCCTGGCATGTTTAAGCCCTTCACGTGCGAGTTTGGATTTAACTGAAGGAGCGTCAGTCCAAAACTGACGTAAAACTGCACGTGAAGGGGGGCCTTTAGGCGTAGCGTACGCCAATAAAATTGAGAAAAAGCAGTAAAATTTGTTAGGCAACACACAATACATATGCAACACTATTCTCTATGCCGTTGAATCTCTTATTATGGTTACTCTTTGGCTGCGCGTAGCAACATTTTCCCAAAGAGTCTATTTTAATAATCTCTACAGTAGGTATATAAAAAAAAACCCTGTTTCTTCTGGCCACGCAATAACTTTAGAACCACTTTACCGATTTCATTCATCTTTTTTTTAAGTTTTCCACTACTGTGTAGAAGGTTCTTACGGAAAGAAAAACTAAGACAATCGCGCAGAAAATTGGAAAATTTAGCCATGACTTTTGTTGTTTTATGAATTGCTACTAATAACAGAAATGTTTTTTAATTCTGAACAACTTTAAATTGTACAGTTTTTTCTGTAAAATGTACAGGAGGGCAGGATATTGCATAAAACTAACTTCCCATGTTAAATCCCTATGTTCCTACTTACCTGCACCACCCGGTATATACGAGTACGTCAAACTGACGAGCAAAGCGAAGCGCGAAACGAAGTTAACGGAATGGATATGAACAACACAACAATGTCCCTATCGAGTTGCATTTAATTATAACGTAGCAATCGATTACAGTTTACAGTAAATCGTTACTATTAGACCAAAGAACTTTGTGTGTTCACAGTGCAAGGGTTTTAAGCTCGCTTTTAAGATTAAAACTGAAGCCCCGGGATTATGTTGCACCAGTGGCCAAGTGAAATTAACGCCATTGGTACCGCCACCAGAGCCACTACATTCCTTGGTTTCCGGAAATGAGCCAGATTCTATATATGTATTTTTTTAGTCATATTCAGAAATGCAATAATTGCTTTCAAATTACGGCATTTGGCGCAACAAAAAAAAAGGTAAGCTCTGAATCGCCAAAAGCAACTAGAAGTGAGTGCGTTTATTTTTTATTATTTTGGGGAGAGATGGGGAGATTTTGGGACAAGTGTTTCAAAATCTTTTTTCCAGCTAAACGGTTGAACCGATTTAAACGAAATTTGCTACACATATTCTTAGACATAAAAGGGCGGAATCGAGCATGCGCAGGTGGGGCGGGTGCTACCTGTGCTAGCCGCAGCAATTTTTTGAAATAATTTTTTGTTATTATTTATTCCAGTCCGAATTGAATAGGTATTCATAGCTAAGAAAGAGGACAACATCCGTCGGGTCAGCTAGTAAAAAATAAAAAAACATCGTTCCGACAGAAAAATGTCTACAAAATCGACAAAAACTGAAAAACAGTATTCGATATACACACGCGCAGTACAGTTTATTGTGTTTTAGAAGCTACCCCATTGTCAGATGTTTAATGTTACTCACTCGGTTGCCATGTTAATGCCATCTGATATTTGAATTCGGAGTAGATAATGCAATTTGTACCCAATGGAAAAAGTTTGAACAAATTCTTAGACTTTTTAAAAATCATTTGAATTAATTCTCGGATTAAATCCCTAGCTTAATTCATATAAATTAATTTGTGCCAACCCTGCTTATGTAGTAGCATAGAGGATGAAGAACATGCCCTACGATAAAGACTGAGGGACAAAGTTTTTTTTAAATATGATATGGGCTACAATGTTTACATACACATAAGAATCACAATAGTTCATGTTAAGTAAAATGGAAAATTCATATATCCGAATAGCAGAATAACTATTACAATATGGGGGAAAAAACGAACAAATATTAACTCGCGTACTCATACAAACGTGACTGAACCCCATTTGAGTAAAAAACCCTTGTGGTGGTTTTCATGGGCGTACGTAGGGAGGAGCAAGGGGAGGCAGCTGCCCCCACTTGGCCTGGCCACAGGTTACGTTTTATGTTTGTTAAAAAATATCTGTAAGAATTGTCTTTGTTGGCTTCTATAATTCAAAACCTTTTCCTTTGAGATTTAAGCAATGAAAGAGATTTTAAGCTATAAATTAGGGTACCGATCCAGAAAATCGCTGTTCCGATGCCCATCGGATTAGTCGGCACACCGGCCCTTGCAAAGCTAGGAGCCAGCCCGGCTCGCCTGCCGTCGGGCTGAGCGAAGTTATCGTTCACTAATCGCGCGTTAACATAAACCACTGTGCTGTGCAGTGGTTACTAGTGATGTTCCGTCTACCGATTTTTTGGTAGATCTATCGATTTGCCTAAAATTTACCGATATACCGAAATAGCCTTTATATCTACCTATCTATTTTCGCCCCGTGTTTTTTTTTGCATATTTAATACAAAATTAATTGATATAAAAGCGTTAATAACTAATATTTTGAGATATAATAATTTTGAAGACGTTTTTAGTAACTATTATTTACTAAAAATAAAAATGTATATTATGTGTTTCATTAAACATATTTTTTCCGCCGATTTTATTTTTTGCCCCTCCCTACACCAAAAGCTGCGTACGCCCATGGTGGTTTTAGCTGATCGTCTACTTCACCACACCCAGTTGATATGCTTGTGTGCTGTTCCTGACAGTTCCCTCTGTGTTCTCTTTTTGATCATTTTGATACAATACCTTCATTCACACACTAAACATTGTGCTTATCCTTCTTATTGAAACACCCTTTAGAAAGCATAGGGCTAATAGCAGCCCATCTCCTGTATGGTTGAAGATTTTACTAAATAGCTGATTACATCAGATACTTCTCATTCACATTCAAAATAGTGCACAACACAAGGCACAACATAATAAAAGAACATTCTGATCTTCATCAGATCAGCTTCAGATCCACTTGGTAAATGTGAGGCACAGTATATACCTAGTAAATATGCGTAATTTCTGAGCAATTTTTTACCAAAATTGCAGATCAATCCAGCAAAAAGAATGAGAGCTGCTAAAAAGAGACCATTGAGACCAGCAATGTTGTTATTTCGCATTTGACGCCAAATACCTCGTTAACTATTGCTCCGAGTGAAAAAATGGATAGAAACGAATTTGTTTAGAATCGAATTTTCTATAAGACACAGTTGGTCTGAAACGTTCATTTTCAAATGTATTTTATGGAAAAATATAAAAAAAAGTAATCTCGAAAATTAACAATTTCTTATTACCGAGTTAAATTCATCTGTTCTTTTTGAACATCCGTATTTAGTCATTTCTTTTGTTAACAAAACAATATGACAAACCCGATCGCCGTAGGTTTCACAGTCATTGATTAATTAAATAAACAAATTATTAAAAAACAATGCTCTGTATTTCAAACTGGGTGACTCTACTTGCGATACAATGTTAAAAAGCTCCACAAGCCAATATCCCATTTTCAACTAGAAGGGTTTGCATAGTACTATTTTTTATTAAATAAAAACTTTAATTTGTTTATGTGATATAGCTTTTTGACAAATAAGTAGGTAATTAGTTTATATTTATATTATTTTGGTGCAAATTGGTTCATGGGCCATGGCACAATACAATTTGAATAGCAGCAATGTGAGCATTTCACGGCTCAGGTCAGACACACAAATTAATGAATGCATCCAGAAGGAGTCATATCTACCTCGAATCATCTTGGTACCTAAGTATACAATAAATTTTATACAAAATCGAGTACTTATGGTTTTTTTCAACAATAAGTCTGTATCAGGCTATAGAATTTAAAAGCATAACCAAACCAACTAAAACTTACATCATGTGGTTTTTCATGTTCTTCCAATGAAATAGCAGTATCGATGGCACTGTATGCTGCATCATGAATATCTTTTAGAGTTTGATATGTTTGCTGCCAAGAAGATGTGTTGCCCATTTCTAAAATGAAAGTTTTAAAAGGATTGGTATATAACGGACAGAAATAAATGCGATCGGTAAGGCAGAACAAGAATAAGTAAAATTTCAAAAATATCGACACAAATTAAAACAGGAATTCCTCACAATTAACCGCAACTTCATCCTTTTGATAAGAGTTTGGGTTTTAAACAAGTATATCTACCTAACAAAGATAGTATGCAAAATTAAACATTCGCCAGTAAACTAATAAACAAATCGAAGGTGAAGGTTAAAAGTAACACCTGATTGTATCAGTCTGTATGATGAAGTATGAAATTAGCCCTTACCGTAGCCCTTAAATTAGACCAAAGATCAGACACTGGCAAGTTCACAAAGCACATTATTTGTGGTGACAGTTCCTCTTCCTAGATAAAATTGTGTATCTATCTATCTGTAGATTAATCAGTGTAGTGTACCTACTGTGTAAAGGCATTGTTTAATAAACAATGGTAGTGGTAGAAGTTAATCTTAATAGTTAAGATAAGTTGTTACAGATAGGTATAAATATACATACCTGCTTTTTGTCGTCTAACAAGACGCTTGCGTTATACCTACGACAATCTATCCATTCTAAATTTTTAACAGATTGAAATATGATAACCTATATTTTTAAAACAACCATAGACCGGAAACCATAGACATCCACGGGGTCTTCAGGATTCTATTATAGAAAGTGTTTCCATCCTACGCCTACCTTTGTTTATAATTGAATAATGTCCAATTAATATCAAATTGTGTTGTAAAATTAATTGTTTGTAATTATGTAAATGCGTAACATAAAATTATAACATCACAAAAAGTAGCAGGTAAACTTCAAGAGGTAACAAGTTTTGGGAATTATGGGTCAGGTAAGCAGGTACCAAGATTCTAAGAAAGGGTGAAATACACAGGATGTGACTCATCTTTGGTACAATAAAGTCCTTTTGTTAAAAGCAAGCTGGAAAATTCTATGGCCTTGTAGGCAAATTCAACTAAAGACGAAATATGTGGAAATTACGAATCGTAACTCATTTATCGCACATAGATTCTAAATTGAAGAGTTTTGATTAGCATAATCTCGCCCACGCAAGATAGGTAGCGTCGCCCCTCGTTCGGGGTTTCAAGCCTCCAGTTGAATGTCCAAGGACGAAGACAATCACGAAATTAGGTGTCGTAGCTCAATTTTGACTACAGTTTTTACCACCCCCGTGACTGCTTCATTCACGGAGAAAATTGTTAGTTACAAACAACAAGTCAGTCAGTCAAACGAATCAGTAATTTCCACATATTAAAATAAAATCATTAAAACTTATATGAATGTTACTACACGGACAAGACCAAGTAATCAACATCAATAAACATAAATTAAGCAAGCATTACACCAAAAACCTAAACAATTACAAACAATAGCATAACGGTATTTAACATGTCAATCTGCATTCAGGGCCGTAGCCAGAGGGGGGCGAATCAGGGCGCCGCCCTGGAAGGCAAAATTTTCGCCCGGGCAGGAGAATAGCGATGAAATTCTAAACAAGGATAAATTGTGCAATACTCTTGTGCAGATAAAGCGCATTTATTTTGTCTTTGTAAGTATCCTTCTCCCACAATCCACTCTTGAGGTATAAGGAATTATAACCGATCACTATAAGCGGTTAAAATATCTTAACCTTATGATATCCAATCCAAGCCATAATACACTTTACCCAAACTCGTCCTGAAACCTTCATTTTCATGCCTACTTTCTGTCAGGAAATTTGAGTTTCCATGACAGAGGCACAGCAGACGACGTTTCCTGCCGCTTGTCACTTTACTGGCCGCACCTGTCACTTTACCGGTCGCACCGTCACATTTTTAAATGTCTATAATTACTCCTGTCATCACTGACATATTGACATTAATCAAAAGTTCTATACAGGAAATAAACAACTCAATTCCTCAAAACCTTCCCCATGGATATTTAATTTAATTAAATAATATAATAATAAAATAATTAAATATCCATGGGGAAGGTTTTGAGGAATTGAGTTGTTTATTTCCTGTATGGTTCATCACCCCATTTAGAGTATGGATCAACCACGAGTTTTTTCTGACCAAAGTTCTATATAAAAATTGAAATTTTATATTAAAATACAATTTCGGGTAAAATTTTAATACAAAACTCGTTAGTAAAATGACATTACCTGACTCGGAAATTAAAGTACTCGGGGCCACGCACTTCAACATTTCCTCGCCAGTAATGTATCATTTTCCGGACTTTTATGTAAATGTCTATTTAATACTGCTGCATTGTCTGTTGTTGGCCGATAATTTGTTAAAAGCAATGAAGTAATCAATCAAAGACCTTGAACTTGAACTTTTGAAAAAATTGCCCCCCCCCCCCTTCCCCTAGTTAGCGCCCCGTAAACACCACTTTTTTAATTCGCCCTGGCTATAACAATCAAAGCCCTGATAGCAACAAACCTCTGGCTACGGCCCTGTCTGCATTGCGGTTAAATCAAGTAAATTTCAAAATCAAAGATTGAAACACACAAAAAATATAAAATGCGGCATACAAAACACAAATACGACATATAAAGAAATGCAACAATTACTACTTACATTAAATAACACAAAATAACAAAACATTTATGGAGCGACGCGTTCAAAAAAATACTTAAACAAAACACTTTCTCAATGTTTCTAATTGCAAAACAGTGGTGGGCAAAATAGTGTCAACGTCAAAGTTGCTCGTTTTAGCGTGTATAACGTATAATATTATTATCTTGTAACACTCTTACTGTTCTTGTTTATTATTTTTTATGATAAGTATCTATTTCGGTATTATTTTTTGTCATACCTAAATGGTCATGAGCAGGACCCTACCATACCCATCTTAAAGCCGCTTTACATTAGGCAATTTTCGTGCAATGCAAGAGCAATGCAAGTTAGAGATACGTTACTGCGCATGTTCATACGCAATTCAGGTGCAACAAAAATAAATAGAGAAAGTTCTATTTCACTTGCAAGTTTGGCGCAAGTTCTAGTAACTTTTCTAGTAATTTTGTCAATACCACAATTTATTTGGTTTCGCGTGTGTTATTTTGTGTGTTTTTTTTAATAGCAAGCGCCACCACATAACAAGCTGTAGCCAGCTTAATTTCCTTTTGTTTGCTCATACCTAATGGTCAATTTTATTAAGTTTCAAGAATAACCTTCTGTGTAAACAAACTGAAAAGTTTCAATTTTTGAAAAATATGTTGTCAGTACTGCAACACATTTCTGAACTTGCACAAAAGTTGCAACACAATTGCATAAATGTAAAACCGTAATAAGCAATGCAAGGCAATTTTAGATTGCATAGCACAAGGCTTGCATTGCACTAAAATTGCCTAATGTAAAAGCGGCTTTTACATATAATATTTTGGGAAAGTAAAAGTTGCTCGTTTTAGCGTGTAATGTACCTATATTATTATCCCTCCTTATACGTCTTTTATGGTCATACCCACTCTTTGGTTATACTCGTCATAACATAAATATTTCACCAAAAAAATTCTTGCCACTCTTATATGAACAAACTGTAAACTAAAAATACCTTAACCGAAAAAGCTCGCTGTTCAACGCTACAAAGTTGATAAATCAGGACGCCCCAAGTTCCGCGTTCTGGAACGCGCGACGCAAAACGCCGTGCTAAGGCACTTAATACACAGCGCCCTACGCCGTGCCATTGATTATTATAATCAATGACGCATGAAACCTTTATTCATTGATAAAACCGGCGGAAAAGATCCATACTTTAGCGCCGCCACTGGCAGTAACTCTCCCAGCGCCTCCTTTTTATCCAAATAGCAACTACCATCAATTGTTTCGTTCTCCTTTCTGCAGCACGTCAATTTGGATACCCACGTGAAGTTTTAATTTTTGTTAATAAAACTTAAATTATTCAATTAAAATGCTCGGTGCCGCAAGAATTTTGAGCCGAAAATTGGCCGAATGCTCCAAGTTCACACCCAAACGAAATTTTTCACAACTTGTAAAAAACGTGAGTATATTTCCAGAACTTTCGAACATGTGATTTTTCCGCCGCCGTTCTAATGCATTCCTTTACGAAAGACGTATAAGAAATGCGGATTATTGCGATTTTATAAAAGAAACTTTGGTTAAAGGGGCGCCGGGCGATGTCCTTGAAATGTTGCATCACTTCATAATTCTGGAAGTTTTAATTTGATTTTCTTTGTAGACCACTTCTGAAGGATACATAACCAGTCGATATGAGTACCAGTTACGGAATAAGTGAGTATTTACATTAAACGTGTATTGGGTATCAAAAATGGATTTGTAGATCTGAAGGTGTTAAGGGTGCAGTTATTGGTATTGATTTGGGAACTACAAACTCGTGTGTGGCAGTAATGGAAGGTAAACAAGCAAAAGTTATCGAAAACTCTGAAGGTTCACGAACAACACCATCAACTGTTGCATTTTCCAAGGATGGAGAACGACTGGTAGGTATGCCAGCAAAACGACAAGCCGTTACGAATTCTGCGAATACATTTTACGCGACCAAGCGCTTAATTGGTAGAAGATTTGAGGATGACGAAGTTAAGAAGGATATGTGAGTCAATTACATAAATCAATGAGATATGTAACTGTTTTAATTTTAGGAAAACCCTTTCGTATAAAATTGTGAAGGCTTCTAATGGAGATGCTTGGGTCCAAGGTTCAGATGGTAAGATGTACTCGCCCAGTCAAATTGGTGCTTTTGTTCTGGTGAAAATGAAGGAAACTGCCGATGCTTATCTCAATACAAAAGTGAGGAATGCTGTCATTACTGTACCTGCGTACTTTAATGATTCACAAAGGCAAGCCACGAAAGATGCCGGTCAGATTTCTGGATTAAATGTCTTACGTGTGATAAATGAACCTACAGCCGCAGCATTGGCTTATGGAATGGATAAAACTGAGGATAAAATGTATGTACCTGTAAAATTTAAGGTGCCATTATTTCCTATTGCATTTAACTTCATTAGCTATTGTCTTATTTCTTTTTTGAGTAGTAGGATCGAGCAGAATTCATGTGATTTATGACCACCTTGCAGATAAACTAAATTCTTTTGAATAGGTCTTCCATTCTTCGAAGTGAGGTCAATTCTAGGCCTGACTGACCTGGCAATAAAGTATATTTTGACTATCAACACAACTTGGATATTATTTAGTATTATTGCTAAACCTAGATTTGAACCATAGATCTGGTTATTCTAATACAACGGCATGTAACAATCAAATATGTTAAAAAATATTGGATGGCAAAAATTTTTAATTTTTGCAAACACCCTGTATGTTATTACAGTAGGACCTTGTTAATCCAAAACTATTGCGAGTAGAGATTGTTTGGATTAGTGAATTCGTTGGATTACGAAGAATAACAATAAAACAATATTTTGAATTATTTATTGAGAAATAAACAATTACAACTCTTATAAAAAAGAAAAAAACTCTTTGGAAACAAATCAACTGTTCTAAATGTAATTTATGTAATTTAAATTTATTTTTGAAACCATTTGCTTGATTACTAAAACTAGGGCCATTTTTCAGCATTGCAGTTTATGATTTGGGCGGTGGTACTTTTGACATATCGATTTTGGAAATTCAAAAAGGTGTATTTGAAGTTAAGTCTACTAATGGCGATACATTCCTTGGCGGAGAAGATTTTGATAAC